GCGAATAAGGCGGATGCTCAATCAATTCAAAGTCACAATCGTTAATCGCAATCATGGCAATGATAGAATTGTGAACAAGGGCAATGTCCCGGTGAAACAACACCCATTTACTGAATCTTCCGCGTTGCTCGAGTTTATTTTTTTCTCTTAACTGCCTCAGAAGTGTATATGATATATGTCGTTGATGGTTTGTCCTTTTTTCAGATAATCTAACATCAGAATACCATCATCAACTCAGAAAACCGAGGCCATTACCTGTCCAGCTGATGAAACAGTCTTTGCTTTTTTTGGCGGTGGTAAACCAGGGTGCTTCCATTGCTTAGACTGTCTGTTTGGCCTCTAGGGTGAAATGATGAACCCACTTTTCATCCATACTCAAACCTCTGCAGAAAGTTCAGATTAGCACATGATAAAGTCTGCCAAGTGTGCTTCTGATCAACTGTCAGAAGTCTTGGTACCCAACAGGCTGAGAGCTTTCTCATTGCAATACAATGCGCTATTTCCTCTGAAATCTCGACTGTACTGGCTATATGTCTCTAACTCGCCTGTCAGTCACAACAATATCCTGGACTTTATTGACAATTTCTTGGTTACAACAGTGACAGGCCTACCTGGACGGGCGTCATCCCCAAGGCTCTGCCTGCCACGCCTAAATCCGCCATCCACCTTTCCCTGTAGCATATGAAGGAGCAGCATTCCTTAGTGTTGCTACCATATTAGTATGGGTATCCTTAGGTACTAGACCTTTCTTATGCAAATATTGAATCACTGCTCTTTCAGCGATTTCGTCCGTTTTGCAAATGTTACTTGCCTTGTTTACTTTTGGGTGCTACCTTTTCAACATAAACTGACCAAATGACACCAGTCTTCGGGTACACAGCCTTAAATAGTCATGGTTTAGGAGTGCTGGAAAACGACATCTCTGCTTAAACTTCTTCAATAAAATGCTCACAGCAAACGATATTAAATGATTTTTCAGCGTCGCCGTTTAACCCTTTCTAGTAATAATAGATTCGAAAATTCTTTCAAGCAAGAAATCGCTCACCGAAGTGATACCAAATGTGAACTTCCAAATATATTACATATATTATTGTGTTTATTCCGTAGCGGGTCGATAACATGATACCCGAAACCTCAGTAAGATGTCAAGGATAAGGTTTCATAGGTGACGAAAAACAGAAAGCGACATTGTTCGATCACAATTAATTTGACTTTTAAACGTTATATGTTAACACACTACTAAATCTGATTAAAATACTCCTTATTCGATATATAAAATAAGTTGAGATTTCATATTTGATATTACGACAAAGAGTTGAATCCATCACGACAGAACACACTTTTTACGGCTGTAAACCGGTTGTGATTTGGAGGAGGGTACAAAGAACGGTAGGGAGTGCCTTAATCCAGTATCAAAACTAATTAGAGTATATAGTATCCAAACTTTGTTTGATGAAATAAACACAAGCGTACATTGTGACATACAATAGGAGACGAGTTAAACAGCAGTATTTTCTGAGGCGATGGAAGCTAATTCCTAAACCGACGAACGGAGCCTAGCTTTTTTACTGAAACCATTAAAGGTTAGTGATGGTAAAAGGAAATACAGAAGAAATGACTATCAATCTCTTTGGTTGTAAACACTATAATTTTGAAGAACAATTAGATTTTTTTCTAAGGAACGCATTGGACACATTTTTATTTTTACGAAAAGGCTTGAATTTATTCAAATAATCTGGGATTAACTCAAAATAGTGTGTGTAGACCGGCTTGATCAGATACAGTATCAAATTCAGCTATTTCCACAATCAAACACCTAGTTCCAGGGCGTACTGCTGAATGATCATGGAATTAAATTATATGTACAGGTATTCCTATCAATAACGTAATAAAAGTTGCGTAAATATGCATGGTAATACGACTGGTAGAACGGTTTCTGTCTCTAAAACGATTAATTAATATTAATACTCATATTTATTTCATTATGTTGTTATTGATATTCAATTTTTTACTTGCCACTCATCATTTTAGAGACAGAAATTTTCGGTTTTTTGACTGGTTCTGGCGAAAAAGAATCGAACTTCGGTCTTGGTTATTTTTGTGAGAATGAAATGTTTAGTGTTGATAAGAATGACTTTAATATCAATACAATATATAATTGTCAAGCAGATCATTTCATGTAGTTTGAATGTGGAATCATTAAATACACACGGGTTTGTTCTCCATTCTGGATGTCAAGCCGTTAATTCATAATCCGAAAATAATGAGCGCTTTTTCTTGTAATATCTACTATTATTGACTAAGTTAGTCGTCATTGATGGCATCGTTTAGCACATATTTATTGGGAGCATGCTGGCATCCCAGTAATAAACAGAGCTTGAATGAGGAACTCTGAAGGTTGGCAGCTCTCTGTGTGCCCTTGAGAGGACCGTCCACAGATCACTTTGTTGCTTTTTGAAAAAGAGCAGACATGATAACGCCGGTCCAGGGGAATTGTTTTAAGGAGTTTGACGGAATTCACAACAATCCTTGCCTAAACCAAATCTATCGGTTTGACTTAATCCATTTCCTGTTCCCAGCCCTGAATCATGTATCATACTGAGTTACAGAACAAGAATAGGCCAAAGAGATGACCTTCTAATAGAAAACAAAGACACTGAAATGGCTGAACAACATTGTACATTTATTTGGAATGTCAGTTCAAAAAAAATATATTTTTCATACATAAAACAATAAAACATTAAGCTGGACCTGCCAAAATTGAACAGACACCATTTAGTATGGCTCTATTTACTACATTAACACCACAGAATGCATCTTATACTATATCACCACCACAATACAATACCTAAACAGTGAACGAGAATTACAGATTTAGCATTTCATGATTGGGGAACAGGGGCAAGCCAGTTAAACTTCACTATCTCGGGGGCAAGCCAGAGACAGTTACAGTTAAACTTCACTATCTCAAACTCTGATAACTCAAAGACCTGTTTAACTTGAAGTGTTTATCAGGTTTGGGCCAAATCTTTTCTCTTTCACTTTGTCTTAATCATGTTTATCTTCAACACTAGGATAACTGAAAAGTTTATTTCATGATCCTTTAAGATAATGAAATTTGACTCTACATATTTCTATCTATAAAAATAACTACTACCGGTAAATTGTTTAATAAAACTGCTGATATATCATAAAAAGAAAATTAAGATATCATATTATCACAGATAAAGAATCCCTAGAACTGCTTGTGAAATCAATACCAATGTTAATCAGTCTTTAATTGTAATGCTACTATACTTGGGGGTGGGGCAGAAAAGTGGCACAGAATGTACCAGTAATCACGAAAACATATATGCAGAGAAGTGATGTATAATAATACAAATAGACACATTAAACGTAACAATAAAATAACTTGATAAATATTGAAAACATTCAATGGAAATGCAGACCTATCAATGATCAATGCCCTTTACCATTTGTTGTGATTGTGTCTCTGCCTATAATATTGATAACAAAATCTCGGTTATAATGAAGTGCAAACCATTCACCAAGCTTTAAATTTACTTGATTATATACTATACATGACCTCATATTTCAGTTTTTAGAAACATATATCAAAGTTAAGGTTGAAGGAAAGCAATTTCTGGTCAGTTTTCTAGATCCCTACAAGGGTCCACCTCTGTATGACACATGTCAACATTACCTCTAATTGCCAATTCAATATTTTGAAATAAATTAGTTTTGAAGCATATGTCAAATTATATGCATTATTTGTAATAGAACAGTTTTATGAAAGTTAAACACATTAAATGTATAATACAAGAATGTCATATTGTACATCACTATACAAAGACATCATTTTTTTTTGGTTTAATTTTAATGATTCTACATAGTATCTATAATGTCTCTATGCATCTAGCATATATCTAAAATTTGGTAAAGAGCTCAGGTTAACTCACCACAATAGTGAGCCCTAAAGATAGGGATGGGTCTATACTTTCACATATACCTGAAATCATTATCATAATTTACATCCCATCATTGAGAATGTCATTACTTAACTAGGGATACCTCTTATGCTGTTGAAAACTGAGATGTAAATCTTTTTAAGAAACATATAGGATATTAATTGATTTTTTTTTTACTTTGTTTGTATGAAACAAATCTAAGAAGTTTCTGCAAAAGTTAAAACTTCAAGATCAGTTTAACAAAATCTCATATGAAATGATAACAAATTTAAGATACTTTTCATCTCAGGACAAATCAAAACAAGGCACCCTATTTTCAATTTGTGATATACTCTCATTGTCTATATCATGACATCACATCTATTTCTGACTGGCACAGCCAATGAAAAAAGCTCCAAAGTATATATCATAAGTGACCTAGTGACATATACACAAAAAAGTAACATGGGCATATTTACTTGATAAAGGCAGATTGCATGATTAAAAAGAGTAACTGATGGTTATAAATTATATTGCAACAGCTAGCTTTGTAACACATTTGTATGAACAGCTAGCTTTGTAACATATTTGTATGAACAGCTAGCTTTGTAACACATTTGTATAAACATTTAGCTGTGTATCACATTTGTATGAACAGTTAGCTTTGTAACATATTTGTATGAACAGCTAGCTTTGTAACATATTTGTATGAACAGCTAGCTCTGTAACATATTTGTATGAACAGTCAGCTTTGTAACATATTTGTATGAACCGTTAGCTTTGTAACATATTTGTATGAACAGCTAGCTTTGTAACATATTTGTAAGAACAGTTAGCTTTGTAACATATTTGTATGAACAGCTAGCTTTGTAACATATTTGTATGAACTGTAAGCTTTGTAACATATTTGTATGAACAGCTAGCTTTGTAACATATTTGTATGAACAGCTAGCTTTGTAACATATTTGTATGAACAGCTAGCTTTGTAACATATTTGTATGAACTGTAAGCTTTGTAACATATTTGTATGAACAGCTAGCTTTGTAACATATTTGTATGAACAGCTAGCTTTGTAACATATTTGTATGAACTGTAAGCTTTGTAACATATTTGTATGAACAGCTAGCTTTGTAACATATTTGTATGAAACAGCTAACTTTGTAACATATTTGTGTGGAGTATAATTTATAACATTTAAACAAATTACATAATGGCATTAATAAATAAAATTATAACTTTTCGAATCTCCATGGAAATATTAAATAAAATACACAGATCTATATTAAACACAAAATTAAACTTATATAATCAACAAAGGCAAAACAGATCAAATAAATAATATATTTATCTAAAAAACATCAGCTTAAAAAACAACATATATTGGTAACCACATTTGTAAATCAACAGATTGTGATCATGCCCACTTTGAGCTAAGTAAGTCTGGGTTGGGGTGGTTATCAACAGCACAGAAGAGGTAGTCACAACCACATGATGTTATACTACAGAGACAACCATTTCCTTACCATAATGATCAAAGGATTACTGGTACAGTATATACCAGTTACATATATATGAAAATACCTCATATGAAACAATGGTCCTACTTACAGTAAAATCTAAATCATACCTGTTGTTTCTTTAAAAAAAACACCTTCTCAAGAAAGAATGTTCAGAATGTAACGATTTTGGCCAGTAGAGCTAAAAAGAGAACCAGAAGACACTGGATAAAGATGATTTCGTTTACAGATGGTAAAGACAGCGATGACAAAAATTCTGTTTACGCAGGTTCATCACTCTGACAATATGATCTATGAATTAAGATTTTATCAGTTAGGTTTGTTTATCAAACAAGAGTGTCACAATCAGGAGAGCTATAACATCTGGAAACAGAGACAAATAGAGGAATGATAATAATATTCTCCACAGTCTAAAAGTTACGGAGAATACACTGAATCACAATTTCTTATTGCACTACTAAACTGGGACAACCCCAGAGGTCTGTCACTGTCAGACACAACAGATATCAAACATTAGCACCACATGAATTGGCATGTGTTAATTTGACAGAAGTATTGTCATGAATTTGAACAATGCAGAATACTGCGAAATCATAAATATTTGTGGGCAATTTATTTCATTGATTTCATGGGTATTTATAATCTACAAATTCATATTTCCATGAACTCTTAACTAATTACCTTTTAAGCAATACTTATCTAAAAAATCAAGTGTCCATGAAGAAGATTTTTTTTATCCTTGAAAAACCACGAAAATTGAGTTCCACAAATATTAAAGTAATGTTGTTTCCTAACTAAGTAAAAAGACTACAGAGTTAATACTTATTTACCCACTAAACGACTGACACCATACTGAACTACTATAATAAAGAATATAATGAACATTTGTAACCATTTTTACCCCATCAATAATGATTCTGTATAACAACTGAACATAACAGGTAACAGCATAATACATACTGTATCATTATCACTTATAAAATTAGTGGATATACAACAAATTTGGCAACAACATTGGGATGACCATATGACAAGAAGCTAAACTTAAACAATACAGTGTTTTCTTAATGTAATTACAGTTGCTACAATTGTGACTTAACAGCAAATCCAATGAAACCTGCTTTTGTTTCCTAAAAGATTTGACAGAAAGCCATCTTGCAATAACATAAATATCAATTACATTAAAAAAATACTTGATTTTTTATATTCATATCAATAACAACATTTTGGGCAATGTAAATTTGGAATTCGATTATACTGAGCAAAAAACCTTATCTTGTAAAATGGAGTAAATCCAGAAATGGAATGTGGGACGGCTGGCAAGAGCATTGTCACGTCACAATAAAGCAGGACCTATTGCAATTAGTATCATCATCACACCGACTAAAATTGTAATATCAGTGAATGACAAGGTTTAAATGGGAATGACAAGGTTTACATGGGAATGACAAGGTTTAAATGGGAATGACACGAATATAGTTTACAAAGGTTAATAGTAACTTATAGTGTTGTTTGTAGAAGATGTATAATTAAAATAGATCAATCTCAATTGGGTTAAAATACTGGTATCAGGAACTTGCCTTAATTGAAATCAAACTGACATCCAATAATTCATTTATCTAGAAAAACCCAATTCTATCAGATACTAATACTACATCCGCGTTTCATCATTTAATGGCACACTGCACACACTAGGTTTTGGACAGGGGAAAAAATGAAAAAAATAATACAGATGAAAAACACACACATCATTTGTTTTATATATACACTTGCCAGTTACTTGCAACTGAAACACAATAATTTGATTTTCACTAATTGTTGTTTTAAATGATTTCATGCCTCAAAGAAATCAGAACACACATTTATACTTATGATACAAAGTTTGATTTATCTTCAGAAAAAGGAGTGTGATATGAAATTCCCTACCTGTGGTGGTTAGTGTTTCACAGGAAGCTGAGAAATGGACAAGTCTTGTGTTGTCATGATTGTGTTCTTGGTATAGACACTTTAATCTAATGGGCCTTCTGTATGTTGTTCAATGAGGTAGCCACCAGCAACTACAGAGAAACTTCACCTCAAAGTGACCCCTGCCTGTTTATGGAGCAATAACCCAGCAAACAATCTTTAGGAAATGTATCATTTTCATTCACCTCTGTCCTTCACATTTTATCATTCAATAATGCAAATATATTATTATCACATAATAATAACTTAAAGTTACTTTACCATATAAATTTGTGACTCTCTGATTTACAGATGTGATCTGACTCTTTGGGGTCAAGCTAATTCAAGGAGGAGGTCAACTCATTTCTTAAGAAACCATGGTCCTTAACCAAAATTTCATTATATCTCATATTTCATGCAGTAAGTATTTGAAGAGTTATAATTGTGCTTATATAATTCATAGGACTAACCATCCGTTTCAAAGTAAACATGGTATTTATAGATACATGTACTGTTAATTTTTATTAGTACTGACAGAACTAAGATATATTTAGTCATCTGCTTTGAAATTGATCCTGCCAGTCACAAAGTACCTTGAATAACATGTCATACAACTTCATCTTTAACTAGCAGTGTTTGAACATGCATGTATGATCCTGACAGCAGTGTATGCACAGGTATGTATGTCTGACATGACAAGTTGTAGTTTGAGGTACCAACAAATACATAATTTCCAACATTAGGAGATTTCTGACCTCTCTACATAACTGTAAGATCTCTTACCACAGTTTTACCATTAATTGTCATTCTCTAATCGACTTGTTTGACAAATTTAACATAAACAATATCATGGATACTTGGCTTAAGTTATTAGTAATTGGAGTGGTAACTATGATACCTGATTCTTAATGGACACTAAATCCAGTCAACTAGTTTCTACAGTATAAGGAAACCACTTGACCTCTATTATGAACATATTCATAAGTAGAAATAACAATCACAGTTACTATGGAGACAGGGGCTGGGTGACACTTTGGTTATCATTTGTAAATGTTTAATTACAATCACATTATCTATGGAGATGAAGGCATGAGTTGAAGGATGGCTCCAATCCGATGTGTCCACTGTCCGAGTGCCTCCTTAAGGCGGGGGTCCTGAGCATGACACACCAGCTGGTTGGCACAGTTGTAGATCGCTGGGAGAAGAGCTTCAAACTTTTGGTCTGACAACTGTTGGAATAGACCCAGTATTGTACATAGGAGCTCTGTCAGTGACTGGGCTCGTGCCTCACTGTCCTATAAATATACAAAAACAGGCTTTAGATTGCTGATAAAACTTATTCAAACATTCTCACCATGATCTGTTCTGTAATTCAATATAATAACAGTGAATGTTGGAACTATATACCAAAACTATGACTGGTTCATGTACCCTGTAGGTTAATGGGTTTTTTCTTATTTTATTTCAAAACTCATGAAAACGATACGTTTTAAAAATGACTTTCGTTTTGATTATTATTTTTATTCCATTGCTATCTTCATAGCTTCATCACCATACACAATGGCCATACCTACTACCTAGAAGTATGAAGTAGTCCATATGTACCCAGTAAGTCACATGACTGTCATGTGAAACTGCATCAACACTTGGTCATTAAATCTTGCCAGAGCACCCCATTATCAATTTTTTTCAACAAAATAAACTTGAAACACAAATTAGGCTTTTCTTAAAATGGATGAAAAGTGCTGCACATTCTTTTGATTTTTCATATACCAGTAATTCTACCTTTCAGTGTAAATATGATACAATAATGTCAACTACGATGTTCTGAATAAGATAGGGTAATGGAGTCAGTGCCCTGACATGATGAGCAAGTTTTAATGTTCATCTAATGATTTTGGAACTCTTCAATGTTTTAGAGATCACAAGACCAATGGAGACATCAAAACTATCCAACAATTATTAATATATTAAGTCTTACACAGAATTTCCTTGCATTTACATCTATATAGATATTTGACACTGATGTGAAATATCATATTGTACTTTTAGTTATATTTAAACATTTGGCAATTTTGGTATAATTGACTTCATTGTTGTCAGGACAGCCAATCACAGCTGCACTCAATGAAGAGAAAGTTGTTGTCTTGCACAAAATTTCAGGAAATTCAAAGTCATGACTGTTATTGTTTGAACTTACTTAACTTCATCCAATGAATTTTAACATAATTATATGAGCAAACACAATTAAAAACAGGAAATTTAACTTAAATGTCAGCTAGTGCACATATTTCTTGGACGCTGTAAATATTGTGATATTATCAGAAAGCATGAAATGTCAAAAATGTGTCTTTTACATGAATAGACTAATGAGCAACAAAATGAGAACGGACATTAAACCACATCAGGTAATAGCGTGTGTTCAATGTATGCAATTATCAACAAAACCGTACAGCATAAACCTTAAAACGACAATACATATACCTTCATTAAAGATGTTTTCTGTTGTTTCTCAATCACATCATCAACAACTTCCTTCTTTTGTTGTGGAGTATTGCTCTTTTTTTGTTTGGTTAGTTTGACAAATGCTGGCATTGCATGATGCTGTTTACGTTTTTTGTATTCTGTCATGAGAGTCTTGATGAGTGTATCTGTAGCTAGGGTGTACACTCGGCTGTCGTGCTCCTCTCTCAACTCTCGCTTACTTTTACCCACTGTGCCTTTCATTTCATGTTGTGGAGACTCACATGTTTCTTCTGTTATACTTATTACATCCTCAAACCCTTGGTTTACTGGTTCTTCTAAAAAATTTGGAAATTATGAATCAAAATTTTAGTGATTTTCTTTTAAAATTATCAAATCATATTTTAACAAATTCCATTCCATGGACTGCATTTTTACAATAATTTTGATGTACTTCAAAATAACGAAAATACCATCCCAATGAAAATAACTAGATGTACAGTATTATGTCAATGCTGCTATTAAAATGTGAGATATATTGAAAGAAATATGAGGCCAAGAAGGCCTTTATTGCTCATATACAAAATGATGTTCAAAAATATTTTCATTTATAAATAGTAACAATAGAAGCAAGTCTCCATCAATATCCTGGCTAATCTGGAGTATGATTGTAGTATTTACTTCGTGTTCAGCAACTACATATAGTTGTATTGGTGAGATCAATCTGAATCACTTCTATGATATGACAGATAAGGATTTCAATCCTCTAAAATTAACAATGAAGAGGTAGGCTTACCTTGGAGAGCAACTGCTTCAGTTGCCATGACACCCTGGAGTTGAATGACAGCTTCTGTATCAGAACCTGATTTATGACGGTCTTTGCTGTGCACAATATCAGTGATGCTGTCAGGCTGAGCTATCAAAAAGAAAAGCTCTCTTTCTGCCATCTGGTCGGCCTTCTCTATGTATTCATCGGACAACATGTCCACATACATCTGACAAAGGTCGTTACACACACACCAAAGTAGCTGTATAAACATCACCTTGTTACTTCTCATTTCACTCTTGTCAGACTGGTGTAAACTCAATGCCTGACCAATGTCCAGTTTGTCTGCGTCAGAACCAGTCAAGCAAGTCCGTGTTTCTGGTCGTGAAAGATCATTAAAACAAGCACAAATCTGCAGTAATGTATTCATATAGAAGATCATACTGGCACCAGCTTGTTTGTAAAGATTCACAGCTACCTCTGTGCGTGCAACTTTCTGAATTAGGAACTTCAAACCCGGACGAGAATCAAATTCTCCTGCTAATTTGTTGGAGCACCAAAGACATTTTAAGAGTGTCAAAATATTACGAGTTGACATCATTGGAACCATACCTAGAGAGAGAAAATGTTGGGTAATACAATATGTTTCTTGTATGTCCATTGACAATGACACCATAAAATTAAGAAAACAGTATTTATTTTCACAGCGTGTTGATTATGTACTCAAAATTCATGTAAAGAACAAGCAATATAGGTGAACAGAAAATTGTGTTTTCTTTGTTTTCTCTGTTTTTTGCCAGCTCAAATTATTCTATATTGGTTCTTTGATATCTAAATGATTATATTAACAGGAGTTTATATTATAATGTGAAGGAGAGACTGATGCACTGAGATATCATTACCTAACTTGTTGGTAGCATCATCAATGGTCTTTTTGTGGTCAGGTCTTTCTGAAGGACTGGCTTGAGGATGGTGGGCAGGATTTAACAGGACACTACCTACAGTCTGTAGAAGCAGCTGGTGTGACAAAAGACCAACCACCACACCACGGAATGGTATCCTACAAAGCAAAATCATATCTTATATAAATGGACTTATTTGATTGACTTAGAGTGTGTACAACAACAAAAACATTCCTCATGGAACACAACCTCAGAAAAAGTTGTATGAAGTAATCTAGCTATAGAATCATGTGAATTGAGAAGCAGGATATAAGCCTAGAATAAGCTGTAATAACCTGGCTATTATGTAGCATAGGTTTAGACCAGGAATGCGAGTCGGAATAACTGTTGTTACCTACTTATTATATAATCTGGGTTTTGAATAGGAATATAAGCCTTTAATAACCTGTAGTAACCTGGCTATTATGTCATCTGGGTTTAGACTAGGAATATTAGTCAGAATAAGCTGTAGTTATGTGGCAACTATGTGTCTCAGTTTAGACTAGGAATATTAAATATAGTTATGTGGCAACCAGAATTAGCTGAATTTAAGCCTATAATAACCTGTAGTAACCTGGCTATTATGTCATCTGGGTTTAGACTAGGAATATTAGTCAGAATAAGCTGTAGTTATGCGGCAACTATGTGTCTCAGTTTAGACTAGAAATATTAGTCAGAATAAGCTGTAGTTATGTGGCAACTACATGTCTGGGTTGAGAATAGAAATATAAGCCTAGAATTAGCTGAATATAAGCCCAGAATAAGCTGCAGTTGCCAGCTGCCTAGTATGTCATTCAGGTTGAAACTAGGAATAATAGTGAGGACAAGCTGTAGTTATCTGGCTGTTATGTAGGGTGGGTTTAGACTAGGAATATAAGCCCGGATTAAGCTGTTGTTACCTGGCTATTATATCATCTGGGTTGAGACTATTCTCTTGACCTGGAGGGTACAGCAAGAACACAAATGATTTGTCCTCGTCCACCTCGCTGGTCAAAGCAGTGTCTCCAGACACCTGACTATCCAGTAGGAATACCTGTGGACACACAATAGGACCAAGTTCATAGTGGACTTCATGGAGTCTAGTTTAAATTTTAATCAATGAATTACAAAGATTAAAGTTGCTATTTCTAACTGTTTTAATGAAAATATTTCAGTAAGGATTACCCTTGTTCTGATTAAAATATCCTAACACTTCAAATCTAATGAAAATATGTAAATCACAATGATTCTTAAATTACAATGTCGTATTGAGGATCAACTCAATCATAATTAAGTAGTGTGAATAATCTTGACTCAAATTTTTGAAAAAGTCGTGTTTTAATCTCATAAAATGATTTAATCAATTTGAAATAGCAATTTCAAATCTGACATCTAAACAAGATCAATTGGTAATGATATTTAGCCAATAGCAGCGATAATAGAGTGAACAGCTAACATTTCTCTTATGTCACTTAAATCATCCACTTCAAATAGTAAAGTATCATCAATTAAAATGAGTTTTATGAAATAAATGAAAAACTGCGATATAAGACAGTGGCTGACCTGATGTGCCAGGTGCTGCAGTCGTTTACACTCAGTAGATGAACTGTCTCTTCTCATGGCCACCTTCACCTGACCTCGGTCACCATAGAAATTTTCAGAGTTCACTTCAAACAGGATCATAAGCTGGCGAAGATGGAAGGTAGTGACATCCAGTGCTCGCTGCATGGCTGTGGAACTAATCTGCCACATATTTTCAGTGAAAGACTCACCAGCACTAAGCAGCATGTGTCTGTGAATGGGAAGGTAGAGTACATATCAAAAGTCATGGCTGTAATTCAAATAAGGCAGGAATATACTACATTACATAATAAAAAATAAGGCAAGCTCATTAATTTCAAGTCAACAATTTATAATAGACAATATACTGTGTTCTGGGATATTTTTGTCCCCGATTATTTTTGCCTTGTATCATTTTACAAGAATTTGCTTCATGTTAATTTTGCCATCTGAGAGTTATCAATACATCATTTGATACAAGAACAGCCCAGATTAGAGATAACCTCCACTGGCTATGCTATACACTCTGTCATGGTGTCCTACCTGATACAAGAACAGCCCAGTCTAGAGATAACCTCCACTGGCTGGGCTATACATTCTATCATGATGTCCAAAAGTTGTTTCAGCATCACTTCCACAAGATTTCCAGTCTTGTCTTTACATCCTGTAATAGTAACAAGCAGTGACAATGAGTCTGTATTTAAATCAAGTGATATTTAACCCTCAATTTTTTCTTAGAAAGATAACAGGAATTTAAAACACAAGCCACGGACACTTGCACGTACAAGACCACCTGTTTTTTGTTGTTTTATAATACAATGTACTGAGAACAGAAACTCAATAACACACATTCAAAACAAACAAAGGAAGACCAACATCTCTTGCTCAGAGAACTATTTTCAGTCACACCATATTTAAAATACAATGTAATATACCTTAGCAATATGGGAACACATGTACAATGAACAATGACTACATAATTCTATATAACAACACTGCTGGTGTCATTCATGCAAGTGTTACCCACAAAATATAAATAATATTATTTACCCGCGAACTGCTGTGTAAAGTCTACAATAAGGTCTGTACAGAGTCCACAACATTGCTTAAAGTTGGTGGCGCCAGTGTCCCAGTACCCATACTTCCTCACTCCAGCACGTAGCCACGACTGCAGCATTGGCAGCAATAGGCGATTCACACAGTACAGGGCAAACGTTGGACCTGATCATACAAAGATTTATATGGTACTTAACTTAATTTTATTGACCTTGCTTCAATGTTAAAGGTTTACATAAGTGTATCTATGTACAGCACTGTAAGATTTAGATACAACAAGAAAATTCTATTTTCATAAAACATTTTATTCAAATCTCCATAGTTTCTTTCTAAAACCTTACCAGGGATATTGGCAGCAGATTTAAGGATGGAGAAAAGCATTTCCAGTGTGTCAGATTGGTAGATCTTGGGACAAGAAGCTACAGATCCAGCCAGACCATCGACTACTAGGAACCATACATGGAGAATGCCTGACTGATTGTCCATTGATTCCAGAGTGTCCTCCACATCACTCGGCAACGACAGTGGCTTTGTCTTTTCTTTAGTGACAGTTTTGGTATCCTGGTTAGAACCAGAATTAACCGTCTTTTCTCCAGGAACTACAGTTATACCCGAGTCATTTGATGTAATGCTTCCAGTGTCTGTCCTCTCCTCGTCCTCCAGCGACCTCTGTGAGGACAGCTGGGATGTCCCTGTGGGGTCCTCTATCACAGCGAGTCTTGTGTCACCATTGAAATCACTTGTGTGGATAGGAGTGTTGAAATGTTTAGTAAACTCCTCCATGTCCATATGAGGTAGGATTGGGTCCACTATCTGTTGTGATGAATCAGTATGGATTCTGTTGATGACAATAAAGAAATTGGTTTCACACTGACTTGTCTAAGAGTGATGTCATGACATTGGGATAGGATGAAGTGGCATGCAATGGGACAAAATGGTATGAACAAAAATGATCATGAAAATGGACTTGTCTTTATACACATATATCACCAGACTAAAAAACTAAAACGAAAACATGAACACTTCATCATACTACAAATGATTTGTTTCTATTAACTAATCAAATGATGAATAAACTGACATCAAACGTAACTGCTATGGAGTATTATCAGTTGACACACCAATGTTATCTTACCAACTGTTATTATAATACTTTATAGAGACCTAAACTTGTAAATGGGAAATAGAAATCTCTCATGTCTCTTTATTGACAGAAAATTGTAAGACATTTGACTATCAGGAGAATATATATGTGCAATGAAATTAGATAATAAAGTATCAGCCATTTTTTTGTTCAGAAATCAGAGCGTACCATTCCTACTATTTATTAAACAAATCTGTCAATGACAGTGTAGAGTTATATACTGTAACATGACTAGGTATACTTTTCTGTGCTGTCATTTGAATTCAAGAAATGATTACATTCTAATTTTATATAACAATAAAAGCAAATTTAACAATTGCAGCACCATGACAAACAAATATCCGACCATGGGTAAGAATCCTCTAACCATGAAACATAACTGGCTGGTTGTGAAAGGAATAGGATATCTAAAAACTTAATGACCACAGATTTTATCCTTGTTACCTAAAAGCCCCATTGAAGACTGGACAAGCTGGCATCTTCCACATGGTTTGTAATATTTCACAGCAGCGCTTCAGGTAGCGGAGGGCTGGGATACACAGATTCTCATTGTCTGTTGACAACATACCACAGTCACTCCCTGAGTCCGAGTCATCATCACTGTCATTCTCAAACTCTCCTGAAAACATACACAATAACACATATCCTAATATATATGTACTTACTCTGTTATGATCAGGGAAAGAAAATAACTGCCCAAACTTTATCAGAGTATAAATTTGAGGGTATAGATTTTAACACTGATATTCTATTTTATGAAATTATTCATGTTTACTTAAATGTATAACAGAGAACTTATTGTCCTACTATAACACATACAGATATAATGTAATGATGTTGATAACATATACAGTTTATTATTGTAGATGGTTCTTAAACAAATAACTGAATACCCCGGTACATGTAAACATTTTTTTCCTTTCACTATTTTGTTTGTTTGCAGATTGGAAGTGATTTATTCAGATGAGAAACAGATCCAAATGGAAATTCCAAAACCTAACAGAAACCGAAACAACCAGAGAAAATTTACCTGGGCCTCGTATGTACTTGAGTAAACATAGGATGCAGTCAACAGTGGCATTAGCAAACACAAGGATGTTGTCTGTGCCCAGGTACACCTCAAATACATCAAGAACAGCTGCCACATGGCGCTGTCTTGCTTCATTGATTTCTTCATTAGTGGTATACTCAATCTTTACAGCCCGCAGAGCCCCGAACAGTGGCCTCCAGCCTGACTTGATGTCTGCTGTGCAGGCCTCCACCAGCTCACAAATGGAACACACAATCTAGAGGGCAAAGACCATTTAAAGTCTTATTCAATCTGAATCTAATATGACTTGTGATTGGAGCAGTATAACCATGGTATATTATCCACAAATTTCTCTATTTGGATATTTAGTCTAAACAGTAATTGTTAATGATGTAAATAACTTAGATCCCTCATGAAAATGATGTCAGGAACATTAGCGTAACCCTGAAAGATCAATCAAATTTGTCCGACTTTGAATGTTTCTGACTTCACAAATCTATCAACAAGAACATTGTAATTCACTCTGTATTTCAGATTTACTTACACCAGTTTTTGAATATTTGGTTCTTGAAAGTCTGATAGTACTTAATATTTCAATTGAAAAGAATTGTCAGTGACCACCAAATACAATGACTGTCCAAGAAGCTAACATGAAGTTAACTACAGCTAGGTACTCTGATCATACCACGTAGACCAACCATCCTATGTCGACTTATTTTCCCAGCAGTTACAGATAAACTGACCTGATCCTGTACATCGCCATCACACAGCTCTAGACACAGCATGTTCTCAAACGTCTTACACAGCAGCTCATTTACGTGGAAGTGAGCTAATTCAGGACGGTCACCCAGCATTGCCAGGATAAAGTCATGCACACAAGTTACTGCCATCTTGGACACGCTTCTGTCATGGTGACCAGCAGCCTGAAAATTGTACAAAAGACACACAACTGAAAGTCAAGTTATAATAACAGTTATTTGTTCAAGACATTTGTACTAAAACACTGAATCATTTATCAAACAATTAAGATATCACAAGGTTAAACTAATCCCCTCTATCAGTGTTTGGCAGTGCAATCCTTACATATCAAACCATCAGTTTAACAGAAGAATGGTGATATTTAATCTCACACCTATGTACCTAACACTATAATACTAGTTTGTCGTATTAATCATATTTACAAAACTTTGCAGGGAATGCTGGATATTTATCATAAGTATAAAATTTTGCAGTTGTGGTGGGGCAAGGAAAAAATGTATACAGATTTTTTTTGGTCATAAATGACAAGATGCAATCCAGAAAAACAATCATTAGCACACACTTTTCTATGAGAGAGCACTGGATGGAGTTTGGGTGGAATTTGCAAAATGGAACCCAATTCATTGTGCTTATATAAAGTAACAGTGACCATAACCTTTGAGCTACAGACATGAAAAAATAATTCTAAGCAAGCAATTTTCTCAAGGAAGCACTGAATGAGGTCTGTGTGTGATTGGCAAAGTGATTTTGCAGAAATAGAAGCTGGCCATACAGAAAGACGGATCAGAGCAACAACAATAACCTCTTCCAATTTCTGATTTCTGGGTGATAATATTCTAGTATCCATATGTATCTCAACATAGAACCTCTATTGGACCAGTATTATGGAGAAAACTTGATTCATTTTCTGACCAATATTATTATACATATTTAGTATAGGTAGACTGACCTCTACTAAATGTGTAGACACAGTACTCCAGGTCCTCATCAGGTGGATCAAGGGACGGTCACTGTGTACAATCTTCATCAGCACCTCCTGTAGTCTGTACAAATGTAAAGCATTTGTAGGAAGCTGATGTGAGTCAGACAGGGAGTCTTCATCATCCAGAAGTTTGACCATCATGTTGAGCTGATGCTGACTGGCTTCACAGAGTTCTGACAAGAAGTTCACTATTGCACATAGATTGAGCTTCTGTGCAGCATCTTCAAATAATCTGAAAGCAGTAATGTCCAGTTAAGAAGACATTGTAATTCAAAATGAACGAAGAGGCATAACTCACATAATACATGTGTAGGAGATATCCCAGTCTACAATCATATCATCTAAGGTGACCAACTAGGCAAAAACATTCTTTTGTAGCCTTATTTTACAAACTTTACATTAATTAATGAATTACACAATAAATGGACTTAAACTCATTAGATTTCTCATTATAGTCAAAATTGTGGAGTGATAGTTCCATAAATTTAACCATATATAGGGTGTACTTAAAACACTTTGTGTGATATAATAAATTTATTTGTAGGCAGAAGAATTAGTGGTCTCTACAAGTCTAAGCTAAAATCAATTCTATACAGGACACAAGCCTATCACATTTATGTGATTCCTTCTATTCTCAGTAAACACAATTTAATACAACTTAATGGCATTTTATGGGCATAAGTTAAGTCTCAGAAGAGACATCATGATCAATCAATAATACTGTGAATAAGCTTTCAGCTTCATCATCTGAACAAGGAACCAAAATGCCTATCACTCTTATCATCAAGATAACATCTTTTGTCTTTGATGAACTCACCTGTCTACCTCTTGTGACAGACAACACAAGGCCTGTGAGGCCTGGGCAGCATTGAGGACCCCTCCTCCAGTCAAGGAACGGTCCCAACCAGACTCCTTACTGCTTTGTCTGATCAGGTCTGGGATATTGATCCGGGGTGCGACAGGTACTGGAGCAGCCACAGGAATGGTGTAGATTGGCATGTCACATCTGGCAAAACAAATGAATAACAATTCAAATTCTTTCTATGGTCCTGAAGACCACAATCTTAATATAACCTTCCGTAATCTAGCTAAATCTTCAGATTCTGATGCAGTCTCTGTCCGTTGTAAGGGAGTTTGATTCCAACTATCATATTGAACACTAATATTACTTACTCATCAGGAATCTCTGGTCCTACGGAGTGTTCCTGTTGGACCTTGGGCAGACTGGACTGATTGTTTCCACTGCTGAAGTAGGTGTGCTCCAACTTTGATATAAATGCTGAGCACCTGATGATAAAAATGAATGAAAATATGAAATAATTGTAACATTAACAGGGCTGTTAATTCATCCAATGAATGGATCCACATTATCTTCTAAACCTTGATAAAGGCCTCCATCAACCTGGTCCTTCTCTTATTTACTCTGAATCTACAGCATCAATCCTATAGAATAGATGCCTACAATTCCTACCTGAAGACATGTTTCCAGCAGTCCGCCGAGTGGCTGCCCATCTCAAGTCCGTTAGTCATTACAACGTCCATACTGAGAATGTGAGAGGCATGCAGACGTACAGGCTTGATTTTACTAGACATTACAGGTTTGACCGATGACTTCGGATCAACACTAGGTGATTTCTGGGTGTCAATCAGTACACACGAAGTACTTGCCAACTGGGAGAACACTCTGCCACAGCGCTGCTGGAGACCTGTAAATACACAGATATAATCCAGTATCTCCCCTTCATGTAAATAACACTTCTACCACATTAAGTAGATGTTATTCAACTCTCAAGGTATCATCAATCAATGTAACAATGTATAAGTATACATGCTATACAATAAATGGCATACCACACAACTGGCACAGTCCTATGTGTTAGGCTATATATAAATCATTACTTAATCACAACAAGGCACAGTTATATATATTTGTTTGTATAAATCACTGCTTTACCAAAAAAAGGCACAGTTTTACATGTTTGGCCATATAAAGCATTACTTTATACCACATTCATTTTGTTTAAATTTTAACAAGTCAACTACCCCTAATTAGTATTCTTATTTGATTTGGAATGTAAATCATACAAACAATAAATTGATAATATTATGTTTATAAAGAAGCCTATCACTGTAATGGTACCATATAGATATTCAAACCAACTAAAATTGATCCTACCACTATCAATATATGACACCATATGATATGTTTCTCCAGAATTCAGTCATTGTGATGGTACCAGATATGTATAGATATTCAAACCAACCTAAAGCACAACACAGTCGAGCAGCCTTCTGCAGTCCATCCAGACTCATACAGATAGCTTCTCGGGCACGAATACTCTCTTCCTTGGCTCCTTCCGTACCCAACATCAGTCCCAAGCTGCTGGTGATCCCACAGGAACTCTTCCCATTTAGAAGGACAGAAAGTACATCTAACACTCCATCCCAGCAACGGGAGAGCACACGTTTGGAAAACTTCTTACCTGAAGAAGATAAAGAGGAGTGTATCATGTATAAGATCTCTCATGCCTATATATAAAGTAGATCAAACATAGTGTTAGCAAATACATGTATTGGAGGACAATGGACTTTACTCATACAATACATGACACAATTCTGACAATGGTGATAATAATTAATGATTCTCAAACACACAACCTACCCATGTCTGCGTAGAGCTGGTTGTCAGGTGGGTCTAGGTCAGAGTCTAACACTTCATCACTACTATTCATACCATTTAGGAGCTGGCCACCACGACTATTGCTTCCAAGTCCATCCACATCTACAAAGGTTAAGGTAGTACATTACATGTTATGTATGATATAAATATGTATAAAATATTGACAGCATGTGTTTTTGAAATTCAGTAGCGTATTTGTTGTGAAGATAATAGTAAACATACCTTTAAGAATCTGTAATAAGGGTGAGTCACCGTCACTGTGACAGCCAGCAGCCTGTAATATGTTTGTTGTGGTAACTTGTCGGTATACTTCACTCAGCCAAGCTGGAGACAGGAAAAGCAGCAGCCCAGTACCAAGTACCTCATCCACATACTGCTTCTGTAAGATAGAAACATCATAATCTATGAAACTAGTACCCAGGACCTCATCGATATAAACTTCTATAAAATATCACAAGCTATCATGTCAATGCCCTTGTAACAGTGCTCCTGACAAGAGGGTAGTTGATGTCCTCCACTGCCACAGTGCCTTGCCCCTAAAAAAAAATGACAGCTGATGTCCTCCCCTGCCACAGTGCCAAACCTCTGACAAAAGGACAGCTGAATTCCACCTCTGTTACAGCACCATATCTTTAACAAGAGGACAGCTGGTTTCCTCCCCTGTCACAGTACCTTACCCCTGACAACAGGACATTTATGTCCTTCTCATAACAGTACCTTACCCCTGACAACAGGTCAGTAATGTCCTCTCCAGATATAGCACCTTACCTCTGACAAAAGACAGTTGTGTCTTTCCCGTAACAGAACCTTACCTCTGACAGAGGAGAGACAATGCCTTCGGATGTACTGTAGGCCCCACTGACATCAAGCTTGAGGTTGAGGAGAAGAGCAGTTATGGTAGCCATATATACCCCATCAGCATTTAGTATGGCCATCTGACATGACGAAGAATTTTCTTCCGATGATTTGTACTGCTGGTCATACAGAGCTGAGAAAAAACAAAACCACTATCAAACAACACTGTGCTATCATGTGAGAAACACAAGTCTCCATGTTTAAACTTTTGATATTAGACATTTCAAAACAGTTATTATGCTATATTTGAAATATAAGAAACACCAAATGATTGTGTCACAATACATGAAGTACACATCCATACAGATTTCATGAATAGTTTTTTATTTATAAATTAGATTGGGATTCTCTCAGTCAGATAATCTGTGACAATATCAGTGACGTCCTTATAGACTGTCTTTTGTATAAAAAAATTGAAGTTATATTGAAACGTGTAGAAAAGTTTGAATTAATGTTATGTGTCACTACCTGAACTGTTTATGTTCATACCTGTACAAAAGTTTGAATTAATGTTATGTGTCACTACCTGAACTGTTTATGTTCATACCTGTACAAAAGTTTGAATTAATGTTATGTGTCACTACCTGAACTGTTTATGTTCATACCTGTACAAAAGTTTGAAGAAAAGTTCTGCAAAGCTTCATCCACTTCAAATGCTGTATACATCTTAACAATATGGGGCAGTGTTCGGCTAAGTTCGGAAATAAAAAGCCGGGCATTCTGTCGCTCCACCATCTCATACTCACTACCAAGTGTTTTGTAACGACGCTGGAGCTCGTCTTTGATGACACTCTGACTTTCCTTTCTGTTAGCATGAGTGTTTCGTTTATGTAGTGGAATCAGATTTGTAGTGTTATGATTTGTGACAAACACTTCAGTACTGCCTTCAGTGGGAGTGTTTCTGTCTTCCATATCACTGTCACTATCTTCACTATTGCCGGCCTCTTCAAGAGGCTCAGATACACTGCTCCTGTACTCCTGAACATCATCCTCTGACATCGTCAAACTGCTTGACCTAGAAAATTCTGTTGATAAAAAATACAAAATTCAATCCAAACAGACACCTTTTACCTGAAAAAATAATACACAGAGAGGCCTGAGAGTATCACATATATTTGTAGATTATTATTGCAGGATAATTGCAAATTTTCAGATGGTTAATCTATTTTGAAGTAAAATTTGTTGATTTAGTTTTTTCATTTGCTACTCTGATGTTTTATCTTTCATATCTCTTTCCATGTTGTGAATTAGACATTATCTAGGCTGTCATTGTCAGATCCTATACAAATTAATCATGGTTAGTTTATAAAAGACTGAAGTCGAGATTGACAAAATAATTTTAAACATGCTACAATACACACCTGATACATGCATTAATTTTATCTTTTGGAAGTAGATAATTGTGAAAATCAATATAAAAGAAATGGTTACATAAAAGTTATTACAGACAGTGTGTATTCAAACAAACTGTATCATTAAAAACACAATCTAAACTGTTAACAACAAAATGCATGATCTTTTTCCATGGTTGCTAAATTTAATTAATTCATAGCTTTTACTATCAGGTTTAATAAAACAATTGTTGGTATTTACCTCTCTCCAATGTGGCATGGTATTTGGAGATAGATTTGCAGACTTTGTCTGTCATGCCAACTCCTTTACACACCTGTTCTAGGGCCCCTAGTAACACGTCTACACAGGTGACACTAGTGATACACACTGCTGAGTCATTACAGTGACAACTCTCTTGTAAAGCATCCACAATTCTGTCAATACATCAACAATTGTTATACCACAACCCTCTACAATCACAATGATTTTGTTAAAACAAAATTGTTATGAAGAGTAAATCATTGAAAAGCTGATATACTATTAATTAGCAGATATATCACTAACTTAGGTTTACTTTTTTGGAGGGAAAAAGTCATATACACAACCTTAACAAAATATAATCTTACATTCATACACACAACCTCAATGAAATGTAATCTCACATCCATACACACAACCTCAATGAAATGTAATCTCACATCCATACACACAACCTCAATGAAATGTAATCTCACATCCATACACACAACCTCAATGAAATGTAATCTCACATCCATACACACAACCTCAATGAAATGTAATCTCACATCCATACACACAACCTCAATGAAATGTAATCTCACATCCATACACACAACCTCAATGAAATGTAATCTCACATCCATACACACAACCTCAATGAAATGTAATCTCACATCCATACACACAACCTCAATGAAATGTAATCTCACATCCATACACACAACCTCAATGAAATGTAATCTCACATCCATACACACAACCTCAATGAAATGTAATCTCACATCCATACACACAACCTCAATGAAATGTAATCTCACATCCATACACACAACCTCAATGAAATGTAATCTCACATCCATACACACAACCTCAATGAAATGTAATCTCACATCCATACACACAACCCACACACAACCTCAATGAAATGTAATCTCACATCGATACATACAATCTCAGTGAAATATAATCTTACTCCATACATAATAGTTATACAATATTGGCAGACACGCACAACTGTGACAAGGAAGTATGTGAGTTAACACACTTAACAAGTCAGTGTGTGAGTTAACAATAATTATATGACATTGACAGATATAAACATAATAATAAGAGATGATCTGATTACCAGTTACTCACAATTTTAGTAGAGCAATATCTGAATTTGGATTCTTTGTCCCAGTTCTCATATCTCCGTCTTGTGATTCCAAATCTAACATTGGGCATGCCAACTTGTACAGTCCTTCTGGAGTCTTCAGCAACTAAATATACACATTTGTCTACATTAGTAATCAACACCATGTAAGTTCAGTCAGTACAAATCTTTAACATTAACTATAAAAGTTAACCCATAATCAATCACAAATCTATCAAGACACTCAGACAAAAAAATTCAAAAAAGAAAAAAAGATATAAAAGTTTCACTTCAGTTAAAACATCAAAAATAGCTTTAATTTTAATTGTGTACCTCTTTGACAGCCTTTAGTGCATCCAGTCTGTGCTGAGGCGGTGGGTACAGTAACATTCGGTGGAACAAAGACTCCAGTACTGGTCGCAGTGATGTCACAGGGCCCATTAGGTCCACCAGGCGTACTGCAATACTGAAAAACATCATACAACATTTAATTGGCAAAACACACCTGACATCGACAAAATTATCCATACACAGGGCCCGGAACATCACTTCCATAGTTATGAACAAACACAGGACTGTAATGCAATTTTCATAATTATGAACATACATAGGGGCTTGTTTCACCATTTCTACAGTTAAAGTTCCTACAAACTTTACATTTTTTTTTTACAGATAAATGCACATAATTCTATCGTAAATGCCACTGGCTTACCTATAGATAGTCTTCGCTGTAGACACCTGGAGGTTAGGGGTGTTAGAGAGCACAGCACAGATAAATGCACATAATTCCAGTGTAAATTCCACTTGCTTACCTATAGATAGTCTTGGCTGTAGACACCTGGAGGTTAGGGGCTGTTAGAGAGCACCCTGAGCCCCTTCCAACATCCTCAAGTGATTTAGGGATGATAGCACTTCTCTCAGATTTTGGAGTCCCGAGTAGAGAAATCAAGCAAGGACACAAATATTTCCTAGAAAATGATATAAAATACAATCAAGACGATGTAGGAATTAACTAGAATATCTGCTAATAAGTAAATGTCATTATAAGATTTTTTTTTCACAAATGGATGACACTACGTCCAGGACCTAATCATTCAACTTAAACCTATTACCAAGTAAATTAACTGTTTACTTCTTACAGATGTCAAGTTTTAAAATCTTTGCCATTTATCACCTTGATTTCTACTGCACTTCTCACTCATTCTAATCTAATTTCTGAAATAATCCACATTACGGCTGCAGACAACCCTAAATGTTGTAGATATATCAAATATCAATCCTGAAACTTACAATATCATCTCTAGGAAAGGTAAGTTGATAGATGGAGACGTAATCTAACACTTCTAAAAACTGCGATCACAAAAGTTCCAGAAGTCCTGACCGTATTAAGATGACATATTTTTCTCCAATAGCTACTATCTGGTATTTCAATTTGGTGATTTAGCATGGGATACCAAGACTTTTCAAACAACTGATAGGTCTATATACAGACTTACCAAAGAACTTGTTAAAAAGCATTTTGTATTGACATAATGAGACTTACCAAAGAATTTCCTAAAAAGCAATTTGTATTGACATTCTGAAACTTATAACTTTGCATTCATGTTCTGAAAGCAGAATGGAATAATTCCTAAAATCGTACTGATATTCTGAAACTTACCAAAGAACTTCCTGGAAAGGCTTGTATTCTGTGATGGAGACAGGTGAGTTGGATATAACAGTATACACTCCCTCCAGGAGGAGAGGTATAGACTGGCGAGTCTGATTGGAGCTGTAAGACAATTTTAGTGATATACAGTTATTGAACTAAGTATATATATAGCATTTTATACTTCTTTACCATATTTGGTATTTATCATGATATAATCAATGTTTCATATCTCACTAACAAGATTTGTCTGTATATGATATTAGAGTTTATATCACTACCACATACTTTTATGAATGAGTGAAGATATCAGCAATGACTGACCAATCTTTGTGACTAAAAAAGACGTAAAGGTTAATCAGTCTTTGCTATGATCACGGAAGGATGGTTATGGAAATGAAATAAAAAAACACTATGTCAAGTTCACCATGTCATTTAAAAAAAATCAGAAAATGCCAACCATTGGGTTATAATCTTAAAACATTAACTGACACAAAATATAGATTAAATATTTTCTGACCTTGGTGCTTGCTCCAGCTTAGCCGTGAAGAATTTGAGAATGGCCACCACGTCTTTAAACAGACTTTCACAGCTTGGTGTGTCTGAAAGTAACCACACAATCAAGATATTCTTATTATCAAATGAAGTGAAGTACACAGTTTGAGTAATTGTGGTACAACATTCTCTTTATTCTACCAAAGTCATATTTTACTTCCTTCTTCCTCCATCAATCTTCATGGATTTATTGTTGCAGGTGAGGTCACTCTAACAGTATTCTGATGACGACATGCTGTTATTTGCAGCGTAAAATCTTGCACAATTATTGTTCTCAAACTCTTTAAACACAAATGTGTTCTGGAAACATACCTTTAGCCATGAAGTCAGCAAGCACATCATTTCTATCTTTGGTCTGAAATTAGAACATTTACATCAAGTGAAATGCAGAAATGTTTTTAAGTAACAGATTGAGTCTACAGATGTACCCATAAAAACATAGTAGGCCAATCCACAATTATATCATTGTACTTAATAAGTATTATCCCTTTTTTCTTCATGGACGTCAGCAAATCATGTCAATTTAAATTCAAATGATAACTCATTACAAAACCTTAAAATAACTTAGGTCTAATAAAATTATTACATGTACATGAAACCGATTGAAATCATAATAATTTCAGATTATCTAAAAAGTCTACATGGTTGAACGATTCTCACAAGTTTACAGGTGATTGATTCTAAACAAGATCTAGATAGAGTGAAGATAAAACAAAATCACATGCTGTCAGTAAAGGTTCCTATTTCCTATGAGGCTGCTTTAATGCACTAGTATAGACAAAACAATGCACATGTAGCTTATACCACTTATATGTCCCATGACTATATTCTACTATTGTTCCATTACAATGAATCCATATAACAAGCATGTTAGTTACATCCATAATATATTGCTAAAGAAATATACCAGTCATGTGAAAAAACAAAATTAACTTTTTACAAAAATTTTATTTTATTTTAAAACATTAATTGCATATGGATATGATCATATAAAACAAGTTAAACACATAAAGAATCTCTGAAATAATAAACACACTAATATAAATGATTTATCAGATAATCAGCTGTCTCACAAAAATCCAGGAGAGATGCTCAGATCCATATCTATTAAACATAAGTAGCCTAAATTGTTTTCACTAAAATATCTAACTTGGACTCTTACTTAAACTTACTTACTCTAACTTAAACCTCTCCATACAGTATGCAGCATATTTACTTAAGTAAGGAATATCACATCGGATTAAAATATAGCATTGTAGAAACATCAGGGAAACCTGGGTCTGATGATAACTGAAGGTAAAAAATATCTCAGAAACCAAGACTGAAGGTAAAGAACATCTCAGAAACCAAGACTGAAGGTAAAGAACATCTCAGAAACCAAGACTGAAGGTAAAGAACATCTCAGAAACCAAGACTGAAGGTAAAGAACATCTCAGAAACCAAGACTGAAGATAAAGAACATCTCAGAAACCAAGACTGAAGGTATAGAACATCTCAGAAACCAAGACTGAAGGTAAAGAACATCTCAGAAACCAAGACTGAAGGTAAAGAACATCTCAGAAACCAAGACTGAAGGTAAAAAGCATCTCAGAAACCAAGAATGAAGATAAAGAACATCTCAGAAACCAAGACTGAAGATATAGAACATCTCAGAAACCAAGAATGAAGGTAAAGAACATCTCAGAAACCAAGACTGAAGGTAAAGAACATCTCAGAAACCAAGACTGAAGGTAAAGAACATCTCAGAAACCAAGACTGAAGGTAAAGAACATCTCAGAAACCAAGACTGAAGGTAAAGAACATCTCAGAAACCAAGACTGAAGGTAAAGAACATCTCAGAAACCAAGACTGAAGGTAAAGAACATCTCAGAAACCAAGACTGAAGGTAAAGAACATCTCAGAAACCAAGACTGAAGGTATAGAACATCTCAGAAACCAAGACTGAAGGTAAAGAACATCTCAGAAACCAAGACTGAAGGTAAAGAACATCTCAGAAACCAAGACTGAAGATAAAGAACATCTCAGAAACCAAGACTGAAGGTAAAGAACATCACATAAACCAAGACTGAAGGTAAAGAACATCACATAAACCAAGACTGAAGATAAAGAACATCTCAGAAACCAAGACTGAAGGTAAAAAGCATCTCAGAAACCAAGACTGAAGGTATAGAACATCTCAGAAATCAAGACTGAAGGTATAAAACATCTCAGAAACCAAGACTGAAGATAAAGAACATCACAGAAACCAAGACTGAAGATAAAGAACACCTCAGAAACCAAGACTGAAGATAAAGAACATCTCAGAAATCAAGACTGAAGGTATAAAACATCTCAGAAACCAAGACTGAAGATAAAGAACATCACAGAAACCAAGACTGAAGATAAAGAACACCTCAGAAACCAAGACTGAAGATAAAGAACATCTCAGAAACCAAGACTGAAGGTAAAGAACAATTGAGGAACCAAGACATGGTGTCTGAAGGTAAAGAACATCTGGGAAACCAAGGCCTAGTGACTGAAGATAGCGAGCATATAGAAAACCAAGGTCTGGTGAAAACTGCATCTAAGGATCTTGAGAAATCAAGGATTGATAAAATCCATAGCTAAGATCATTTGGTCAATCTAGTAACAAAATAAATACTGTGTAGTCATAGAAACAATGTGTAATGTAATGTAATAGAACTGTAATCCAGTACACTATTTTTTTAGAAACCATTTTCATTTGTATTTAATGTCAATACCATTTTAACAAATTAAAAAAAATGGAAATAGAAAGAATGTTTTATATATAATACTGGTTTATCAGGCACCAAAAGTGATAGTTGCGTAAAATGATATCTGATGGTTTTGGTAAAACAATCAAGTACATGTTGTAAATGAGCCATTTTTTAAGCAGCTGGTGTGAAAGATACCTAGCAGAGTTTTTAATGACACAAAATTTTGGTCACACAGACATCTATCAGTCTTCTTATATTATTGTAATCCTACACACATATTTAGTGACTATCAAAAAGAAAGCAGAGATGTACAGTTAACTCCTAAACACTCTCTAAAAGCACATTTATAAGCATGCAGTAACAGTAACAAGTAAATATAACAGTTCATCATTCATTAGTAGTGTTAGGCATTTTGTGAAAATAATAACACAGTAATTATTCTAATATTTATTTCATGATTGTTACAATTCAAATTCAAATTATCTAATACTAGAAACAAAAGGATATGAAGACAGCATGCTAAAACTAAAACAAGAATTTCAAATTTGAATACAAAACCACTCCAGGGTAATATTATCTTCATCATAATGTTTAATTCAGAAAAAAAAGACAAGGTAAAGAGTGAGAGGTTATGCTAACACAATAACAACACCAGTTATTCCAGAGAGAAATTTGATTTATAATACTTTACACCAATAAATCAAAGTTTTTGTATGTGAGTGATGTTATGTTGTTTATCAATAGATAAAGAGAAAAAACCTATTAGCTATGGATATTAAATTTATACATATATTTAGATAGATATATGTGTAAACTATTGTCCCCTCAAATGTAATGTTTCAATTTAAATGTTAAATATGGAAATAAAGAAGACTTTTCAATGAAGAAAAGTAAAAGATGAGTAATTTACCTGGAAATTTGTGTACTTGAACTGTAACAATCATGATAAATATGATAAATAAATGTGTTTAATATGGTATCAAAGCTCTTCCCAGGTATATTAACATGCAATAATTATGGATAACATGTCAGTCATCCTGAAACAGGTGATATCAGAATAAAATCCATACAGAGGTTTACAAAGTCTTTTTATTTAACAGGACAAACGCTTACTTAATCAGTAGCTTTATAATTTGGTTTTAGGTTAGCAAGAACAAAACCTGGGTAGAACAATTGAATACAGAAGAAAAAAAAAACATAATATGCAGCTCCGGATATATAATTAATGCTGAAAGTAATTTAAAACAAATTACACAAGACGTGCAGGGCCGATCTTACCCCCTGATCACTGTGCCCCTGTTGGAGCTTTTCTGTAAAACAGCTCAACAGTTGTGTGAGGGCAGCTTTCACTGCCCCCCGCACACTGTGTGTGCTAGCGATGTAGGTATCTATGTAGACCTGTCAACACATCACATACATTTACATAACCCTAGTAAAACTGTAAAAGACTCCTAGAAAGGACATGTACTACACAATTCAAAAATATGTATATTTTGGATTAACATACATACAATGTGCAGGAAGTACCTGTGTACAATACACTGGGAATGTATATATGATATAGTGGAAACAGTGCCGTACAACATTTCAGGGATACAAACATATATACAATGATGTGATTTTGTCATTATAATAACCATTACCACAATCAGAATAAATACTGTAATAAATGAAATTAGTCTTGAACCAGAGAAATTGATGATTTCTAGATGGCCATGAATTTCATGTCAAACAAAAGTAATGGACATCGAAATTAATATGAAATTCATGTCTTTTATCACATGTACTTTTATAGTTTTTAATGGCTATGAAATAAATCTTTTAACCCCCTTTTAATGGTATAATTGAGACTAAATGCGCATGAATATTACTTGTTTATAAAATTTTAAATACAAATTAATGGTATATAGGTTTTCTAATAGGTTTATCAGATTCAATAATTTAATGTTTTGATTCAAATTAAGGAGTTTCCATATCTGTTGGTGTAGGCAACTGATTAATTATAAAATGTGGTAACAATTCCAGGAATACATATTGAACATGTCCTAAAAGTTAACAATTGATGTGATAATTTAAAATTAGTATGTATACACATTTTAAACACAGCTCTTTTCTTTAATATATAGAAGACATTCCTTAAGGAGGCATATAAGACACCTCAACTTAACACTAGTTCACTGGTTGTAAGCTTTATGGCTGAAGCAAACGTTACATGAATAACAATTCCCTTTTAAAGAGAAGAATGTCTTGTTCTTTCTTCACTTTTAGTTAAATACTGCAGCATTTAAGTAACTAGTTCAATAAAAGTCTTGTAACAATATCATATATTCTGATTTATCAATGATCATATCAAACTGGTCTGGATTTTCTTTCATACAGAATTGTAAGAAAGTAGCTATATATATATAATTATGTATCTAAATATGGCTGTGATGTTTGATGTTCAAGTTACATTACTGAGTAGGTACTACCTAGGTTTTCACTGACCAGACCAGAAACAATGAGTAGCAGAGGTAATTCTGAAAACAGGTGTTAGAAGTGTCATTTAATTCATACTGGCTGATTAATTGAGTCTATCAAAAAGTGCATCTTACCTCAGTTGTCCGAAACAAATCAACCAGAATCACCTCCATTTTAACTACATATCTAGTGACATTTATGAAATTCCCATAAACCTGAAGTGAAAGTGTTTACAAAATTGTTTACCTGAGAAACTTTAGTGATCACACCTGCATTCATACACCAAGCTGTGGAAAACGTCATCTTCAGGAGCAACTATAACAGAGAATTTGAAAAGTGACACAATATTAAAATAGGTTATCATACCTTGTGTTACTAATACCATTTCAATACTGCTGGAGATCAACAAGTCACTTGCAATATTAGTGACAAGGAATGTTTTGATTAAACATATCCATATATATTCATGAGGGACTGTACAACTTAGTAGTCATTGTATAATTTTGTAGGCAGAAACCTTAAATACAGTTAATCAGCACTAATTTATTTTCTAACTTCTTACGACTGGTCAGAGCAACATCCTAGATAAAGAAATCTTTCATGATGATCACAATGCCGTCATATATAATTCATTATTTTTCATTCTTGTTTTTTTTCAATCATTTTTCAATCTTTCTCTCTACTAAATTTTTCACATTTGCTTGTAATCAATAGTTCCTCACTTTTTCTTATATTCCATGACTAAAAAGACAAAAAACATTACTTTTCCAAATATGAATGTTCTATAGATACAGCAACGTTGTCTTACTTAGAATTAAAGTATAGCCAGTCCAATTGAAAATTTTAATTACTATACTGCAGGTCATGTCTGAATTTTAGTCCTAAAACATTTCTGAATAAATATCATCTATCATATTGATTTAATGGATAAATTCAGTTCATTAACAGGAGAGTTATCTGTACCTCTCCTTTATTCTGTATATAGAAAAAGTACAAGTCAAGTTTACTCTACCTGGGATGAAATTATGGAATTATCCATCATCTATGCATACAATGCTTGTGATGTTTTTAATTTACAAACATTCATGAAAGGTTTTTGAAATGTAGTAAAAACACAAAAAGACCGGCCACTGTAAACTACCTTCTATACTTTATTGATACTGTGTAAAAAGAACGACTTTGTGATGTCAAAAACCCACCAATAATACAATCAAATGTGGCCAGTAACTAGAACAGACTCAAAACATGTTTTTAGATTCAATATACCTTCATGATTTCCACCTGTGTGTCCTCTGGTAGGGAAGGAGTGCTGAACACAGTGTTAAGTATCTGGATAGGCAGCCAGTGTTCCTCCTTGTCACTCTCCATACTTGACTGGAATTTCTCATCCTTCAGTATTTGCTGGAATACCAAATTTGTTATAATATAATATAATGTTGTGAATTCATTAACATCCCATTCTTATAGCTATGAATGGAATTATAAATACAAACTCATCTGAAGTAGTCTCATCTTCTGTTGTGAAGAAATGACAGCACTAGAATGATGTCGCTAAATTCAACCTGTTAATGATTGTCTGTGAATAATAAGTGACCTTGGCCTTAGAGAAAATGTCCTGGTTGACTACAATATAAAGATTGTACAAAAGACATACAAGTGAATATATATCAATATAAAGTCAGAATTAAATACAGTTTCTATAGGCAAATAACGAACTAAACTGTATCATACAACTGTTTGATTAAAATCCCTTCTGAAAAGGTGTTGTTTGAGTAAAGGCAATGACTAAGGATATGTCACAATATAACAGACTTCAATAACTCTATAGGTTTTCCCATAAAATATGGAGACAACCAATGGTGCCAATAATGACTATGACCTTGAAAATCTTGAAACCCAAAATTCAAGCAAGTCATGTTCTTAATTTCATATCAAAGTGATCAAAATGCATAAAGAAATTAAGTTGCATGTAAGCTTGTAAAGACATTAGGGATGACACTGGGTTGAGATTTTCCCAAAGTATTGTCACATTCAATCTTAACAAAGAAAATGTGATCCAAAATCTGAGTAGATTTAGTAGTTCTCCATTGATGGATTCCTAAGGAATATAAGATGAAAGTGGAGATGACTGGACAACATCCACTGAAAAATGTCAGCAAAATTTGTTAGTTGATTTGCTTGGCATACTAGATATGCCATCATCAGAACAGTGTCACAATTCGAAAACATAGGACTTACTTTAGGTATGTTGTTGTAGTGTTGATGCCTCTGTCCAGTAACTACACATGTTGTTTACACTTAACATATAATAGAAAAAGTAATGTAAACAACATGTGTAGTTTTTGGACAGAGGCATTGACACTACTACATTAGTCCTAGTACGTGACAGCAAACCTACATGTAGTATGCCAAAACATGTCAGCTAATATATTTTGTTGATACCTTATGAAGGATGTTATCCTGCCATCTCTAACTTCATTTTACATTCAAGTGTTATCTAAATTTATTTAAAAATTTAAGTTGCTACAGAGAAGCATATAACACTTGATTAAGAATAGAACTGGATGTGAGGACCATGAAATAGAAAAGGTATGACATAAACAAATATTTTTTTACCTGTATTCCCCCAACAGCGTATGTGGCTAATTTCTTTGTTTTAGATTCTAATGCCAGTTGCAACGGTTCTAAGCACTTTTCTCTTAGAACATACGCTGGAGTCTGTGTAATCAAGGTAGGGTTCTCAAGTAAGTCTGAAAATAAAAAAATAGCAAATACTAGTTTGTTTTATAACTTATAAACTGATACAATAATATTGGTAACATTTAATATGTTTAAGGTTTGATATTTACCTAGAGCTGTTTGAGAAGCTTTCCTGATTCCTGCATGCTTTTGAGATGAGGCATCTTTCATCAGTTGTGTTAGCAGATCCTCCATTGTGAAGTGTTTAAAATTAGGATACTGATTTATATCCAGTTATTATATCTTTTAACATTTGTCATTGCCCTAATACACCTGAAAAGGAAAACTGTGTGTAATTAATCAATCAATCAATCAGTTAGGTATTAAAACCACAATATTAATATACATACATAGGCTCACTTTGTTTATATAATTCATCAACATACATGTATATGGAGTATTTATGTTTGATTGTTCTTTCATATATTTTTGTTTCTGAATCAGACAGTAAAAATATGTCAATCACCATAATACAGAGGTCATTGGATAAAATACTCATCAGGTAATCTGCTAGAATTCAGCAATAAAAGAAAAAACAATTGTTTATGTTTGTGATGCCTCTGAACAATCAAGATTATGGTTGACCTTTCCTGTCTACTTGTTAAAGCAATTGGTTAGATTAAGATTCTTTAGATGAGGTTGAAAATACTGCCTCAGAAGGGCTGGTTACTGCTTTTTCAACTTTGAACATTTCCAGTTTGGCTTATTTTCATTGAATTTGACTAACTCAGATTAAGATGGGAGAATGCCCTTGGCAGGACAATAATATGTCATAGTAATAATTCACTAACTGAAGTCAGTAATGCAAAGCACTTGGACAACAAAAACATACAAGTACATGTATATAATAAGGCCAGCAGTATCAGAAAAAATAATATTATTCAATTTCGGCAAGATGTTTGCCATCTTAATCATCTTCCCCTTGGGTTGAGATTAATAGAATCTTTCACCTTCTTTAGGGTGAGATAGGAAGATCTTCACCCTAGGTTGAAGAATATTTTGTTGTCAAACACAAAGCTTGTCGAGTGTTTGACAGCTTAACAATCTTCCCCTCAGGGTTTAGATCTCCTATCTCATGATCGCCCTAAAGGGGTTGAATTTTTTTTTTATTTCTCTAATCCTGTTTTCCTTTTCCAAATGCAAGACCAGATGTATTATTATACTCTTTATTATTCTCACATTGGGAAAACGCATGGATTAACCTGTCCAGGGTAAGAGAAATCCCAATCTCCAAGGAGGTGAAAAAAAACCCCAAAAAACAATGAATTAAATGGATATATAAAAAAATGCTACATGAATCAATCAGAAAATACTCAGCTTTTTATTGCCACTTATTCACATATTGGACAAAATGTGATATACATTATATAGTGATATACAACCTATGGTGGTATGTATTACTTAAACATGCATTTTGTTCTATAAACATCAAAATTAAATTGTCACAAAAAGCTAGCAGAATTAATCTGATTATTCTCAAGCTTTCTACAGCTGCTTATTTTGAAAAGATTGGTTATGTAACATTGGAGTAAAATGGTTTATATACACAGCAAAGCTAGTTAACTTGAACAAAGAGATATAGGCAGTGGCTTATCCCTCTATTTCATATTAAAAACTTTAGGTATTTCCTTTGCACTCTGTTACAACATAACATCATGTTAAATATATCATGGACGTCCTCATGTAGAAGTTGACAGCGCATGTCACCTTACTAACCTCTGTTAGAAGAGATTTTCCTTTAGTCCAACTGTTTAGTGTTTAGCTAGAGAAAGAGGGTCGCTAGTTCGAACCGTGGTGGGTGCAGGCTAAGTGGTTTTCATTATACCAATAACAATTATAATGCATCTTAGATATTGGATTCTTATATCATTGTAGGGTATAGAACTGCTAGTTGACAGCTGCTGAAGCCGCGAAGACATTACCAGAGCATATGTTAGTCTAATTAACTTAAATGATTGTATATGTTTAAATTCCTTTTTGAGCGAACATATTGGCTTTGACTGGAAGAAGATATATACATTTTTTCTCAACTTAAAAAAATCTTACACGTCAGCTTTCTCAGCTCTCTTCTTTCCAGGTTTTTTACAACTCGACATCAAACGCGGCCGCTTATATACTTAACAATATAAATAATAACACCCACGCACCAAAACTTTTTTTTCAAATAATGAAATGAAATAACATGCGATGGTACATAGAAAAAACCTCTATGCATTGCCTAGCTTGTGTAAATTTGACGCTGGATAAAAGGTAAAATATCATGTGTTGTGCCGCTTATAACATTACTGAATGATGAAAGATGCATTCGAATGGAAAGTTGAATTGAAAGCATTTGGTGAACATTAGATAGCAAAACCAAACTTGATTCCCGATCATATATATGAAACAATCGTCCAGGATGAGAAGACTGGCCTCATAGATATATTTCCAATCGTTTCAACTGAAACATTCTTTGTCATTGATTATCAGGGTTGACGTATCCTAATCCTTCCGACATCGACCAACTTCTGCTTTAACTCGTGATCAGTGACCTGAAAATCTACAAAGTATTAGTGTTAAGGCTGATAGGTACATTTTCCAAATGCACCTTTCCATATGAGTGAGACTGTTAATCATTTCCATAGCTAGACATGTTGCTGTATAAATATACGATGCATTCAACTGTAGAATATTGTTAATAGTAGCAACATTGAAGATTTGACAGCTTTCAATAGCGGATTTACAAACGAAATACTGGACTGTGGAGAACAAGTGTACTGTTTTTCGTCGGAGTGGTTTGACAACAATGTTACAAGACTGTTGAAATGTATGTTAAGACATAGTTTCATTTATATAATGTCAATATGTGCTTAAATTATATGTTTTATTTGTATCACAAATGGAAGTCTAAAGACTTATATAATTGCGTTAATGCTAATGACTAAAGACTTGCATAATTATGTAATGCTGTCATTAGGATACTGTAGGTTATGGTAACCTGAGTTTTATGTAATATCCTTGTTCGGCATTGATTTTTTTTAGCAGGAGTGGTATTTAAATGTGTAATACAGGATACATCTTTGTGATAAACAACACGTATGTATTATTAAGCTTCTGGCTCTCTGCTGACATTTTTTCTGACATTTTTTCTTTCTTTTTCTTGATCACAGACCTGATTCGGCAAACCATTGTACATGGTAGTGAACGTGATGATTCAAGCAGTGAAATCTAGAAAGGATGGGGTGTTTATCAGACAATAGCAACCAGGAGTTACTTTCTGCCAATTATACTGAACATGGTGATGAGAACCAGATCTGTGGGAACAAATGTAGCCAGCTTATCAATGGAGCATACACAGCCCTTAAGTCAAGGTTAGAGGTGTTGCAAAATTCATATTAATTAACAATTTTCTTTTCCTTTTTTTTTCTTTCAGTATTTGTGAAAAGTTAAAATCCTATAAAATGGGATCTATTGCATGCTTTGAATTGTTGGAAAAGAGGACTTGGAAATCTTTCAAGATGTAAATATAGTCTGTTGAAAAATATTATTAGGGATTATAGATTTCATACGTCTTACCTAAATGACTACATAAATATACAAAGTTTGATATCTTTGTAAGATTGCAGTTTAAGATACCCTAAATTATTACCGAAAGATGACTTCTGAATATTTACATATGTGACCGTGGTAAGATAGTAGCCAAAATATATTACTCAACTAGAGTGAATCTCTCTTTAGTTTGATCCGTTGAATGTCAGATTTGTAAACCAGGGTTCCCATATTTGAATCCTAATGGAGGCAATGAAATATATAATGACCTCCGTTACAGATATTGATGGGTATTTCACCTCAGCAATATCATATCATATTGAGCAATACATTTGAATATTTGAGTCTGATGTTTTAGCTGTTAAGATTAAGATAGAAATATTGTTTGTTATTTTCAATTTTTTCGTTATGATGATAATCTTATCTTAACCTTTGACTTAGGTATTTCTGGAAAGCTGTTTTATTGGGTCAGTTTATATCCCTCCTTCTGTGTGGACTAGCAGTCACCAGTGGTCTTCTGTCCAACCAAGGAGTTAATATACCAACTGGTGAGTTTATATAACAACAGTTAACCATTTAGTAACTACTTTAACTATTTACTCATGTAATCCAACAAGAGGGGAGACTCCATGATTGCTGATTTGGCCACAACAGACAAGTTTGCCATAGGACTTTACTGAGAGGGACACAGCTCAGTGGATGACCTGTTCATAGTCTGGAACATCTTTTGACAAATCTTTAAGTGTGAATGTGGTACAATACCCTGACAACTAAACCATAGAAAAGCCTTATATTAACTGCCAAATGGATTAAGTGTCCCATGCTTCTCTTTTGATAACATTGAGAAGATTGATTACGATGAACATTTTATGATTTTGCTTCAATCACAAAATTAGCAAGAGTAATAAGGTTTATAGTTATCACATCAGTTATTAATGAGATAGATTAAGTGTGATTGAACATAAGTGTTGACTGTGAAAGTGGGAACAGCTCATTCTAATGATTTTCCTAGGAATTGGGCATTTTATACTTCCTATGGCAAAGACAAACTAAATTTTCTCTCATCATACTTCCTGTGACAAAGGCATGCTAAACCTAGCTCACCATACTTCCTGTGACAAGGTATACTAAATGTAACCCTGGTAAAATACTAGTCACAATATACTTCTTGGCTCGAGAGAACTTCTCTTTAGCTTGATTGGTTTAGCGTCAGACTAGTAAGCCAGGGGTACTAGGTTGGATTCCTAGCAGAGGCATTGAAATAAATAATGACATAATGACCTCTGTTACATTGCACCCATGTAGGGACCCGGGAATGGTACTAAGCCATGCCCCACTAGCATTGCTATAACCCCTGGAAAACTGAGGATAAGTTATTTCCTAGAGGAATATGTAATCATGGTAAAATACTAGCTGCAATATACCACTTGGCTCAAGAGAACTTTTCTTTAGCTCAATTGGTTGAGGGTCAGACTAGTAAGCCAGGGGTCCCGGGTTCGATTCCTAGCGGAGACATTGAAATAAATAATGACCTCTGTTACATAAACATATGTACTAAACATAACTGATCGTACTTCCCATTGCAAGGGCATACTTATTATATCTGATCATACTTCCTAAGGCAAGGGCATGATACAGAGGATCTTAATTGAGTTTTCATTTCATGTGAATTTTTATGAAATGGATCTTGGAAGTTTTTATTATTGTGAACCTTGGCAAGCAACAAATAATTCTTTGACATGAGGTTCATCTAATCTGTTAAAAAAGTTACATTTTGACAGGTTTTAAAGTCAAATTGTGGAAGACAAAATTTAACCGAGACAGTCATATTGTTGATTCATTTCAATTCATGACATAACGTCATTGTCTGTATCATCATATCATAATCAATTTCTAACTGGTGCATCATTGAAAAATGCTCCAAGGTATATTACACAAGGGCTGATTGAGAAGTTTTGAGTCTTGTATTGAAGATGTTAAGCATTAGATGCCCTTTTTTTCAGATCTACTATTTCCTGACTATTTAAGACTGTGTGCCTGAAGACTGGTGTCTTTTTGGTCAGTTGTTGAAGAGGTAACACTCTAAAGTAAACAATGCATGTGACTGTTGTAAAATGAACAAAATTGCTGAAAGAGCAGTGATTCAATATTTGCTTAAGAAAGGTGTAGTACCTAAGGATATCCATACTGATATGGTAGCAACACTAGGGAATGATGCCCCTTCATATGCTACAATGAAAAGGTAAGTATGGCAGGCAGAGCCTTGAGAATGATGCCCATCCTGGAAGGCCTGTCACTGTTACAACCCCAGAACAGGTCAATAAAATCCATAATTTTGTTATGGCTGACAGTCAAGTTACATAGAGAGAGATAAACCCAGTACAGTTCAGGTTTCACAGGAAGAGCACATTAAATTCTTACTGAAGATCTTGCATTGGGAAAGCTCTCAGCCTGTTGGGTAACAAACTTCTGAAAGTGGATCAGAAGAACATCAGGCAGATTTTGTCACATGCTAATCTGAACCTGCTAATTTTCTGCAGAGGTTTGTGACTATGAATGAACCATGGGGCCATCATATCACCCCAGAGGCCCAAACAATAGTCTAAAAAATGAAGGCAAAGACTGTTCCATCAGCTGAAAAGGTATTGGCCTAGGTGTCCTGGGATGGTGATGGTATTCTGATGGTAGATTAACTGCAAAAGGGACAAACAATCAATGGCACATTTTATGCATCACTTCTTAGGCAGTTAAGAGAAAATATTAAACTCAAGCGCTGCAGAAAACTAGGTAAAGATGTGTTGAGGAAATAGGTTGTCTACCCTGACAGTGTTACAGTGGGTTATTTCACTCTGTGTTATTTGGCCATAACTCCACTTTAAGTGGGAGTCTACAGGTGTTGTCACCCTTAAGGAGGAGAGACACAAACATGCCTTATTAATAAGTGGAGTGAGAATTAGAGATCTCAACTGTAGGGTTCTTGATGTAGAAAAATCTATCACCAATTTTACTATCAAGGACGCCCCAATTGAATAACCTGATAGCTTGCTGTACACAGCATTGTCAGAGTATGGACATCCAAACCAGGGCAGCTTCAAAAGAGGAAAAATCAAAGGAACTGACATAGAGACAGGAACAAGATATATACAGCTTGTGAATGCTAAAAATATTATTCCTAGAGAAACAAAATTTGGGCGATTCAAAGTCAGAATGTTTGCTGACAACAACAGAACAGAGTGTATTTACTGTGGTCAAACTAACCATCCTTTTTACAAGTGCCTGAGAAAGCTTAGAATGGGACAACAAAGGCAGTGTTACATGTGCGGTAGCCCAGCACACCTGGCCAGGAACTACTCAGGTAAGGACAAAAATAGCACACAACGTCAGAGTACAGGTGAACCTCTACCGGAGAGTGGGGCTCATGGCGGGGAAAACATTATGTCTCAATCAAAGGAAGATGGCACTAACAATACTTTAGAGGAGATTAGAGAGAACACAAATCCTGAAAATTACTCAGATAATGGACCACAACCTTAATCTACACCAATGCCAAAAACTGAGGAAACCCCTACCATAACAGCAGTTATTCTTGGGGCTTCTAACTGCAAAAGAATGTGTATAGAGAATCCAAACACAAAAATCATCACAAAATCCGGTGTGACTACCACTAGAGTTCAGGAACTTCTTGGCTGGTTGTGACAAGGACGTAAATACCAATGATATTCAGGAGGTTTTTTTTTAGTACTAGGAACAAATAATGTGTCTGGCAATAAAAGTGATGCTGAAACTGTTGAAATTTCATTTACCAAAGCTGCAGACAGTATCTGTGCTTTCTGCCCAAACGCGCATGTGTACATTTCCAGTATAAAACCAAGGAGAGGACAGTCCAAACATATTGAAACCTTAAACAATACAGCAAAGTCGGTGAACTCTTTCATGCAGAAATGGTGCAAAAATGTTAAGCGAGTGAGTTACTTCGAAATAGACAAACTATTCCTAAATAAGGATGTCCCCATCAAAAGGCTCTATGACCTGAATGACACACAGTGGGTTCAAATTAGTTCTCAGGGAGCTGAAATGATCTTGGCATCCTATAAGGGAATCTTAAAACAAAGTAGGAAGTGAAACCGTAGTGATACTACACTCGACAATCCTTGATGTTTGGAGAAGGAGAAACTAAGACTAAATATGCTTCACATCTAGGAGAAGTAAAGATGTGTTGTTCCACCAGGACAACGCCCCTGTTTACATGTATGTTATTGCCATGGCTGCAATTAATGATATATTTCCAAAATTGAGAAAAGGCCTTTTCCAGTACTCTCTTTTGGTCAGATGATGACGTCATACATGCAATGGAGGACTTTTTGAACAGTTAAAGAAAGGATTTCTTTAAAAGTGTCATTGAGGCCATTAAACATTGCTAGCAAAAGTGTATAGATACTTATGGGGATTATGTTGAAAAAGAATGCAAAGTTTCTGCCAAAAGTCAAATCAGTGATTGTATATGCAAAAATATTATATTGTCCAATTCACTGGATAACCTGCAAGATTATGTGATGAAAACATATCTGATTATACATGGAAAGGGTATGATAATTTCATGTAGATGACCATATTGGTGGAAATGACTGCAAAGGTCATTGATTCCACATCACAGGCTGTCAATTAAGGTTGATTGTAAGATTAAACCAGGTGAAGATTATTATAATAATATCTTCAGTTTTTGACCTTAACTGCAAGTCAAGATCATCATAATGATTGTAGTCTATATCTTAATGGTGTGTCTGTAATTGTAGACATTAACATAGAAAAGGAAATGGTAATTTACAAGGGAAATATGTAATTTACAACATAGTTGGTATTGTTTGGTCTTTTAAACACAAAATTTTATCTTTCCTTTTGTGTAGCTCAATGTTTCCTCAACTACTTGTTGCTGTGTTTGACCTTCACGCCAGTCCTAGCTTGCCGCCGTGATGAGAAAAATCTCTGCCAGCGTTTGAAGACTTGGGGCTGGAAGTATCTCCTGATTTCTATTGCTGATGTGGAGGCCAACTTTCTGGTGGTCAGTGCATACCAATTTACCACTGTCACCAGTGTCCAGGTAGGTCAGGGAATCGAAGTTGTGTGTAGAATATTAAAACAATAACTTATAAAATTAGTAATATTTTATTGTGTAATAATATTTATTCCTTGTTCAATGTTCATGTATGCATGATAATTTCTTTCTTTAATGAAATGAGAACATATTACTGACCCAATAACTGACCTCCTGTGATTTCTTCTTCCTTTCAGCTGTTGGATTGTTTCAGTATTCCTATGGTTTTAGTGTTGTCATGTCTGGTCCTCCGTGTTCGGTACAAACCACTCAACTTTGTAGGAATTGTTGTTTGCCTTCTGGGTATGGGTGGACTGATACTTACCGACTTTCTGTCTGGTAATGTTGATGTCAAGAACACTGGCAAAGGTGAGTCAAGTTCACCTACTATTGGACTGTGAGATCAAAGTGTAGAATAGATAAAGACAATTAACATCATGAATGAAATAAAGAGAAGATTGTAAAAATGACTGCAAAAAGATCCAGCAGATGTTACCATTAGTACCTAAGGCACATACTGGCAGTGTCCATTGTTTTTGTTATTGTTGGGAAACATCAGTAATATATGTCTGTATCACCTGATCATTTCCTATCACTGAAGTAAGTGAAATTCTGTCTACAGTTTCTAAAAAATGACTCTTTTTGTATTGTTGAAGATTTATGGATTAAAACATCATGCTTATGTACAGTGTAACGTGCTAGATGATGTTCTGATTTGACTGTATTAATCCATACATCAGCTCATCAGCCCTGTACTGTTTGGTGTAGAACACATGACGTTGTAGTAACCCAGGAGATATATAGGGGAAGGTTGTTAGGTATCATTTTTGTATACAAAAAGTAACTTACTTATAGACTAACATCTGTTGTCTCAAATAGTGTGCCTGGTAATAAGCCCAACCACATTGTGGATAGTTTCAGAAGTCAAGCAAGCAAATACTTCATCATTTCCTTGTAATAAGTCCATCAACATTCTTTGAGTCAAAGATAATATTAACTTTCCCTGGCTATAGGGGTTTTGTAATATCATACTATCCTTGGCAATATTTCTTATGGTCTTAAGCATGAGTGAAAAATACTTTTTCATAAAAAACTGAGTAAACTGATATTACAATTTCATTTCAAATTGTTTTGTTAATTTCCATCAATGGTAGTTAGTACACAGACTAGTTAGAACTATACAAACCCTCTGCCTAGACGACTAATGTTAACAAATAGAAAATTTACCTGATTACATACCTTAAGCTGTTACATTCATATAACAGATCTTAGATTGTGATGATGCATTTATGAGAAAAAAAAATTATTTAAAAAAATAATAATGGTTAATAACTAAAACATTATATTCTGTTGACTGGGGTAAAAAAGAGGAAAAACAATTTTACCATATTCAATTCAACATCAAATACAAAATCAACAAATCTTTAGCACAGAATGCATAATCTTATATATTGTATGACCCAAAAAATGTGTACAACTATGAAATAAGATTGCTCAATCTTAATTCCACTGTTTTTATGGTTTGATCACCTGGAAAGCTAAAACATTGAAAACTGACTCTAATTTTTTTTAAGCACCCAACAAGGTCTTGGGAGACATGCTGTGCATCGCAGGTGCCTCCCTGTATGGTGTGTCAAATGTGGCACAGGAGTATGTGGTCAAGATCTATGACAAGGCAGACTTCCTCGGCATGGTTGGTCTTTTTGGAAGTTTTATCAATGGAATCCAGTTGTGAGTAAAAGCAAACATAAAACACTAATAATTATAATCATGTTATGATAAACCATTCATATTTAAAGAATTCCTTATTTACATATCTTATGATATCCATTGATGTCATAATGTAACCCAGTACCTGATTAGATTATTGGGTGCTTTCATATGTTTGTGTTTTCAAGTGAAAAGTCATCATCTTGGTTTCATTTTAAATTTAAAGCATCCTGAACATTTTAATTAAGTAAGTTTCAGTCCTGAATCCAAAATAGAATTTAGGAACTTCTTATTCTCAATGACTAAAAAATGTAGGGTTGCAATAATTGACTAACAGTAATAACATGCATGTGTTAAGGGTTTTAACATTTTGCTGAAAGTGACTCCACCGACAAATTCTTCTCTCATTAAGTTGTAGAACAGGCAAACATACAGACTCATTTTGCTCACTTGTTTTATAAAGCTATTTAGGAATTATCACTTTGTATTCCAGGCAGTGTAGAACATACCTGATACATACTTAAATCTAAACAATTGATAAAAACTTCCTTCATTGGTAAAACTTAATAACTCATTTTTTCCCCAGTGTTATCGTTGAACGGGACAGAGTCATGGAAGTTGACTTTTCTTCCTACCATGTATGTAAGTATCTTTCACATACAATAGAATGTATTCTTACATTAGAACCTTGTTAGTGCCCTGCATGGAAAGGCAGGTGCCCTGTATTAATTGTGATATCTGTACATCATCCTGTTGGCTGTCCATCTATCATCAGTCCTTTAACATGCAGCTATCATGGATTTTGAAAGATACAGTTTATTATTGCTGTTTCTTGAGTGGATCATTCTCAAATTCTATGAGTAACTTGCCTTTGGCCCCTTCTCATGCAGTGTCCACCTTTGGACAGATCAGAAACACATGATGGCCAACAGGGGGTCATCTATAATTTTGGCATTTGTACTTTGTAAATCAATATCTGTTTTTTCGAAAAGTATTTGGTTGATTATTCATTCCCAGACTGCATGTCTAGGTTTCCTTTGGTTTTTGTTGTGAGAAAAAAACATGGCCAAGAGGTGGCCATCTTGGATATTGTACTTTAGAGATAATTGAAGGATCTTTTGTTACATTACCTGTGTTGTTTTATTATTTATGTGTTCCACTAACTGTGTACAGTGCTTATTATTTTACAGTATTGCCTCTGATAGGCTTCACAGTGTTCCAGTACCTCTTGTACACCTGTATGTCTGTCGTGATTCAGCAGACTAGTGCCACTGCTGTCAACATCTCTATCCTGTCAGCTGATTTCTACTCTCTGTTATTTGGTCTATACCTGTTTAAATATGAAGTAAGTCCTGTTAAACCTGAAGAAAATTTTGTTTGATTTTATATACTGTAAGTCACTTATATTTAGGGTGGGATTTATTTTCGCGTGAGTATGTGAGGAGAGGTGATCGTGAATTCAAATCTACCACAATTATTTTTACTAGAATAATTCTGACTAGCATCTGTGATAGTTGGTAACTAATAACTGTCTAGAAGAGTCCATGCCTCTAATAGCTACCTATAAGGAATTTCAAGTAATTTCTAGATCAGTGTTCCAAAATCATGTGTTCACAAATATGTCTGAAGAGGTAAGTTGGCGAAATAAATTACTTGCAAAGTTTAAGTGATTCACAGTATGTATGGACCTAAAATAAAGTTTGCCTCTGGTAAGTGGGCCTAATTTTCCTACTTGAACTTTTTTTCTGGTGAAAATTCACTGGGAATGGATGTTTTCATCAAAAGCCTACGACAGTAAACATCTTCCTTTTTTGAAGGAACAGTTCAACAGATGACCTTTCAAAGTTGAACAGAACTGATGTCTATTAATGTTAGGTATTAAGATAGCTCTGCAATCTCTTGTAAATAAAGATCTTAGTTTTAAATAAAGATCTTAGAATTGAGTTATTTGTTGAAATGTCTGACACTTATTATTATATGAAAGCCTACCAAATGTTGATCATGACATTGCTCTTTTCTTTGTAGTTCCACATTCTGTACTTTCTGTCATTTGTGCTAATCCTCAGTGGATTAGCAATATATTCCTGTCAGTCAACAGAATCACAACTAGCAGACATCACCAACAATAATCCCCCCACAAGAGACTCCTATGAAGAAATGGAGGAATCAAGTGTGGACGACTGACAACAACTTATCCTTCCATGACCACCAGTGTTAATTTAAACATATCTATGAATTGATTGTGTAAATTTTCATTATATTTTAACCTTTTGAAACTTATTCTTTGGGTAAGGAATAATGATATTCATATGTGCTGGATTATAATTTTATTTTAACATGGGAGATTATTTTAGGTTTTGTGCAATTGTGCTGTATTAGCAAAAGTGATAAACTCTCCACTAATTCAAGATTGGTCTCGTTATACCACTTTGTGTAGTCAGGATGTTTTATATTGCCTCTAGATTACCTGATATATGATTGTATAAGCAGTTCAAATATATGTAATATATGCATTGTAGTTTTAAATTTTAAATGAGCAGTTGCGTTGAAGAATATACTAAAATCCGAGTTCCTCATTGTCATTATGTTTACATATCATGGTCAGTAATGAGCTATATACACACTTAAATTTGGAAATATGGGACTTCATATTTTTCAAAATAATGTTTTTGTACTAGGTTTGAAATTACTATTTGGACAGCCTTAAATTGGTGTCTTCACAGCTAAAACTAACTTCACAAGAAGTGTAAACATTATGTTCATATTGAGTATCTGTTTCGAGTTTGGATATTTTACTGTGACAGTGTTGTTAATCTTTAGACATTTATTCAAGAACAGATTTCTTATTCAAAGGTGTAGTTTGGGTATAAATTAATATTTTAGCAATTTTATCATTTCTGAATTGGTAACCATGGTTTTCACTTGTCAGATATTGAGGGGAAAGGTTTTGTACAATTTTCATTTCTCTCTTACAGTTACAACTTCTATGTTAGTATATATAACAATATGTACCTTTCAGGGATTTTTTTTCACAAATAGTTAAATACAAGCAGATTTTAAGAAGGTAGCGGTTTGACTGTACCCGATGTTGAAAAAAAATTATGTCACATTTTGGTAAGTTAGGTATTCACCGAAAGGTTTTGTGTGGTGTCTGGCATCTAAGCAGGATTATCAGTATTCAAAACAAGTTACACAAAGCATGGTAAGCATGGAGAACTGTTATCAGATTTAGTTACATTAACATACACCTAATCCACACACATCTCTACCTAAAAAACTATGGTTATTTACTGTATATCATCACGGGGAAGTGCAATGTATTTTAAGGAAGGTAGGAGCAATAATGGAGTTTTAAAAAAAACACTGTTTTCAATGTATTGTCATTGGAAATTTTAGAGGAAAAAAAGGGCAAGAATAGAGATAAATACTAAAATATAAAAGTATAAAGATCTTTAGCAGGCAGCTTGCTGCCTTTATGCAAATAAGTATCATTTTACCTGTAGCATATACATATGTATAATTCTGTTTCTTTCACATATATCCCATACAGTGTTGTGATGGTATATACCAAGTCTGGTTTTATTCCCTATTTGAAATGATTTATTAAGTAAGAGCTAAACAGTATCTGGTTGATTTTCAGTTTAAGCAATCATAGCAATTGCTGGTATGTATCTTTGAATATTGGAGTGTTGTATGAAATTCTTTACCAAGTATGCACCCTTTATGAAAAAAGTTATAACAATAATAAGATTTTTGACAGGTGCCTTATAGTAGGTATATATGATTTTATGGTGCTATTGAAATGTACAAATACATTGAGGTAAATGTATTACATTTACAAGCCTTTGTGTAACATCTAATTTTTTAAGAGATGATGTTCACCAGAGTGTTGTATATCTATTGTACACAATCCAAAGTCCTGTTCTTGCAACCAAAATTTGAATTTTTGTACACATCATTTAGATATTCCTGTAATTTAAGATCTGCTGATTTACACAATGTGGCATTTCTGGATAAAGTTAATATATATGTATGTAGCCCTTCTGAGTTATACAATGCAAACAAAGTATGATAGCTTTGTATGTACTCAAATTTAACACTTAACATAGTTACATTATCAAATGAGGTGTGAGAAAGTATTTGAAAGGATCGCTGTAGTAAATGTGATGGTTGTATGTACCATATGGTAGGAAGGTACACCCAAAGACAGCAACTGGCTCAAACATTTTGAATGTTTTACACAGCTAATTTTGCATCAAAACAGTGTTTTATATGATCTTTTGTATGTCACTGTCTGGATAATGATTGTTAAATCTGTAATTCGCCTAGAAATAACAAATGCATCACAACATGATATGATCATCACATTTACTACAAAGAGGATGGTACACTGGGTATAAGCTTTAGATGTCCATACCTTAATTACTGTTGGTTTAAGAATGTACTTGGAATCTTTTCACATGGTTTTACTTTTACCTACTAATTATATGATAAAAATTTAAGATATAAAGTTACTAAAAAAATTACACTGAAATAAAATAGTTAGGGATGCACTGCTTATAACAATAAGAAAGCATTTGTAGATGTATATGTTGCTTAGGGTTTAGTAAATTTTCTAAATAACTTTTTAAAAAAATTGAAATCACAATTACACTGACCTAACAGTGTAGAAGGAGATGACTTAATAATGAAATTTATATAATAAAAGCTCTGATACCACATTATCTCTTTACATTATCATTTATCTTACAGAATATTTTATAAAGAATTAAACAATAATTTCAAGTGGAACATGCAAATTGTTCTACATGTCCATTTAATTGTTATATTGATCGATATTAAATACAATTCATTTAAAATTTTTAAAGTCTAGTATGATATTGTGTTTAGTATAATTGTGGGAAATTTACTTTTGTTCATTTAGAAATTTTAATTGTTTAATTGAAAAATTTTATTGATCATTAAATTTTTGTTTAATTATGAAAATTGTTTTCAAGTCTTTTGTTTCCATTGAATGTCAGGTGTCCTGGCCTAGATTTTTGCTGCTGTGGATTGTTCATCATCTTGTGCCATCCACCATCCGTAAACTTCAGTGGATTTCAGCTTAATTTGGTCTGCAACAATATAACGAGAGGGGAATAATTTCTTAAGATCAGAAAGCTGAATGACCCCTAGGGACCTGGGGGTGGGGCCCCAGTAGGTTTACTCGAATACTTTTGCTTAAAAATGCTTCTCTTCCTATATGCTTGAACGGATTTCATTCAGATTTTGTATTTAGGGGTTGGAAATAATTCTCAAATTCAGAAAGTTGATTCAAACCCAATGGAATCTGAGCCCCAAAAGGGGAAATTAGACAATATTTAGTTTCAAAACACTCCTCCTTCTTGATGCCTGTGCATATCTCAATCAAATTAAGTCTGAAACATTATTGCAGGTAGGTTATCGTTTCTTAAATTCAGAAAATTGATTCGACCCTTAGGGACCTCGGAAATGGGACCCTACAATTTACTTAGACAATACCTTGCTTCAAAACGCTACTCTTCCTTAATGCTTGAATGGATTTCTTCCAAAATTGGTTTCAGATATCTTTTTAGAGTGGGGAATAATTTTTCAAATTCAGAATGTTGAGGGCCCCAAATGGGGATGTTTGACAATTTTGAGCTCCAAAATGCTACTCTTTAATGCCTGGGTAGATTTCAAGGGCACAATCATGACATCAGACTGGTCTATTTATCTGCTTCCTTCGAAATGCAAACTGCCTTGGATGGGGATTACTGAACCATGAACATTTTCACATGAAGTAAAGTGTGTTGTCTCTCAGACTTTCTTACCTATCATGGTCCATTCAGTGACGTTAGATTGTGACAGTAAATCAATCATTTGCAACCCCTTTATTTTTTATATACAGAGCATAGTAAGTTTAACACATCAAATGTCTTTTTGCTTCTGATCTACTTTCTCTGTAAATTACAGCTGTTTCTGACTATTCAAGATCATCTGGGAAAATGGACAAATGTGGTCTTACTTTCAAGTATGACCACTTCGTCAGAATTCATTTATCATCATTCTTGCCAATAATATCACTGTTCTTAATTAATTCGATATGATTTATTATAAAACAGATTGAAGTCTATAGCTCACTTGGTTTGAAGGACTGTGGCGTGTCAGCCATTGTCTCTCTTTATCCCACCATGCTAACAGGCCTGGGACATCTTGGCCTTTCAATTATTGAGAAGTTGTTTTGAGATTTTTACACATTTTGCCCCTGTGACTTAGAAAGTGATCAAGGACATTCATTTGAACAATCTTAGTAGCCCTTCTAATATCATGCTACAGACACAATACCAGCACCCTTTGCCTTTTGGTTATTGAAAAGAAGTATATAAATATTTTAACATATATGATCCATCTGACTGTGATAGTGAGTCAAGATTATCACCAATACTCATTCAGAGGGACATTTTCTGTTAAGCAGGTTTATTTTCGCTCTGTACTTTTAAACAGTAAGTTTGGGTGTCTTTGGGCAATGTAAAGGAAAATCATGAAATGGAAACAATGTCCTTGTTGCCTGATTTATAAGTAAGAGAAAACAAGACATCCCAATCATCATATTTTATTATAAGTAGAATCATTTCCTTTGAATAAATTGTCTCATAATCCAATATGCACACCTTTGGATCAAGGGCTACCTACATACCAAATTAGATCACCCAGTACTTTTTTTTTCAATTTTTCAATTGTCAAATTAAAAGACAGTTGACCCATGGCCCACTTTTGGTTATTCATATCAGTCTCACAATGGACACTGTACAACAAGGCACGTAGGGTAACTAACAGATAACATTTTTTCTAATGAAGACTTTAAATACTTACAACAGAAGTAATGTTAAGGTCACACAAATTTTATTTTTTCATGTTTGCCACAATTATGTTATCAAAGGTTTTTTTTTCTATATTATATACAATTATTTCATAAAATGTATAGCAACAAATTATCATTAACATAATGGTAATGAGACACCAAATGATGCATCAATACATATACACAGTAAACACCCTATAGTTTCTGCAGAACTCTTAGAGATACTGCTCTACTAATTAAAAGCCATATTTTGGTACATTATAAATCTACATGATTTCAAATGATATAAAAGTTATGTACGTTTTGCATTTGATGCACTTTGTCGAACATGCATTCACTGTTCAAATTCTTGGGGTGGATGGTAAATTAAGTAAAACAGCATCCATCTACACAACTAATGAATATCAATAGCTGAATAACTCATGAAGGAAACGGTTGCACACTAAAGCACTCAAATCTTATATTGTTGTCGGGACAGGAAGTATTGAAACCTCATATTTCAATTTAAAAGCATATCAACACTGTCAAATGTTCACAATGATTGATACCATCTCATGTTTGCTATTCGTTGACCTTGAAATGAACACTTGTATAATGTGTTTGTTCAGATGAGAAAATAGAAATTCAGTTTGATGAAATATTTTTAGGATAGGTTTATAGCAATTGCACTAGATAATCATCTAACTCCCACATGTATGGGTGTGATGATCAGTTTGAGGATTCAGATGCCTTGGCCTTCTGCATGGACTGTAAAGCACGCTCCCTCAATTTTCTCTCCTCCATCTCAGCATTGTCATCCTCACTGTCAGATGCCTGTCAACAGCGAACACTGTGTCCATTACAAATATAATTATCAAACACTACACAGTGAAAATACTTCACTGGATCAGGTCCAGGGCCCTCCAACACCCATCAACTATTCTATATTGAAATTCTACTTGGTAAAAGTAGCACACATATGCTAACAGTAATAAGTGTAATGAAGGTATATTTGTCAACTTTCAAAGTCACTTCAAGACAGATCCTAATATATGTACACAAATATTTCCATTCATGAAATTTAAGGTTGAAAAATTATCCACTGACATCTTTCAGCTATACTAGCCACAAGCAATCTTTCTTATTTTACAAAATTAATTGTTTAATCAAAAAGAATTAACTTGCACTGGCCTAGATTGACCAAAAATCCATTTAATGGCAGTTACATTCTTACCTCATCTTCAATTTCACCCTCCTTATTTTTCTTATGCTTGTGTTTCTTGTGCTTCTTGTGTTTCTTGTGCTTTTTCTTTTCCTTTTTCTTCTTCTTTTTGCCTGCACCTTCATCTGATCCCTAGGTAATTGAAAAGGTTATGAAATATCAGTATGCCTTGGAAGAAGACTGCACTAAATTTCCTATTTCACAGACATCAGCTACACACCATCCCTTTAGCCCAACCAACATAACAGAAAAGCTCAATATGAAAGAATTCTTTTTGCTTTTACTTTTACTGAAGAAAATTCTTTTTCCCATGTTTCTATTAGTGATATGATCCCATTTGGAGTAGAAGAGATTTGACCTCGAGAAGGAAAGTTTTTGTCACTTCTACTTGACAATGAGACTTTGAAAAATTTTAGTAATGTATCCAGTTTTAAACCTTCCTTTTAGTCTCTAGTCATGAAATATAACATTTCGGAGAAATCTATACTATGAGCAGTGATGATTTCATTAACAAAAGTGGACAAATGATCACCTTCCAAAAGATATCATTAAAATGGCCCTGTGTAAATTTATGTTTATACTGCAAACAATACAAAATCATGCAAAATCGAAACTGAATGCTCCAAATTTTCATAATTACAAAGTCTTTAATTGAAACAATGTTAAATGAAAGGCGTTATACCTGGACATCAACAATGTCTTTTAACATTGAGTAACTGTGCATCACTTAAGAAATATGTACCTCAAAGTCACTTCCTGTTGGTGGGCTCTTGTCCTTGATCCTCCTCTTCTGAATGTCCTCGTTATCCACATAACCTCCATCCCTGCCTGGCTGGGAATCAGGAGAAATTTCTCTATCAAAATCTCTTTTGCCTTGGTTAATAGTGATGGTCCTTTGAATATCTTCATCTCTGTAATCCCTTTTCTGACCCAGTCTGCCTTCATCTCCCCTTGATCTAGAGACAGGTTCTGGACTAGGTGAAGGCCTGCTCCTCCTCTTACGTGGAGCATCAGGAGATGGTGATTCCCATTGTTGTCTAGTGGCAGGAGAACGGGTTTGTTTACCTCTTTTATTGGGAGGAGAGGGGGATGGTCTTCCTCGTTGAGCAGGAGAAACAGATGACTTTCTCCTTTGAGGTGGAGACTCAGACTGTCGTCTCCTCCTTTGTCTAGTTGGTGAGCCAGAATGTCTCCCCCTTTGTGCTGGAGATGCCGATGGCCTCCCTCTTTGAGGAGGTGGAGATACGGATGGTCTTCTTCTCTGAGGAGGTGGAGATACAGATGGCCTTCTCCTCTGTGGAGGCGGAGATACAGAGGGTCTCCTCCGTTGAGGAGGAGGAGACAAAGAGGGTCTCCTTCTCTGTGGAGGTGGAGACACAGATGATCTCCTTCTCTGTGGAGGTGGAGACACAGATGGTCTCCTCCGTTGAGGAGGTGGAGACACAGATGATCTCCTTCTCTGTGGAGGCGGAGATACTGAAGGTCTCCTTCTCTGTGGAGGTGGAGATACTGAAGGTCTCCTCCTCTGCGGAGGTGGAGATACTGATGGTCTTTTCCTTTGTCGGATAGAAGATTCAGGTTGTCTCCTCTTTTGTGGAGGTGGCGATGAAGATTGCTTTCTCCTTTGTCTGGTAGGAGATCTGGATTGCTTTCTTCTGTGACTAGGAGATTGTCCTACATGTCTGTTTCTCTCTGGAGAATCCCTTAAGCGAGAATCACGGCGCTTTGCTGGAGGGGATGGTGAAGGGCTGGGTGACATCTGCATACGTTTCTTTTGACCTTGGGTGGAAGAGGAACGTGACTTAGCTTCCTGTGAATGTCTTTGTCTTTGTTGCACCTCAGGGGAAGGAGATCTTTGTTTTCTTCTAAGAGCAGGTGATCTATGCATATCAGGAGACAAAGACTTTCTAGAACGTTTTGTCTGAGGTGGAGGAGCAAAAGAGTCTGAAGACTCCTCTCCTTCTGATGACGAAGATTCATCCTCTGATGTATCGGTCTTCCTCAATTTGGGTGGTGGAGAGTCTTGTTTACGTCTCCTTTGCTCTGGTGATCCTAGCTCTCTGTTCCTTCTTCGCTGCGGTGATGGCGATGGCTTCCTTCGTGCCATACGTTGTGGTGAGGGAGATCCAGACATAGACCTGGAGCGTTTTCCTTTCCTCCTTTCTGGTGGAGGCTCTGGTGACCCAGATGATGATTCAGATTCAGAATTTTGTTCTCTTGACAGTTGTGGAGGAGAATCTGAATCAGACACCATTTCTTTTTTGGGGATAATTTTCTTTTTCCTTGGGGGTGAATCTGGTGACCTTCTTCTTCCTCTAGGTGGTGGGGAACGTTCCTTCTTCAGCCTTGGCGGAGGCGAAGTAGAAGATTCTTCCCTGTCAGCATGCCATCGGACAGGTTCTGGGGAATTGGATAAATTTCTTCTCCGCCGACGGGGGGGAGAGTCCTCAGGTGGCATTCTCCTCTGACGAGGAGGAGGTGAGTCAGGGGACATTCTTCTACGGCGTTGAGGTGGTGGTGAAGGAGAGTACTGGTGACGTCGTTCAGGAGGAGACATTCTTCTTCTGTTCATCTCGTCACTGAATCTACCTGGTGGTGACCTCATCCTTCTACCCTGGTATGGTGGTGGAGATCTTGAGGGAGAGTGGCCCATCCTACGTCTGTCCATCCTTAAATTTTAAAATGCTCCAATTTACTACATGTATATGATGAATAATGAAATACTCCTAATATTTCAAATTTCATTTCGAAACATGTTTCTTGCATTGCATCATTTGTATTTATAGCTAGGACTTCCCATCCATTGTGAATTGTCAAGTGTTATTCCCACTACCTTTGGAATCTGATGTATTTATTCTGGTGTTGGTACAAGCTAATTTTTTTGTAATTTTAAAATATTTTAAACTCTGAAGCCTTTGAAAGTCACTGTAACTTGTCTACTAAGTTTTAATGTTCCATCCTACATGTTTAACAAAAGCAATGTTTTTAGATGTTTACACTAAACTAAAAGCCACCATCAAACTTAAATATAAAAATTAATTGGTATTATTCTCCTTTTGTTTTCCTGTTACTACTTATAGTTTCATTCATATCCACAACTTGTATTTAAAATGAATGTATCTTAATGATGATTAACTCATAAAACTTTGATAATTCAAAGGTATTTTATACATGTTTATCTATTTATTTGGTAGGGTATACGTGAAGTTAGTACCTTAGAGGAGGCGGTGAAGGTGATCTGCGATACTGTCGCCAGGGTGGGGAATAACGAGGTGGGCTTCTCCTGCTACCGTACCAGGGACCTGGACTTTGTCTTCTTGGAGGAGAATACCTACCATATAATAATTTTGATTAGGATTCCTTACTTTTGAAATAAATCATTATGATTTGTAGTGCCTTTTTTCTATTATTAATTTCTTCATAAAACAACATCTACTGATGCAAGCCTACTCTACCACAACAAATCTGAACAATATCATAAAAGGACATAAAATCTCCATGTACAAACTAAAGCTTCCTTGAAAAATTGGCAAAAGAAAAATAATTAATATGGACAACTATTTTGGGTTATGAACATATATACAAAGTATTTTGGGTAATGAACATATGTACAAAGTATTTTGGGTAATGAACATTTGTACAAAGTTCCATCAAAAATGATTAAAAGTACAGATTTTCACTAGAGATAAAACTACCAATGGATTACAGGATACTAGACCCTTCCAATATTTCTTTGTAGAGGTATGATAGAAAAGGTTGTGATCATACATGCCAATTTTCCTAAGGCTAGCCAAGAGAGCAGTACTCCAAATTTACTTAAAGAAAACAAGAGGCTAAAAAGAAATCTCCAAAGAAGCAACTATGCTGAGAGCAGGAGAGAAACCTTCTCAGAAAATGATAAAAGATGGCTGATAATGCTTGGTCTTTAACTATATACCAAGTAAAAAAAAATAAAAAAGATATTGTGAAAGTATGCATTATTCTAGACAAACTTTATCCTAACGCTGTTAGGACACATAGATTACTGTACATCACTAAAACCCAAACTTGAATGAAGGGGGCAGAATTCATATACACATATGTTCCTTCATACATTAAATACCTGGATTATCTTGGAAAATTAAACAATCCCAAACTCAGAAAACCTATATTTACCTTCTGGAATAGGGTGAAGGACGCCTCCTTTCTCTGGACACCGATCTGCGCATTGACCGACCATATGAGGGTGGTTGATCACGTTCGTGACCTCTTACAGCTGTACAAACAATTAGTAATCATTCACGAATGTTGTATGTAAAATATTGTTAATGATATTGAAAATATATTGCAGAAAAAAAAGCATATATCCTTCATTGCTACTATATTTTTTGATACTACAAATGAAATGGCTGTGTGATTTTCAAATCAGCTTAAAAAAGTTGGTTTAACATAATTACATGGAGAGGCAATCTATAGTTACCTGGGGCTTCATCCTCTGATGAGGAATCATCTGAAGAGGAGGAACTGTCCGAATTTGCATCTGGGTCATGTGTGCGATAATTTCTTCGTTTTTGTACCCCTTGTTTCCCAGGAGAATCAGCATTTTCAGCACTACTTTCCTCCTTTTCAGGCTGTAAAATGCATAAATATAAAATCTCACATGACTTAGAAATGAGTTTCTATAGGTACATCAAAGGCCTCTTCTGTGAAAATTTCATAGGTATACTATGCACAAAATAATCATCATTTTCAAACTAATAATTTATTGATGTATAATTTGAAGGATGCTTGTAATTCAACTAACAAATACATGTATTAGCATTCTAAATCTTACATTCCCCTACATAAATAATCTTTCATTTATCTTCTCAGTAATTTCTAAATATGACAGACAACTACCAGTAGTCTATCATATAGAATTTTTTATTGTTGAGTAGGAATACTTAAAAAAACACTTTCAAGTTTTCCAACCAAGTTCTATAACAAGTATGGAACAAGAGGCCCAATGGGCCTGCAGCTCTCATCTGGTCTGTTTATATATATTTATATATATGTAACCCAAATATCATTCCTATAAGTACTTCAGTTCACGAGAAGTTGTATTAATTCTTTTTACAAATCTGACCTTGAATATAAGCCAAAGTCACATCTTTTCGCGAAATGTCAAAACATTTGGTGCATTGGTTATTGAGAGTAAATTGTTTAAAGTAAAAAGATGACACCAGATGATGGAAGCTGCACCATGGCATAAAAAACCTATATATAGGAAATATGACATGCTGGAAATATTTCATTAAACAATTTTTAAATTTTAACTTCATTTACATGATGTCCTTTACTTTTTTTTGCTGAAGTTTCCTCTTTCACAATTCTATTTACATCTTGATTAAATACTTACAGAAGAAGATTGTCTCCCAGATGGTTTCCGCGGTGATGAGTCTTCTGATCCACTGGATGAGCCAGAGCTGTTTGAGAACAACAAGAACATGTAAAAAATATTTCTTATATTTTTATTACTTCAAATTATACAATTAATACACTGTCAATCTTAAACATTTCAAAAGCTACAGTTTTACCTTGGGGCACGCTTTTTACGGTCTGGGCTGGGACGCCTTCGAATTGGTGACCTTTCCCTTCTTGGTGATACAGCTCGTCGTCGAGGGGACCTACGTCTTGGTGAAGGAGATCTCCGTGGGGATGGCCTTCTGCGATGTCTTGGTGATGGTGACCGCCGTCGCCTTGGAGATGACCCTCTTCTGCGATACGGGGATGTTCTGCGCCTTGGTGATGGTCTCGAACGGCGGGGTGATCTACGTCTGGATCGAGATCTGGACCTTTTTCTCCCTGGTGATCGCCTCTTTGATCTTTTTAAGAACAGAAAGAAATTTCTATTTGTCTCCACTTAACACAACATACTTTAAACCTCACAAAACAAACAAGGACTTAAGAAAAAACCACTCTCCTGATACAGAAAGTGACATCAGAACTTAAAAACAATCGTTATTACATCTACAAGAGGGATCTTTTCATGCACCATTCATGGTCACACGAATAAGACTGATGTTTTACTTGTCACTTTTATACTGACACTTTTCTTATGATAATTTACTGAAATTGAAAAGAACCAAGAATTTCAGTTCCCAAGACTTTCATCCTTTACCTCCATCAAAGAAAATCTTTGGTCACACCCTACAATGTTGCTAACTCTTTTGAGCCCATACTTAATGCTGTGAAGCAGTTATCAAATTTTACCTTTACTACCGTTGACAATATCAGCTTCACCATACATAACAATGTGACTCCCACAAAAAATAGCTGCATAATGATGTTATGCTTTGTTGCTTTGTTAATTAATAACTTTCTGAAATTAACCAATAACAAACTTTGACTGTGAAATCAAAAACAGTGGTCATAATGTTCTTCATATATACCTGCAAATAAAGCTGATGCTGCATAAAAAGGCCACACGAATGATCTTTTTCAGACAGATGAGTTCCCCATTTTCGCTCCCAGGAAGGAAACAAAAGGGCAACAGATAAAAGAGATATGGCGATAAAAGCCTAAATTTTGTGTTAAAATGTTAACTGGTACCTTGACCTAGATTTCCTTCGCCTGTGACGATCACCAGACCTGGATCTTGATCTTTTTTTGCGACTCTGGCTTGGACTACGGGACTTCTTTTTCTTTTCTGGTTCCTTGTTTTCCTCTTTCACCACTTCTTTTTCACCATCCTTATGATTTAAAACATCTTTTTCCTTATCGTCTCTGTAATAAAAAAAATCAGTTTTTACATTTAAATTGATGTCAAGCTCTAATTTTAAACCATTTGAAACCTACATATCATAAAAATTCATAATGTTCAGTAATTATATCATCTATCGTGAAAAACTACAATTATGTAAGCTATGAAAAAAATCTGTACTTTGCCCAATACTATTCCATAAAATGTAAATACTGAACCTTCATATACATTTTAGATGTATTTCAAAAACTGAAGTTATCACTTTACCCTTTCTCTCCATTTTCCTGTGCTTTTGTCTCTGATGGTGCTACATCTTTTCCATCCAACAACTCTGATACTGGTTCCTTATTTTCAGAGTCATTCTTATCATTGCTACTTCTATTTGCCTTAGGTGAGGTGCTTCTTGATTTCCTAAGAAAATTAATTTTATATTCAAAACCATGACTTAATATCATGTCACCCTCCAATAATTTTGTTTTGTAATCAATTTTTTTTTAAAATTTGGCTTACAATATAAAATCTTTAAATAATAACTTTTATGATATTTCACATTTATAATGTGGACATCTTATACTTTTACACTTCCAACAAGTTTAAAACATTCTCATCGAAATTCCAAGGATAGCTTAGTTTCTATCTCTAATTTAAATTAAAGTTACCTATGGGATGGAGATCTTTCTTTTTCCTTGTTATCTTGTTCCTTTCTTTCCTTCATTAATGCCTCCTTGATTTGTTCTTCACTTTTCTTTAGACTGGCTTGGATACGTTCTTTTTCAGCCTATGATGAAACAAATGTTTTTGTTCATTGCTGCATAATCATTTGTGCAAGCATCTCAAAAACAAAAAACCCAAAAAACAAGAAACAGCATACTGTCATTCTCAATATAAAAGTATAGTCTTGAGAAAGAAAAAAAAAAGGATATTTCTGTACTGAACTGGTACTCACTTGTCTTTTTTTAATTTCCTCTTTTTTCTGCGCAATGAACTTTTCTGGAATCCCACCAATGTTCTCCTGAGCACTGCATAAAAGCTCCCACAACTCATGCATGAAGGTACGGGCATTCTTTGGGTTGAGGAATCCAGTCAGGTTGATCTGCATTTCTTTCGGATCCGGATACTGCAGTGTACAAACAGGGAAGGCCAGGCGTTCAGACAAATTGCTTCAAATGATTTCTTTTTTGCTGGTTTTTTTTCAGTATCAAAATAGAAAGAATTTCTATGCTTCCATTTTATTTTTAAGTAGAATTTGAAGATATTTAGTAGACAAAAAGAGACTGAAATGCAACATTTTATAAAATTTTGAAATTTAAAACACAACTGCATGTTTAGAGCGGAAGTCACTTATCTATCTGCTGTAAAGTAACTAACTTGGGATCTATGCATACATGTGTATGCATCATCTTGTGCAAGGAACAAAACCAGATTGTAAGAGATAGACATTTGACTAATTGGCAACAGTCCCAGCATATGGAGGAGCCATTGTGACTGAATGGACAGTCCGGGTAAATATCCATGGAATTGATTGATTAAATACACTTAGTGCATTAAACACACTGTTTGAGGCTTTCAGTTAGAACTTTATTCCTTTCCGATGAAGCAAGATCTCTGCCTGCAATGAAGGTGAATCCTCCGTGTATCGATGAAAAGTTCCCAATATGAACAAAAGCTGTAAAATTAGAAATGTAACCATCAGATATCAGGATTATATTCTCCAAATAGTGACAGCATGTAACCATATTTTAGACCTTACTCATCAATCATTTTTACAGTCCTGAACAACTTCAAGATTCCATTATACCAATAAATAATCTGGTGCAAGATTTTTTTTATATTAAGTCTCAATTTCCGTGTGCTTGTTATACATGTCAGTATAACAAGACTTTTCACAAAGTAACATATGTCTTTTATACAGGAAAAAAGGTATGACCTGAACAGATTTTTAGTTTGACAATTGAAACAAAATATCAGAAGAAAAGAAGCCGGGAATAATTTAGAAATGAAAGAAGATCTCAAGCACTGTACTGTCAGAACTTTTAACATTAAATAAGAAACCTACTGATATTGATGATTCATTTTGCAAAAGGACTAGATGTACTTTTTTTGCTGTTACATGTATTTTCACAAGAATTTACAGGTTACATTATTAGCTTTTACAAATAACATGCAATTTGTCAAATTCAACTACCTATTTTTTTCAAATTTATAGCTCCAGCAAGACCAACAAAAAAAGGACTGCATAGTATTTTTGTTGTTGTTTATACAATGGCATGTACTTAACTTTTCAAAATGGAATACTAACCAAACCACCTCTAATGAACAATCATTCATGAGTGAATGAGTTCATGGGCCTGTTCTTTGGATCCATTGGTTCCGAGACATTTAAGATTTTACTATTACCCGTAGAGTGTACCCTGCTAGGAAGCCCTTCTTTGAGTGATTTCAATCAGGGGAGGCGATTTTTTAATGATCTTCTCTGATTGTGAGAGGAAACAGATCGTATAAGTTACAGGACACACGACAACGCACATACTTTATTTCAAAGTGTACACAACTTTTCATTAATACAATTAGAAATTTGTGACATGAAAAAGAAACAAACATGACAAAAAAGGAACAAACAATTTACAAGAAATATTGTGGTAAAACAGTTGTGATATATTTTCTAGTTTTAATAGCTACTTTGGATCTTTATATTTTGTTGACTCTTGAAAATCTGGGCCCAGTATTACAATCATCTCAAAATGTCATCCAAAATTAGATCATAAACACGCCTTACTTTAATGCTTCCTCCTGTTTGTTTTCATGATACGCAATCATTTGTTTTCATGATACGCAATCATTTTTATTAAAAAGGAAAAACCTTACATTACGGATAAATTGTGAAATAAAGGCAAGGAAAGAAATTCCACTGTCGTAGTCAAAGATATGAAGAAATTAAGGTGTATTATTGTCAGCAAAGACAACAATACATGATGTAATCAGTAAAGTAAATATATTAAATGTATAAAAGCAAACAAGTTAATATCAAACAAGATGTAACCTTGTATTCCTTTAAATCAAAACATATCAAATTATTACAAATACTGTGCGAGTTAATAATTCCTCCATTGCTCATGTTAAATCTAAATTCCACCAATCCCAAACAAATAAAATCCATCATTGCGCCACTCAAACAAGTAAAATCCATCATCGCGCCACTCAAACATGTAAAATCCATCATTACTCCTCCCTGAATTAAAGCAAATATAATCCCAGAATATTTTTTCCCCATACAGATTAGCATGACTGCTTCTGTTAAATCTTTAAACAGCCATTCTGAATCAACATGTAGCTATACAAAAGACTGGTTCATTGGTTCACTTGCTGCAAGCAATCCCCGTTTTGGGAAACTTAAGATAAACATGGTATGTAGTCTTATAATACATGAACTTAAAATTAATTGTTTAAATGTACAAACATTTCAGTTTAAGTTGAAAACAATTTTCATTTTAAAACCCCTGAAAAACTAATATAAATTCAAACAAACAAATAGATTACGAGTAGTTTGACTTCCTGTCAAACTTGATTAAAATTCAACTTCAGACATGAAATCATGATTATACTTCATATCCTTTGTCAATCTATGTAAGATATGTTTAAAAAAAAAAAACACTCTTTAAGAAATGAAGCCAGAGACATTATTTACAAGTTACAAAATCCAGGTGACCTTATAACAATCTATTGGTAAAACATTAGTGGATCATCCTACAAAAATTATTCGCAACAACCTGAAACATCTTAAGACATGTTATCAAAGTTGTCTTGTAATGTATTTACAGTTTTACACACTAAATTATATGTGATCAACACACAGAACATTTCTTTTCTGTTTAATCATTGTAAAACATTTAACAATATTCATTACCCTTTCTTCCAACTGATTGTAAACAAATTCCACAATGACATCATCCTCATATCCGCCAAGTGAATCTGTGACTTTTTGTGCTATCCAAGGCTTGATGATGTCAACGTTTACTTTGGACATATCCACCTAAAAAAGAATTTGTATTTTGTTTCACTTCACAATAAATCACTGCCAAACATGTAATAACTTTCTTAATTGAACAGGATAAGTCCTTGATCACCTGTACTGTAACTAATTCTCAGTTTCCTGCATATGTAGTGCAGGAATGCTGCATCACCATAGTTGCAGATTATAATGCAGTTACATTCAGGATTTAACTAAAATTGTCATAGGGCTTCAGGAGAATTGAACTAAATACAATGGACAACAGAAACAAGTTATCTCATTGAAATTCCTGTCTTAGCTCAACTGTGCCTTTAATAGAAATACATGTATGATTAGTAATAAATATAACTAAGATTTATCATGTTTAGAAAGTAAAAAAGAATTACTTCCTATCTTTTTTTTAAGGCACAACCATAATTTACCTTTTTTTCCAACTCATCTGAAAACTTCATAGATTTCATCAGCTTCTTCTTTTTGTCAGAGAATCTGTTATCTTGATCGGCACTAGTGCCCTAAAAGACAGCAAGCAGAAGTAAGTAACTATATATCCAACAAATCCACATACATTGTTATGTCATTGAATGTAAACTGCTCAATTTAACAAGGATACATATTTTAGACATAAATATACTGTATCTGTATTAACTGCAATACATATGAGACTTTTGTCATGTAATGCTAGCTAGGATTTTCCTTTCAAAAAAATTAAAAAAGTTTGTACTATAAAAGAAATCTTCAAATTCAGGTATCCAACACTAGCCCTGCAAGAAAATCTGAGTTGAAATAAAGTTTCTTTATGATAAAATCTTAATGATTTTCTTGACAAGAAGAGTTATCTAATTAGCTCTTGGCAATTGTTGCTGATACTAAAACAGTATTGTTAATATTTATAAGCATCCCATCCCATACCTAAATAACAAATGTGTGTTTATTCCTTGGAGGCCCACACTTATATAACAAATTTGAACAGTTGACAGGGGGTCCTTAATAACTAATGACTATACTTCTCATTACTCCAACAATGTTAGAGGTTTGCTTAACAAGAAGCTTATAACCGTGCGAGGCACCTTTTAACAGTCAGCTACCTCAGGTAATAAAACAGCCAACAACCAGACTCTGATCTTAAGAAGTAGCATCAGATCAATTTGTACAAGCAAGTAAGCTCTACTAAACATTTTCAAACTATTATTAAAGTAATCTCAACAGAGACAGTGGAAAGCACTTTTTCCAAAAGGCAAGTATTTATCTACAGACTCAATTTACTCATTCTGATTGCAATTTCATTTGCCCCTATAAATCAACGGAACTTTCAATATTTTATACAAATATAGCTAATGTTTCAAGAAGTCAACCTAACTAAAGATAATACTTCAACTTCGTTCTTGATTTTTCATGTAATGTTTATTCCCAGGTAGTTCCTAATTACTTTACTTTCCCAACTTGCACATGGCAAGTTCACTCAATGTAAAAACAAAACCATCTTTGTTGATATGTTTCAACTAACAGTTAATTGTAAACAACAAAATGTGAACTTCACTTCAAAGGCAATTTTTGAATACATTTGTGTTGAATTGAATTGACATCGGCAGTTTTTCAATACTTAAATATTTATGATGTTAATCATCTTTCCTGTATCGTCAATTTTTTAAGTTTTGAATATTGAATTTGCAAATTATTTGTACCTGCTGAAAAAGGCTGGACAATTCTTCTTTGCAACTTTCATTTGAAGAAAAGATTAGTTGAAAATTCCCGCAATAAAGTGAAAGGAAAAAGTCATACTTCTGATTGTGACCTGCATTCTTATTCAAAATGTCAGCTGAAGTTAACGTTAATTGGGATAAAATCTGCTATGCCACAGAATGTATACTTTTTGAAGATATTTCATAATGACGCTCCATTCCATCACCCCCCCCCCCCCCCCCCCCCCCCCCTTCCCTTCCCGGTGCGATGTTTTACTCCCGACACCGAATGCATTGGAAATGAACGACGAAAGAAAACAATTGTTAATCTTTTTCATCTCCAGGGAAATTCTATAAATCCTATCTTAGAGCATGCAACCTTTTCTGAACTGTATTCTACAACAAATACATAATGGAACACGAAAACGAAACTAAAATGTGCAAGCTCATCTCTGTTTCGTGTCGACTAATTCAGAATATTGCTTCTTCTTTCCATAATCGAGTCTTCTGTCGAGTGTAAAACATTACCTTGAAGAATCCCGCGTCTGTCATATTTGAAGGTGCAACGTTTGCGCCTTACAATAGGCCTGTATGTCTATTAACAGCTCTGGAAAGAGAGGCAGGCCGCAAAAATATGGCGACAAAATTTCAGCGAGACCCACAATGCATCTTAACCGGATGTATTAAACACACGTGGCACACTCGCGTCAGTTGACAAAAACCCGAAACGATTTTCATATTTTTCGGCGGGCGTCTTTTAAATTATGTTTATGGATGTGCAATTAAAATCATCGATTAATTATTCATATGTTAGTGATGGATCCGAGTTTCTTTTTGAAAAAAAAAAAAAAACCACACACGCACTTATCTATGTCCGTGCTGAAACGAAGCAGGACGAGTACGACATGATTTAGATAAGAATCTGAGGTTCAGTGTTTAATACACCCTTGTCATCGTTTGTGTACAATTTGCGGCATCTTAAATTTTCATTTCTGGATTTCTCATTTAATACGTAAGATTAGTATCTGATAAATTACCGGATATCTATGATTAAGTACAGGATCAACATTCCTTCATGAATAAACGTGAAGTTTACTAGTCATACGATTCATTTGTTGAAAAAAGACAGAATAGCAATTCTATTTTCTGTAGCTACCACGAACTTCGATGTATCATAGTTCAGTAGCGATCCATTACACAAAAATAAGAAAAAATACGTAATTTCGACCATTTATTTTCCACAACTGTATTTACATACCTTTTCTGGCAAATAATCTTCACTACATTTTTTAAACAAGGGGAAAATTGATCAGAAACAATTGTAACAGCGCTATTTTAATAACGTTATTTCGAAGCACAAAATCATACACTATTAGATTATATCAGCAGACAATTCCAAATTAAAGAACTACAACGGAACATTCAGGTACATAACCTAAACAACAATTTTGTCAATTTCATAAAATTAACAATCTCATCTGCTGTCTTTCTGGTTCAATTCAATATTGATTTATTGAACTAAATATAAAACTAAATTCTTGAAAATTCCTTTTTAGTTAATATTATAAAAGGTATCTAGCGGTACAATATGCGGAGCAATTTTAGTAGGAAAATCTATCTTCAAAAGGGGATGGGAAAACAGGATCCGACATTGATTAGATCAAACAAGAGGAAAGTAGATTAACGAACAAATAAAGAGCATACAAATACTCAAGATCATACATATGTGGTTGTTAATTAACAGAGACGTATATATGTACGTCTCTGATTAATAATTTCACACTATGATTGTTTGCATTGTACAATAATGTCATTTGAGGTAAGTTGCAGGTTGTAGCAAAACTAACTATATGGTTATCTTGATTACCCCTTGTTAACTCGGAATCTCGATGTCAATCTTCATACTTGAAAACTTATTACAAGTATACGTATATATAATTTCATTTGTCCTTATGAATTTATTTGTCAACTGACCATGATGGTCACGGTAAATGCCTGATATATCTAGTGACAATGGGGGCCGCGATGAAGATCCGAGGTGTCTGGTGACAACTAGGGCTTCGGTGGAGATCCCAGCTGGTGCCCAACGGCAAATGGAGGTTCGTATTGATGATCCGAGGTATCTAGATTTGAGCTATTTTTTGACAGTATGGTCACGGTGGAGATCCGAGGGTAGCCATTAGATGTAGTGGGGAAACAACATCAACAAAGTTAACCCACTTTATCTCTGTCAGTTCGTCCGTTTGTCTTTGCGTCCATGAAAGCTACAGGACATTATAATATTCTTTAAATTTATTATATAGAGGGCCCTGCATATGGTAATGGTGTTGACCTTCGTATGTTTGTTTTTCCCCTCGGCACAATGTATAAAGTTCTGTTAGGCCAGAGACATATAAAACAATGTAATATGTACGTATCTGGTTAGGCCAATTGATTTTATCTTTACCTTATGTTTCTACTAAGGAAGTACTGCCGTGGCAAAGAATTTTGGGCCCTAGGGTCAAATTCAAAGTAATTGTTATTATAAATAGAAAATCGGTTTTGCAAAATATCTTCATCTCTGTTTGGATGATTACATAAGATTTTCACAGGCAGTGCTACCTCTAAATTACTTTTCATATTCGGAGGTCAAACTGGATCACAATCATTAAACAGAATATACGGTAACAAATAAAATTGTATATAATACAGAACATTATGCGTTACTTGTAAATATTTACGTATGACACAATAGAGCACAATTGATTGAAATCAAATGTGGAGACGACTGACTACAGATCAAAGGCCAAGGTCAAATTTCGATTATTTTGTAATAACATAAGCATAATTAGGTAAAATCAAATGCTATGTCGCCCAGCGACAGGTCAAGGTCGCCAGGATTTCCACGGAAATTGACCTTAAATGACAATCGCTGTTGATGGTACTGTGAAGAATATAACTTAACTAGATCTGTAATCCCAGCATACCATTTGACCAGAATGTTTGACACATTAAATTTGTCTTAACAGCCAACATAACATCAGCAATGTGTGCCCTTTGCATCATTGACATCCTCAAAAAACAAATTTTAACAGCTGTTTATTCAATTTTGGCTTTTATACTGCATCTAGTTCCAAATTTGTATTGAAGGGTTTTTCATTTGTTTCTGTAAATCCCTTAATAGTCTGTCCATTAATTAAAGCTAAAAAAGGAACAAAAAACTAACACCAAAGCCTTGAAAGCAGGTAACATATAGAAATTCTGTTAAAACACTTTCTGAACAATGAAGAGACAAGGTCTTAGACTCTGGCATGGTGATATAATGATTTCATTATAAATAAATTTCAATGAAACTTTCAAAAAGGATAAGAATACCTCTAACATGAATAAAAAAGAACCAAAAGATTTCATTGATTAAAAATGTTTTGGCATTTTTATTAAGAATATTTCAAAACTCCAGTAAATGCGTATATGGTCCATTTGTATCGGTTCGAAACACTTGCAGGTTTCCGTAAGTTCCCGCTCGGACTTGTTTGCCTTGTTCCCTGGCTTTCTCTGACATGTGCAAAGAAACTTCACACAAAGATACAAAATTTGCATATAATTTTTCACCCTCATCTTTAGCAATGTTTTTGTGATATTGCATGGCTTTTCCTTTTGGGGTTCCTCCTAAGGTAGCCTGAGGTATAATGAGTACATCTCCAGGTAGTTCCAACACTGACACCCTTTTTGTGGCAGAGGGATCTTGTGATGGACTCAAACAGGTGTTCAGTGCACTTTTCACTGGAATGAATTTTGCGTAAAATTATGACAAATGTGCCACTCTCTGTCCTAATCTTAACACATTCATTCTATTAATCCAACAAAACAAAAGCACAACGTGAAATTACAAATCTTTTCTACTGTATATGCACTTAATAGAAGATAGTAAAGAGAAATACTTTTGTCTATTACAAGTACACATGATAAGTGAGAAATGTAATAATTATTAATGCCACTCTTATGCTACCATAACTACCACTAACCCTTGTTATCTGGTTAATATATAAGCATGTGATATGTTTGCATGGGCATGTAATAGTTATTGAGAGCACTGGCGATAAAAAGCATTATGTGAGCATCTAAGAGAAAATCATTCTCCAAAATCATACCTGATATCCCCCTCTATACTTTTGTTATTACAGATTTACAAAGAGGGAACTTTAGACAGCATATTATGTTATCCTTAAAGTTTCGGCTACCCAGTGGAATTTTAGATCACAAGAGTCCTTGAAATGTTATCAATTTATTTGGGAATTAGTTTCAAAGAAAAAAAGGTAACGTTCCTTACACAAAACTTTGGCTGCTTTCGTAACCCTCTGACTACAATTTCTAACTCCTGTAGTGCATCAACTGATAGGCAACCTTAACCCTACAGCTGACTCCTAGTATCAAAGCATTAGAAACAGTTGACTTCACACTATTTTCTTACCCATTTTTTCCACTGTTTCCTCTGTGGCACCTTTCATGAAACATACATATATGATTAAACCTTTCCCAATCTGAAAGATAAGTAATTCATTAAGAATAAAACTTAATTAACCAATAATATCTATATAATGTTATAGTGTAATGATCATAGATTATATCTAGGGTATATATAATAAAAGTCCCGTGTCTGTTATTCCATGCTGTCAGATTCACATACTGGACTTCACATCTTGTATTTAAATTATAACAGGGTTATAGATTATATAGATTTATGTGTACATAAATATTTATACATGTACATAGTATATGCTTCTGGTTTCACCATCATGACTCTAAACTATTTTGGTAAAAGGTTTCTTAACTCACAGGGCTGACAAATTTGAAAATTTGTTTGAACAATTTTAACAACTTGATCTAAATGATGAGAAGGCTTGGAATCATAAGATTTGTCAAATAAAATGCTGGAACGTTAGTTCCTATAAATGAAATTGACCAACTTTCAAGGTAGTTTTTACTGAATGAATATAATAAATCCAATAGTCCCAGCGTAATGAGACATCGGGCTAGGATGAAATACTATCAGGTCTGTTCAAATGACTGCATGATCTTGACCTATTTCATTTAATTACTTTTTGAATAAAAAATAAAACAAAGATTCTTCATATATATATGTAGAATTTTTGTCCATGTTCTGTTATAAAAGTTGTAGCTGTAAAGGAAGAAGCAAAGTTCTGTAAGAAACGAGTGTGAGGGCGGAGAACTCAGAGAGTTCAACTTTTATCTGCCTTGGTGTTCCTTTGCTGTATTACTGAAAAAAGTCTTATATGGATACCATCAGCCATGGGGCATTCCATTTGGTTATTGCCTTTGATTACCAAATTATTGAATCATATTGCTTTTATGACATTTGTCCATTTCACAATCCTAGTTGACACATCATTTTCATACAATTATTGCAATGAAAGCTGAAGTAAAAGTCATATAGCAGCCTCTGGTAATATATCTATAATGCATACAGTGAATTATTGTCATCGTCACTTCGTGTTGAATTCACTCTAAGACACATTAATATATATATATATTTCAACTTTACCATGAAAAATTTGCTAGTCATACTATATCCTTTTGCCATATTTTATTAGACTAAACTACACTGAAAGTATAAATAGTTCCATATTTCCCATCATACAAGGTAAATGTTATCACAAATACTTTTTTTGATATGAAACTGACACATTTGGTTGTCCATTTCATGTTTTGGGGCAGAGTTGCTGTTAGCAAAAAATTCACATTATAAAAGCGATTCAAACAAGGAAAATACAATTCCTTTGAATAATGCAGTCTATCAACAACTGACTCAAACAAGTGGCTGACTGGAAGCAACGGACACTTCCACAGCTGATAGAACAACTAACTAAAGCCTCAATTTTCCAATTGTATACATCAGACACTCGCTGCCCATCACACAGGGAATTACAAATAATAGAGTTAAAAAAAGGCATTCCAAGTCAGCACAAAAAAGTGGGTTTAAAAACCCTCAGATGAAAAGCAAAAAACTTTCGAAATTTTCTTTTGGCAAACTAAAAACAGACCACAAATAAAAATGATAAAATCTTCCCAAAATATTTTTGCCTGATCCTGTAACAAAGCTGCACAGCAAGAAATCTTCACAATAAATATAACCCAGATCAGAAAAAGCTAGTTTGTGGTAACTGACAGATTTTATCCATCTTAGACATATTGTGTAGTTAGTGTCACTGTCATCTACATCATCAACATTTTTATATGCACTTTTTCTCAAAAGCACATCACACCTATTGGTATTATTGAAGTGGGGTGGGGGAGGGGAGTTGGTTGGTTAAATAGCATCACATATAAATGTTTTGTTAGTTTTTTGCAAGCATTGGTATTACAATATCACTCTAAGAAGTCATGCAATGTGTGGTGATCTATATCTGAATCTATTCTGTTAAATTGTAATAACGCTCCCAAGCCCTCGGTACATGATGTTCATTTTTTCGTGTAGCTTTCAAAAACAAAAATGTGCCAGTCATATAAAGTATTGTTGTTAATTATTGTTGTATCACATTATAATAGATATATTATCATATTATACAGTATTACATTGATCAAACTAATTTTATTGAATCAAAAACTATTTTGTAGATTGCAATTGGCTTCTTAGTTATTTGTGATAAACCTGTATACATTCCATTAAAAATTTTAAACATACTTATTTTTTTTCAACTAGTCATTATTTACTTTACTGTTACCAAGCAGTTTACCCCATTGCACCTTCACATATTACCTTAACTATACATTTACATTTCAGTAACAAAGACTGTGTATGAACTTGAAGCATTTTTTATGCTTGTGTTTCTTAATTATTGATTGGATTATTGAATAAAATTTAGTTATTTTTTGTTGTTGTATTTAACTTGCTTAAAAGCCTATGTTGGATAGGAGTTGAGTATGTCCTATTTTACAAATAGTGTTGATTATGAACTTGAGACATCAGGTCTTGAAAATGCATATTATCATATTATGATATATATATATATAATTTAAAAAGAAAAAAAACTTTGTGTATCGTATATACAAAAAAATTAATCACTTAACATGACAAACAAGTATATCACTAACGTTTTCAGTAACGTACAGTGTACATGTAACGTAATCACCTGAAGATGGCCGCGAGGCCTGAAAACGTTAGTGATATATTTGTTTGTCATGTTAAGTGATTAATTCTCTCTCTCTCTCTCTCTCTCTCTCTCTCTCTCTCTCTCTCTCTCTCTCTCTCTCTCTCTCTATATATATATATATATATATATATATATATTGTAAAATTATTCTTGGCAGAATGTTCCAAGTTATCCAGGTGATAATAATCATATGTCATCCATAAGCACTAATGTCTTAGCTCGCTGCGAGCATGTCACCATGTGCCTGTGCTCCAACCAATTAGGCGGTAATTTACCTCTACGTATTTCGCTTCCTCAAGTTCAGATGCTGGTTCGACTTGAAGTCTAGCAGAAAGACATTGTTGTAATAACAATCTCGCCTTCACGGCACCGTTGGCAGACTCTGAAGCCATTACGTGTTGTTACATTTTCATTGCACCATGTTCGGTATGGTCTACTTTCATTTTGTGATCAGTATCGCTTACCTCATCTACAAATGAATTATGATGAAAATAAGGTTTTTTACTTTATCGCAATAAGAAATTTATAAAACTACGAATGATAATAATAAAATAAAAAGAGAATAGAAAATGTGCTCGGTATCAATGTAAACAAATCTTAAAGTTATCTTTTTAATGTTACCAGCGGTAGTAAACAAGATGGCGTCGAAGAGTAACACCATGCCGGGACATGATAGATCAAGAAAACCAAGAAATGATGATGATGACGACGATGACCCCGTTGAAAAAATGCTAAAGAAGGCTGGATGTCTTGAGCAACATTATGCAGTACAGGTAATTAAAAGTTGTGTGTTGTTATGAGTTATATAAGTTGGACTGTTTGCCAGTTCTTATCGCGTATGAATTGATGTGACTTGATACAAAAATATAATGTTTAGACTGTCTCTAATGGTCGTAGAAACGGCCATTTATATAGATGGAAATGAATTGTGATTAAATGGTTTATAAAAATTGGCCATAAGTGATGAAGTCGCTTTTATGACATGCTTTACTTCGAGGATATCCACAAGCTCGTGGGTGAATCGACCGCTCCCCATAAATGAAAGGATGTAGCTATATTCTTAAAGATGCATAGCCGTCCATTCGATCAGTTTCATGTCTCCAGCTTTATTAAATCTCCTCGTTTCCAGATTCACATCAAATTTGGTATATAGAGTATAAATAATTCATACAGATGTGCACCCCATTCTTCCCACCATTTCCTCTTACGTCTCTTTTGATGGTGCAGCCAATACATAAAGTTTTACTAACAACCAGATTCGTTTATAATTTGTCACAAAGTATCAGTATGACACAGGGATGTGCATCTATGTTTTCATGCTCAATGTTATCCTTATTTCATTTTATTATCTAAAAAGCTGTATATTATGACAATCAATTGCATTATGCAAATTATTCAAAAGGATTTTCAAGTAACCCCGAGATGAAGTCTCTCAACAATTTCCTCCTCATTACTGAGATAAAGTAGAACCAAGTACATCTCATGGATGGACATGCATTGAGGATATTTACCAAAATTGTAAATTTCATGACCCTACGCAGGGGTTGAAATTAACTTTTTTAGTCACTAGCAAACCATTGCTAGTGCCTAAAATTTCCACTAGCAAAAATGATGAACAAACTAGCAATTTTTTCGTGAACAAGTTAGACTTTTATTTACTGTAATATTGAGTTTTTCAGGAACTGAGTGATATTGGAAAAAATATCCAAGACATTGGATAAGAATGGCTGATTGCTACCTGTATCAATATTTTAAATCTATATAAACTTTGAATTTATCAGTTTTCTTTTTTTCATGTATGAGCTACATCTAATCTGACTGTCATATGATCAGATCCATTTATTAATGTAACTGTACCCAAATTTATATTATTTAACAAATTGTTCACATTAACGATCATTTCAATAAATTCTTATGAAGACAACTGTTTAACAGAGTTCTGGACTTTGTTGTATTTTATTTACCAATGTCATGCAATTCAGTTCTTTTAATTTCACCAAAGATCATTCCACTCCATTCCAAGTCAAATACACTACTGGCAGAAGGTGGGTCGTTTCTTTCTTTGTCCCTCAACCCACCACCTATTGACAGCTGCCGTATATGCAAGTGGTTGTGGCGGTGATTTTATATCAGAAGCGTCAGGAGAAACGCTCGCCGATTTCGACAATTTTTTTTTTCAGAAGGGCCAGGCTGTGGCTGTTGACTATTGTCTTGGTCATCGCAAGCACTGTCAGATGCTTTCCTTTTTGAAAAAGTTTGTCTTTATAGTTGATATGTCGCGTTTCACATGATGAGCAGACAGAAATCGTAGAGTTTTCCAAGACAACTTTTTATTCAGTTTACACATCAAGGGAAAAACTGGAGGAATTCCAAATGTATTGATAATCTATGTCACTTTAGTGTTTGTAAACTATTTACTCATTTAAAGGCAGATGGAGAAAGGCATTTTGTGGCAGATGTTTCGTCAAAAATAGTGATTAGGTATATTTCATTTTCACTCGCAAAATTTTGCTAGTTCATTATTTTCCAGCTAGAAATTACCAGATTTTAGCTGGCATTTTGCTAGTTGTATACAGTTAATTTCGAACTCTGCCTACGGTCTTGCATCTCCCCGTGAGGAACATACTTGAAATTCCAGGGGTTACAATCACTAAACGATCTCTTCACAGAGCAAAAGTGATCATAACCTTTGGAGTATCAATAATGCCACACTATAGGATGATAGTTGGATGAGATGCACATATCGACCTTGACTGACTCCAAACAGCTGATGGATGGAGCCAATAAATGGTGAACATGACCGAGATTTTAAAAATATTCTTCTCAATGCACAGACAAGTTAGAGCCACATACTCTTCATGGGTGGAAGTGTATTAAGGTGCTTAACCAAAATTGTAAATTTCATGACCCCATGGTCTCATATTTCCCCCTAGGGAGGGGGTAAAGTTACTCTATACAGCCATGTATTGTTATAGTTGTTGTTTCCCTTTCAAAGAAATAAGAAAAGAAAGAAAAAGCACTTTATATTTTGCTATCATACATTATTATGTAAACAACACCTTATTTATCTTTACCAGCATTTTTTTCACCAATTTATTACATTGAAACTATGGGGAAGAGTCGCAAGTGATTTGAATTGTTATCTTGTGAAAAATTGTGATCAATCATTCCTTAAGAACATTTCAACCAACCAAGTTTAGTTTAAATTTGCTCAGATATTTCAAGAGTAATGTTTTAAGTCAGAAGTTCATGGTAAAAAACACTTCGCCAATATGTTTTGAAGAGGGGCTCCTCCTAGTGGTTTGCACTTCATTCAAATTCCATGTGAGCTAAGGATTGGAGTAGAGTGAGATGCGTTCCAGTTCTATAATAGGATATGATTGATATATTTTTACTTACGAGTAGAGCCTTCTTATAATGTCATTTTATTTCACTTTTTCAGGAGTGTATGTTTGATAACAGAGACTGGACCAAATGTCAAGCTGAAGTAAAGGTTTTCAGGGAATGCATTGAGAAGTCACAGAAGAAAAAATAACCTCAATGAACTTGCTGCAGATGATACCAAACATATTGAAAATATATGTTCTGAAGGTTTCAGTGGCAATGTGGACATCTGTGTTGTTACTCTCACGTAAGCACTGCCAATATTGCTGATGGACCAAATGAAGAAAGTGTCTAATGACTTCAATAGACTGCATTAATTAGATCTCATTATCAGAAGCTTTTCAGTAGTTCCTGGTACTGTCTCTAATATGCTAAAATAAGTATAATAAACGGGTACTACCTTTTGAATTGTATATTTATGCAGTTTATATTTTATCTTTGTGTGTTAGTGAATGTACTTTGTCATAAAAAAATGAATTATTGCAGCATCTCAATCAATACTGTTATTCTACATTTACCTGGTCCATTTTCAGGAGCCAGTTGTGATATAGGGTATTTTTTTATTGATATCTGCATTTGACAAGCTAATAAATATTTTTATTAAAATATTGATTCTTTCCGTTTAGTTCATTTGACAAATTAATAAATCTGTCATGTATTGGAGTTGGGGTTATCCAGTGTGCCGTTTACAAGGGAGCAGAAAGGAAAAGGAACCAGATCCTAGATACCGTAAAACATGATTATCAAACACAAATATAGGATTCTTACACTTAATATATTTTTCTTCAGACCAATATCTTACCAATAGAGTGTATTTTCTATAACAGATTTGGATGTAATGAATTCATACTCATAAGACATTGATTTTACTGTAAAATGTAAGTTATTACGACACAACCAGAAGAAGGTTTAACCTTGTTTTTGTGATGACTGCACTGTCACCTTCAGACAAAAGACCAGTGTGAAGCATACTAACAGTAAAAATATGTTGTGTATGATGCGGTAAGGAATCAACTTGCGTTTTTGGCCTGTGCTTTAATACTATGTACACTAAGGTAGAAAATAGTGACGAGGTAGTAAAAAGATTATAGCAAAAGGGAAAAAATGATAACAATGTACTGTAGTTGTTTAGCAATGCTTTTTTAACACTTGGCCATAGATGTGCAAGAATCTGTAACCCCGCCTTGACCATGTTTATTGCTGTCATGCAGCTGACAAGGTTGTTTTCCCTGTTGAATATTTTTGGAATCCCTGCCCTCCTGGATATTTTAGAAGCATCTTAATGTGATAATTGTTCTATATTACATTTGGACATTATTCTACAGTTTGATAACAAAAAACAATGAATGCAGCCTGAATCCTAGCTACTTAACTGAAATGTTAATGATAAATGCTTCAAAATACCTCATGAAATCTATGTATATTATCATATGTAAGTGTGTACCTGATATCAAACACAGTGGCTATCCCATGATGTAAACCTGTATTATATGTATTTCAATGATGTGATGTTTTCAATTAAAATGAAAACATTTCTTAGGTCGTGTACTTAATCTACACATATAATGTTATTTTGAAAAAGTTATACCTAAATACTATCTTGTTATTGTCCCTTGGGATTCCTTTTAAAATGTAACTGGAGGTAAAATGACAAACACAATTGTTTTCATAAAAATAAATGTATTGGTCAATTTGATGCACAGATATTAACCTATAAATCTATCTTAACAAGATGTACTGTACTGCATATAGTTGGTAGTACAAGCATGCATTTGTATGATACTGTCAATTTTTGCTGTAGTTTGTACACAAATGACAATAACAGTTTATACAGCATTGACACAAGCAGTGAATACTTTGTATACAAGATCTGTAAGCAAGACCCATAAAATAAAGCACAAGCTTATCTTTCATTTAAACATCATTTCTTGCTGTATTTTATATGCTAATGCAAATTATTCACAAAGTTTCATTAATTTATCAAAATACATCAAACATTATCCATTAATCCCTAAGGTAACATAAGTTACCTGTAGTGAAATCATTATTAAATACAACTTTTTTAAAGCATATACATCATGTAACAGTGTATTATAAATAACAATCATACACTCACTCTCATAATTCAATACAACATTGTAACACTGTCAACGAAACCAATCCTGACAAGACCTGGAGGAGAATATCCACATTGATTGTTTAAAGCTGTTATATGGTGACTGTGATTTTCCATAGAGGGCTGGGAATGGTGAGAGTGCATGGCAGCACCCATGCTCATCACTTTTAATCTGTATAATCAGTTTGTAATATAACTTAAATTTAATGCTGTTTAAGAGTCAATAAATCATTAATGTGAATTTTTTAGATATGATTTTGAGGAAAATATGGACACAAATCAAGGAAATCGATATTGATATTCCAAGCGATCAAGAAGATTTTCAGTCCAAATTATTTGATGTTTTATCAACATTTATTTACTGATCACACTTCAATGAACAAACATCAGACTTAAGTACAAAAATTGAAAGAATACCAGAATAAAATGGACTATTGGATTTAATGGACACTTCAACTCTGAACAGCTTTAAACTAAAACATTCATTGCAGAAAAAGCATCCCCAATACCAAAAAAATTGTTTAATTACCAATTATTACTCTACAGAAATATCCACAGATAATATGATAGTACAGATCTGAAGTAGAAAGTTGAAAAATAGATACTTTCTTTTTGTACATCCATAACAAAGAAATCAATCTTTAAATACAGTGTACCTAAATGATTAGTGAGCTGTAACATTTAAATATTGAAATCAAGGATACCTGTACACACATATAATTTATGTAACAGGTACATGGTACACATTATGCATAAATATGTAGGGAAAATTCTGTTAAAAGTCTGGATTTGTCATTAAATGTATTTTTGTATCAATGCATATTAAGATGGCTTATGAGAATGGCTCTGTTAGACTCAATATTTGTGAATCAGATTCTATGGAATGTATATCAAAACCGGATGATTTTTTTATGGGTATTCAGTATAAATATGGAATGGACTTTCAGTATTGATATGGCAGGACAAAGCATGAGAGTATATGTATGTATGTGACAAAGTGATAACCAACAACATACCTTTAAACTCTCTACTTACAAATCCTGAAATTGCAGGAGATTGCCAATGTCCCATTAAAAATAATGTGTCTATGAGGTGTTTTATTTTAACATTGCAAATATAAATTGACAGTATTATGAAGAGGGAACAGTTTTACACTGCCTTAATAGGAAGGATACCCGATATGTGTAATTTCTCTGCAAAACTTTGTCATATCTTCATTACCCGTACATGTTCCATCAACCCATCAGCACATAACATTTAGTTAAATATGTGATATTTTACAAGTGAAATAAAGTTTGATTAATTTTGATCATGCACTGTATTATGTAAACAATGAAGACAATTTCTCACAGGGATTGTCAATTTGTTGTAAACATGGAATTAAATATATAATGTTTACAATCAAACATAGATGTGTAACCTACAGCGGTAACTGACGATTTAAAGGGCAATGAATAACGAATGAGTAAACTGGGTTTTTTTATGGAAGGTGGGGGGGACGGAGGGGTGGGTGTTGGGTCAGTTGATGAAAGAAAAGGCAGGATATGTATTTTTAGATTGAAGTTTGATTGAAATATAAAGCATGCTTCCTTTATCGTGGTCAGAGAGATTTAGGATCACCAGATGTGCAATAATGAATTTATACAAAGTATCATGTAGTAACCTGTATCCTTTACAGGTATATAAATAGCTCCATCAAATACATTCAATCAGCACCCAATACTTATGATATTCAGATATAAAACCTTTAAATATTTGTATTAAAACACAACAAATACAACGACATAACAACTACATTAGGAAAAAGTCCCAACTCAATGGCCACACAGCTATGCATATATAAGAAATGTACAGAAATTTCTTTTGAGAAACGAACACTAGAACTGAAAATTGCCGGCTAATTATACCTTCTTACAATCTTTTATCAATACAGTAAAATCATAAATAAAATGCAATATACGTAGACATCTTGAAGAGACATTTCAGATATGCTATCAGCAGTGTTTTGGATACAGGAAGTTCTGACTAGAGCAGATTTAGCAGCTAGATTGAACACCAAACCAATAGGTACAGGTGTATCAGCAAAACAAGCCTAAAAGAACCATAATTGTCCCCAACAACCTAAAGCCTTGATGGCTTTCTTGAATCCAGATATTTTGAAAATGGTATGATCTGAAATTACAAAGAAAAGTATCAAATATCTATATGTAATTGTTCTCATACACCAACTTTGAGGATAAAAAAAATCTAAATCAGTTAATTAAATTGTTAATTACCTGAAAATGTTCTATCCTTGTGACAGAAGCAGCAACCATCTTAACATTTGATTGACATAGCACTTGCAATTTGTCAAAGTTCTTCTTAACCATACTTCTTAATCATAATGCTCTAAAAGTTTACATATAGAACTTTAAAAAAAAAGTTATCCATAGAGGGAATGACAGACTGGCATTAAGTGATTCTACAATATCATCCCTTGCTAGTCATTACTATGGTGTATAAACCCATACAAAATCTAAAGATTAGATAAAAAATGCTACAAAATACAAAATACACTAAAAAGACACACCAAAAAATGGGAAAGAAAATGATTGTATATACACACATTAGAGTAATTATGAATTGTAATCAGAAAAGAATCTTAAAAAATACATTGTATAATATTAGATTTTTAACCTGAGAGGAATATTACTGTGAAAAGAAATGTTTTATTCTCAGATTAAATGCACTGAACTGCATAACAAAAATTTTAATATAAATAATTTGAATGGCACTTTTTCTTCACTACAATATACATGCACTGATATATTGCAGTTCAATATCAACAGAATAAGACAACTAATCATATCCTTTTATTATTATAAAATTATTTATTGCAAGATGCAATTAGAAACTGGAGCTTCCAAAAAAAAAAAAAAAAGATTTGTGACCATTAGGTTCAAACAAAAATTAAATTTTACATTTGGCAAGCTATACTTTCACACTACTGCTTAAACAAAGGCATTTAAAGCACTATTGAATAAAACAGATGTATTGTGATGAAATTTATTTTACTCTAATTGGCAAGAAGTGGAAATTAAAAAATAAACTACATGGAAGCTGCAATCATTTGCTATATTGAGTTACAGCAAATTATGGCTTAACTTTTTAACCTGAAAGAAAATGACGAATGAGCACTTTTGGTAAGGAAGCACTGCCTTAAATGAAGCCTTTCTTCAGCCCATTAAATCTTATGTTATTGCCCAGTTGCACAGAAAATTTTGTGCATACAACATAACCATGCAATTATAGCTAATGCCAAAAAATCACACCATCTCTTTTCTGGGAACACCAAAATAGCATGTAAAAACCATTAAGTCATGTTTCATCTGTAGTGTGTTGTGATTACATCAAAGTTAAAACTGTTTCTTAAGACTGTAAGTGATGTAATCATTAATTCACGACTGTATATTGTTCATTACAACAGGATGACACTATCTATGGCCTGTAATTATACAGAAGTAACTGATCTCAACAGTGAGTAAACCACTGTCACTAAAAGTTGTATTATTCTATAAAAGAATCGCTAAAATTAAACCAAGTACAATGCACCAGACAAGTGCTTCATACACAGAAACAGTGTACCAGACAAGTGCTTCATACACAGAAACAGTGTACCAGACAAGTGCTTCATACACAGAAACAGTGTACCAGACAAGTGCTTCATACACAGAAACAGTGTACCAGACAAGTGCTTCATACACAGAAACAGTGTACCAGACAAGTGCTTCATACACAGAAACAGTGTACCAGACAAGTGCTTCATACACAGAAACAGTGTACCAGACAAGTGCTTCATACATAGAAACAGTGTACCAGACAAGTGCTTCATACACAGAAACAGTGTACCAGACAAGTGCTTCATACACAGAAACAGTGTACCAGACAAGTGCTTCATACATAAAAACAGTGTACCAGACAAGTGCTTCATACATAAAAACAGTGTACCAGACAAGTGCTTCATACACAGAAACAGTGTACCAGACAAGTGCTTCATACACAGAAACAGTGTACCAGACAAGTGCTTCATACACAGAAACAGTGTACCAGACAAGTGCTTCATACACAGAAACAGTGTACCAGACAAGTGCTTCATACACAGAAACAGTGTACCAGACAAGTGCTTCATACACAGAAACAGTGTACCAGACAAGTGCTTCATACATAAAAACAGTGTACCAGACAAGTGCTTCATACATAGAAACAGTGTACTTGACAAGTGCTTCATACACAGAAACAGTGTACCAGACAAGTGCTTCATACACAGAAACAGTGTACCAGACAAGTGCTTCATACACAGAAACAGTGTACCAGACAAGTGCTTCATACACAGAAACAGTGTACCAGACAAGTGCTTCATACACAGAAACAGTGTACCAGACAAGTGCTTCATACACAGAAACAGTGTACCAGACAAGTGCTTCATACACAGAAACAGTGTACCAGACAAGTGCTTCATACATAGAAACAGTGTACCAGACAAGTGCTTCATACACAGAAACAGTGTACCAGACAAGTGCTTCATACACAGAAACAGTGTACCAGACAAGTGCTTCATACATAAAAACAGTGTACCAGACAAGTGCTTCATACATAGAAACAGTGTACTTGACAAGTGCTTCATACACAGAAACAGTGTACCAGACAAGTGCTTCATACATAGAAACAGTGTACCAGACAAGTGCTTCATACACAGAAACAGTGTACCAGACAAGTGCTTCATACACAGAAACAGTGTACCAGACAAGTGCTTCATACACAGAAACAGTGTACCAGACAAGTGCTTCATACACAGAAACAGTGTACCAGACAAGTGCTTCATACACAGAAACAGTGTACCAGACAAGTGCTTCATACACAGAAACAGTGTACCAGACAAGTGCTTCATACATAGAAACAGTGTACCTGACAAGTGCTTCATACATAGAAACAGTGTACCAGACAAGTGCTTCATACATAGAAACAGTGTACCTGACAAGTGCTTCATACATAAAAACAATGTACTTGACAAATATTTCAATGTACTTGACAAATATTTCATAAATAAAAACAATGTAGCTGACAAGCATTTTATACATAGAAACAATGTAACAGACAAGTATTTCATACATCAAAACAACTAGACTAGCACTTATCACACAAAACAGACTTTTATAAGATATGAAACATAAGTTATATTGTACATGTAATAACTAAATCAAGATTACCAATGTAATTTTAATGTATTTCCATGCTTTTACATTCCTGTCTATAAATCTTTCACAAACACTCACACAAAACTAATTCTAGAGAACTGCTTGCTATGAATATAAAATATTTTACTGAAATATGACAATCACCAAAACACCACTAGTGAAAACAAAAGTGAAAAGTTCTTTATTTTAACCACAATGATAGCCTCCTTTACAGTAAGTTACATACAACATAAGACTTTAACTTCAAGGTTTTGATAAAGACCATTGAATGCCCCCGGATGTTTATGTGAGTATTTTTTTCTTTAAACATTTTGGTAAATTAAGGACAACGCATCAAATTAATACTAAGAGCATGATAAAGGCTATCTAGCAATTAACTACATACCACAGATAAGTTTTGTAGTTCTGAAGAAGAAGTTTTTAAAAATTAACATCTGCCAGATAAAGGGTAATGTTCCATTACATGCAGTACACAGGCACCTTGTACCTGGTAAGCTTATCTTCATTAAAACAAACTAATAAGTGACTTGAAAGCATCAAATATATTATTCTAAGTAGTGTTGTAGATCCCCAAGAATTACCATTTTGGCAACCTGATCATTTGAAGTATTAGTAATTGTGTGAATACAAGTTATTTACCAAACTAAACAATAAATCATAATGTATAAGATAAGTTGAGCATTTCAGCATTTCTTGATAAAAATGTAAAAATAAATTTCTGGTAAAAGAATTCAAATCTCTGCACTATAAAACTAATTGTCATACACATGAAAATGTCATTGACACATTATATGTGCTTCATCATTATTAATAATTCATTATATGCACATCTGATGTGCAGTTTCAAATACACATTGTTAGCTGGTACATGACTAGAGAAACACTTCATATAAAGGTAGTACTCGCAGCCATGTTATTCCACGAGAAATAGTCAGTGACTCACAATCAGTTTATGAATGAAAGATCTAATATATAAATAGTCTATGGGTTTTGATCAATGGCTGCATCACTGGGCTCACTTATGACATAAAATAGAAATAATTAATATGTAATTAAAAAGCATGGACTGGAATGTGAGTAATACCTGACAAGAGACCCCAGGTCATTCACGGTCACCTGGATCACAATGCTTCTTGTAACATGTCTTAAAAACGATTTTATTATATATTGTACATATAGAGCAAATGTTAAATTTGTATACATTAACTGCTCTCCTATGCTAAGATTTCTTAATAAGCTTGAATTAAAAGAAATTTTCAGATTCAAGATTTGAATTTTCCTTTATAAACTCTTCCATCCAAAAACAGTAGAACATCTTTGAAATTCCAGTCAATTTGACCCATTTTGGCCTACCCATCAACTCCTTGGGGCCAGTCAAGGTCAATATGTGCATCTCCTCAAAGTGTAACTTTATACTAATACAAAAAAATTCTAACCAAATTTGAACTTTCTCTGAAGGAAAATAAACAAATAATGCTCAAAAATGTAATTTTTCTATATAAAATATAGTAAATTTTACTCCCTCCTGAAGGGGAAATGTGAGAACCTGGGATAATGAAATTTACAATTTTTATAAAGCAGCATAAGACACTTCTATTTATGAAGAGTATTTGGTTCAACATTATTTGGGTACTGAGAAGAAGTGTTTTGAAATTTCAGTCTATTTGACAAATTTTTGACACCACCCATCAGCCAAAGGGGGTCAGCCAAGGTCAATATGTGCATCTCACTAAATTGTGTTTTGAACTATTTCCAACAGAAAAATAAACAAATATTCCTCAAACATGTAATTTTCCTATATAAACTATAGTAAATTTTACCCCCTCCCCACTTTTGGTAAAGCATCTAAAGGCCTTTCCATCCAGGAAGAGTATTTTTTGACCCTGCCCAACAACCCCTGTGAGGTCAGCCAGGGCAAATATGTGTGATCAGGTTTGAACTATTTCCAATTGAAAATAAACAAATAATGTTCAAAAATGTTATTTTCCTATATAAACTACCGTTTATGGCCCTACTCCTCAAGCCCCTGGGGGTTGGGGACCATATAATTTACAATTATGGTGCAGACGTAGCCATGGAAGGTTTTTGTAAAATTTCATTGAAATTGGTTCAGGAGTTTGCTAGAAGAAGTCGAAAATGTTTGACGTTTATGATGCATGATGCCTTAAAAAAGGGGATTGCAACAGATCACCTTGAGATTTTGTCTCAGGTGACCTAAAACTCAAGGTAAATTACAGATTATCATTGAATGAGTACAGATGATGAAACAACCTCTAGGCTAATGATGGCCACATAATGTAGTGGCCCACCATTGCTTTATGAAATACACCTGAGCAACATTAAATGTCTCAAAATTATTATCATAATATCACACATGTTTTAGAATTTCTGATTTCTGCACGTTTCCGTTCAATTACTGTTGCAGCCATAGCAACTTTTGCGAATCTCGCTGTTTCAATTTTGGATGTTTCTGTTTTGGTATCATCCCACACTTTAAACAGTCTTGCTTTCTCTATTTCCAGGTCAAGAGGATCCCTGCCTTGAGCGAGCTCCTCCTTCTCCATGGCAATAACTTCCTGGGCTTGACTGATAAAGTGTTCCTGTATATTTGTGGTGACTGGATGCTCAGCAATATGGATGGTGTGGGTTAATTTCACTCTATTAACTGAAAATGAAAATGCGTTTTATTTCATGTAGAGTAATTATCAATAAAATTCATGTCTGATGATACACATCACTTAGCAGGACTAAGAGGTTCTCAATATCTCTGAAATGATGTTCATTTTTCGAATGATGGATCTGTGTGCCTTTGTGTTGATGAGCCTGACTATAACAGTATGCACATATTTATTTATGTCAACACTAACAGAAGTTTATAGTCAATAAACTCAATTTGACTATATCTCATAATTACCTAATAAAAGAGAAGGTTAAATTGAAAGACCTAAAAAGTTACCTGAGACAGAGGTTTAAATGTATGTGGCAATATATTGATTTGGCAGAATCTTCCCTACAGCAGGTACACAAACCTGGTGATGGTGATGACCCCCTGTACAGGGATGTACATGGCCTAGGTGATGGTGATGACCCCCTGTACAGGGATGTACATTGCCTAGGTGATGGTGATGACCCCCTGTACAGGGATGTACATGGCCCTGGTGATGGTGATGACCCCCTGTACAGGGATGTACATGGCCCTGGTGATAGTGACGACCCCTTGTATAGGGATGTACATGACCCTGGTGATAGTGACGACCCCTTGTATAGGGATGTACATGACCCGGGTGATAGTGACGACCCCTTGTATAGGGATGTACATGACCCGGGTGATGGGGATGACCCCCTGTACAGGGATGTACATGGCCCTGGTGATAGTGACGACCCCTTGTACAGGGATGTACATGACCCGGGTGATGCGGATGACCCCCTGTACAGGGATGTACATGGCCCTGGTGATAGTGACGACCCCTTGTACAGGGATGTACATGACCCGGGTGATGGGGATGACCCTCTTTATATGGAAGACATGATCCTAGTGATTGCGATGACTCCCTGTATAGGGATGTATATGACCTTTGTGAACGGAATGACCCCCTGTGTAGGCACTTAGCTGACTGAGGTAGTATGATAAATGGGTAGAACCCTCCCTGTGGAAGGAAGGTACATGACCCGGGTGAACGGAATGACCCCTGTGAAGGGACTTACCTGACTGAGGTAGTATGATAAATGGGTAGAACCCTCCCTGTGGAAGGAAGGTACATGACCCGGGTGAACGGAATGACCCCTGTGAAGGGACTTACCTGACTGAGGTAGTATGATAAATGGGTAGAACCCTCCCTGTGGAAGGAAGGTACATGGCCCGGGTGATGGAATGACCCCTGTGAAGGGACTTACCTGACTGAGGTAGTATGATGGGTGAACCCTCCCTGTGGAAGGAAGGTACATGACCCGGGTGAACGGAATGACCCCTGTGAAGGGACTTACCTGACTGAGGTAGTATGATAAATGGGTAGAACCCTCCCTGTGGAAGGGAGGTACATGACCCTGGTGATGATGACAACCCCTTGAAGGGACTTACCTGACTGGGTGATAAATGGGGATGACCCTCTTTATATGGAAGACATGATCCTAGCAACAACCCCCTTTATACGGTTGTACATGATCCTAGTGATTGCGATGACTCCCTGTATAGGGATATATATGACCTTGGTGAACGGAATGACACCTGTGAAGGGACTTACCTGACTGAGGTAGTATGATAAATGGGTAGAACCCTCCCTGCGGAAGGTACATGACCCGGGTGATAGCGATGTTCTTATCTATACAAAGGTAAAGGATCACAAGCTTGTCCTCCTTTTCCTTCTCAGATTCAGGGATTATCATTCCCCATCCAATCTTCTGTCCTTTGGCAACAGCTTCCAATGCTTTAACAGAACAGGGTTTATTCATTAGAAGTGGAGCAATGCTTAAATATGAAATGATATAAGACTACAGAACTTTATATTCCGAAGTTAAAGTTATCATTAATCCGTGTAACATGTTTTTGTTAAATTACCTTCTTCCTGAGCTATGAACTTAACAACATCTTGTCTGTAAATGGAAGACATTGTCAGCTCAAGTTCCTGGAAGCACGGAGTGCTCACTGCTATTCCTGCTGGAATGTGTTCAGCATCAAAGTCGTCTATAAGTTCTATCTCAAAGAAGTCGTAATCTGAAATAACCATGTATATTACACTCTGTTACACACATAAATATATCAAAGTAATTTGGAGTCTGTATATCATATGATAGACTGAATCATAGAGTATCACTAAACAGCAGCATGATGACAACACAGTTACCTTGTGTTTATTGTATGTGTCTATTAGTTTATGAAGAAGCCTTAATGCAGAACATATTACGGTAGTCAGGAATACCTTTGTCTGACATGAAGGGGTGTGGTGACTGTAGCATTATTGGCTCTATATGGTCAGGAACCATGGCAATATTGTTATCCTCATCTACCTCTGATCCACTCGGCAGCACCCAGTTTTTAATCTCGTTCTGGAAACAAGGTAAACAAGGGCCATTAAGGAGAGTTAATTTTAGAAACACATTTAACAAAAATTTAAATAGTTTTCAAAATGATACATTAGAGAAAACCTCTTTGCCATAGATGTTTTTATTTTGTTTGTTTTCCCCTTAAATCTTAAAGCATAATATAAGTAAATTGTTAAGAAATGACTAGATTTGACATTGATTTCTGATGTCTATTTATAGGCACTCTACACATGGTGCTATCTCTAACATGGAAACTCACCACTGGTGTGTTTGTTGTCTTGAAGATCTTCATCTGCCAGAACACCCTAACCTCCACCTCATAGCCATTACCACACAGCGATACAGTGGGCAGCATCTGGTCTGGGTCTAAAACAGTGTAGTGGCGTGTACCGATAGCCTTGTTGTTCTTACGGAACAATGCTACAGGCCACTTGTGTCCTATGTTACTCAGTTCCAAGTCCACAGTATCGCCTTAACAGAAATGCAACATCAAGTCAGCATAGGGTTATGACATACAGAGTGTGTTAAATGCTTATCTCAACTTTATCAACACCCAGTCACATACAAAAATGCAACATCCAGTCAGCATAGTGTTATGATATACAGAGAGTGCTGAATGCTTAACTCAACTTTATCAAAACTCAGTCACATATAAAAATGCAACATCTAGTCAGGATAGTGTTATGATATACATAGCGTGTTAAATGCTTATCTCAACTTTATCAAAATTCAGTCAGTATAACATTTCACCAGTTAAGGTTTGTTAAGAAATGGAGATAAACCACATTTCTATATTTGATTGTGAAAACAAGATTTCCAAACTGAGTAACTTTCTCAACATCACTAGGTAAATTCTTCGAAGACAAATATCAAACATATTAGTGTTGAGTTGACAGGTAACTACATTGTATATAAAAATAACTGACCTTCCTCATACCGCTCTCCCATTGTATAGCCTTGAAAGTTGCCATTGTAGTACATACGACCAACTCGTGAGGACCAGCCTGTTGAGTTGTTGACCTTCCCTGGATGATTCTTGAGGGAAAACTGGTCATTAGCTAGACCTATGTATACCACAGAATCCTCATCTGGGACAGTAAGGAATACTTTGTTAGCCAGGAGTTCGGGTAAGAGCAGGCAGATCATAACCCTTGGTTAGTAAATATGATTTATCTAATTGATATTCTATATCATGTATCTATCCTTACAACATCACATCAATTAAACCATGAATGTGTGAAATGTGGTTTTTGTCAATTTTGTAAAAATTTCAGTTACATTAATCAAATATTGTGAATATAATTCATTCCTTCAAAATTAATGATGGGGGCAAATTTGTGAATGCCCAAACTGCATGTTTGTACATTTAATGTAATTTCACAAACTTTAAAAAGTTCATCTTGATTTATTTCTTTTCCCTGATGTTTTCCTCTAAATACCTTCTAACCTTGAAAAAATAATCACTTGTCAAACAGTAGCAGCCTAGTAAGGTTTTACCGTGTATTACAATTTAATGTTACTTACGTAGAGTCTTGATCTCCATGTAATAATGGTTTTCTTCTGCTGTCATTGGCTTTAGGAACTGTACAACATGAATACCCATATGTTCTGCTGGAAGACGAACAGTACAGTGCTGCTTGCTCATATCAGGAGGCTGGACTTCATATGTATCATAAACTGGTATGTCAATTTGTAAAACATCTGATTTTCTGAACATAAATGGCCGCAGTACTTTAAAAAAAAGAACAGTATACATAAATTCACAAACAGCAAAGAACAAAAAAGAAAACTACTGGATGAAAGTTAATTAACATGGTAAAGTCTTTGATTTACATCACAATGGCATTACACAGTAGAACTTTTTGGTGACTGAACAATTTAGCAATTAGACAGTACTTTACATTAAATCAACGTGGTGTTTCCTAAACATGTCCAATCTTATTACCATTTTGCCATGGTTTTACTTTGTGGAAAACAAAAGTTCACAAAAAAAAAAAAAAACATGTGCCCAGAAAAAATATCTTATGTGGATTATTGCTAACACACTACAAGTATTTAGGGTTTAAATGATATATTGTACAATATCATGATATAAGAAACAACAAAGAATGTATTTTACTAAGGAGTTTGATAAGCCTGTTACAGACAGAGTCATGTTAACATGTATATATTCAATATCTTACCTCTTTTAAGTGTGTCAGCCATTATGTCATTCTGGGCTTCCTCAAAACTTTCCCAGAACAACTCATCATATGTCTTGTACTCTGTGATTGGAATGGTTCGATAGGACTGTGTATCAATCTTTACCTTAGGACCTGTTTAACATTGGAGTTAGATTATGTAATCCTAGAATCAGTTCAAGCTCCATCACAAAAATGTATTCACTTCAAAATTTTAAAATTATTTCTATGAATTCTATTTGTGTAATACTAGCATAAATGATGCAACTGTATTGTTGTTCTACAGAATGCACATTGCAGATGGTGAAGTTGACATAAGTTATATTTTGATAATATCCTTCAGTGATTTAGTCATGAATCTGATTAGGTAGGAACTGAACTGTCTATATCTGGGAAACTACACATTGGAAATCATGAATAGTGCCATAAAGCTATAGCATTACTTTCAATGTGTTATCAATGTAGCATTGTTACCAAATTAGTCCTACATAGATAACACTAAATTCAACCAAATTTTTATCTTATCTCCAGTTCATGTGTCATTGTCATTTGGTGCCTGAAAACTATTTCATTCAAAGCCATTTTATTCAAGAGGGAATAAGACCTCTTCCAAAGAGCTGAAAAATATTTTCTGGAGAGACGGATGTCAAACATGTTTTTATCTTGTTACTATTGTTGATAGTAGTCAAATGAAAAATGGGAACAAACATGAGTCGACCAATCAGAAGGAAAAGCCCCACAAACAGTATCAAAGACATTTATATATGGCCACTACCAAATGACAGTACACTGAACTTCCTTCTGACATAAAATCCTGTATCTATACTGGAACCTTTATCAAAGAATACTTCTTAATGTATATTACTAGCAAGCAAATCTAAAAAAGACGGACTTTGACATCTGACGACATGATAATCTAATAAATAGTTGACATACGATTAGCCCATAACTATCACCTCAATGCCCAGATAAACTTTTACTCTATCCATTGGACTTATTTGATTTTTGGAGAACAAATGATCTGATTACAAGAGATCCCAGAGGGATCTTGGCGCCCACCATTTGAGGATCTGTTTTCAGTTCTTGAAGATTTGTTTTTTTTTTTTGGGTTACAGGTTTTGTAAATGTTCATGAACTGGTCTTCATTGAATGTACTCAATGATGGCACAAGATATTTTTATTAAGCACCTATTAGCAAATATCATTTGAAAAAGATCCCAAAGTATTATTAGATAGCAGTCAGTTACAGGTGGATAATGGACATGGTCTTGAATCAATATGATAGAATATCGAAGAAAATATACTTGTGCTGTATTACTGTCAACATCCAAGTTGGCTGCCTTTGGGCCAACTTGATTTCAAATTAGTCCAAAAAAAGTACAATGCACAACTAGGGACCAAGGGAAACCAATATCTATGATATATCAGAAGTATCCATCCAGTACTTCCTCAGAAATAGCGGTAACGAGATGTTACTCTCAAACTCCAAGATGGCTGCCTGTCGGCCATCTTGAATTTGAATCAGTCCAAAAAAGGTACAATGCACAACTAGAGACCAAGGGGAACCTGCATATGAAATTTGAGAAAGATCCATCCCGTACTTTCCCAGAAATAGCTGTAACAAACTTTTACTTCCAAAATACAAGATGGCCGTCTGTCAGCCATCTTGAATTCAAATCAGTCCAAAAAAGGTACATTTCACAACTAGGGACCAAGGGGAAACTGCATATGAAATTTGAGAAAGATCCATCCAGTACTTTCCCAGAAATAGCGATAACAAGAATTGTTTACGGACAGACGGACGGACCACGGACCACGGACACAGGGCGATTTGAATACCCCACCATCTGATGATGGTGGGCTAAAAATTCCACAACATCTTGTTCTAGACAAATTATAAGATCACCATTGAGAACAGTTACAAGTGTCATGGTTGTTGATAGAAACAATTTAAAGTAAGTACTGAACAGATTTTTTCATGATTTACATGGTAATAGTATTATCAAAAAAACCTAGAAGCAAAATATTGTATTATTCCTGGATTTCATTATATGAATGATGATTTTTCCTCTTAGTGTTATTATCAATATTTCTATTTTTCCAAAAATAGAATTCCTCCTAAATAACAGTGTTTTCATTATAATAAACATGAGGAGCACTGTAATATATGTATCAGTTCAGAGTTAAATAATTTACTCAATTATTTGACTTCAAAAGTAATGAGTATTACATGATCTGAACCAGAGTATATATGTACTTACATTCACTCCTAAGGACTACAAGAGGAAAGAAGCCCCCTTCAGGCTGTATCATGTGTCTAGCCAATGCAGGCTTCTTGTCGAATGTCAGGAAGACCATAACTAACTGCTGTGACTTACAGTCAAAATCAGGTTTTCTCTGATCATCAGGATTGTAGTAAACACCAATGCCCACCGCTGTGCCAGGGCTTACCTGTGCCACTACAGAGGAAATATGTTTCAGACTTTATATGTATCCAACACATTCTGATATAGCACGGAACGAAAGAGAACATTAGATATGCTTAATTGAATGAGGACATACATATACTAAAAGAAAGTAATCCTTCCATTGACTTACAGATATTTAATGTAAATCACTCTTTCCAAAAGAAATGCACCTGAGTTATGTAATTTAATCAATAATGATTGAAAATAAATGACATACCTTTCCCATCTGCCATCCATCTAAAGTAATCCCTTAGGAAGTCACAGGTAGGACTCGGAGTCATTGGACTACAAGTGGCGACACCTATTGCAGGACTCACATTAGAACTGCCCATATCCTGTACAACAATCTCAAAATGCTGAAAACCTGAAAAATCAGAAAAAGATTATTAAAAGATGAACATGCTTCTAATATCTATGTCATGAATTCATTGTTCATGGTACACAATACACAATGTACTTCTAACAACGATCTTCCCTCTCTGAAGCTAGGTCTTTGATCTACCATCACAAACAACTAGATCTTGCCTCTTCTAGCTGTGATCTTCCTATTAAATCTCACTTCTACACACCATTAAATTTTACACCATTAGATCTTACCCTTGTACACCATTAGATCTTACCCCTGTAAACCATTAGATCTTACCCCTGTACACCATTAGATCTTACCCCTGTAAACCATTAGATCTTACCCTTGTACACCATTAGATCTTACCCTTGTACACCATTAGATCTTACCCCTGTAAACCATTAGATCTTACCCCTGTACACCATTAGATCTTACCCCTGTAAACCATTAGATCTTACCCTTGTACACCATTAGATCTTACCCTTGTACACCATTAGATCTTACCCCTGTAAACCATTAGATCTTACCTGTGTCTAGAGGCTGTGGGCTCTGTATGGGAACAACACTATTGTTTGGATGACCAGGAGATTCACTATATATAAATAACTCTTTAGCAATATCATACTGGACAAATTTTGGATGCATCCACTGAAGCATGTTTCTCTGTTGAATAAAGAAATTAAATAATATATTAGCAACCTGTAATATAAATTTTGTACATAAATAATTACAAGGACTCATCTTATATATAAACATCACTAAGAGTACCTAGAATACAACCAGTGTTTATCAGTGACGTTTCAGAAGTACTGGATACTCTCTGTCACTTTACTTACCAGACAAATCAAACTAGTAGGATACACATCGATGTTGACAATATGCCATTCACAACCAATATTGACAACTCAGTTCAGCCTTGCTCAAAATGTTTTATAACATTTAATGAAAAATATTTACTTACATCATCAAATTTAGGCACCCCTATGGCAGCTTCTGGCCACATAATGCCCATGTCTATTGGACCATTCTCCAATGTTATTGTCGGCAAAAAATCTCCATGGTTTGTTTCAAAGTGGTATCTGAAAAAATATTATACATGTATTTAAGTCAGACTCTCAACAACATCTATACCATCACTTATCTATGTTGTATATACAATTAATATAACGGATCAGTATCTATTGACAATGGTTAATCACCTATATTATAGATGTACTTATTGTTAACACAAAGGATGACTGATGGTAGAACCTTAGCTGAAAAGAGTTGATACTTTTGGCCTTTCACCCTCTGTTCCCACTCCCACCACAGATGGATTGTTTGTACAATATCTTTGATCATTCACCTGATGTTCCTAACCTTTCACCCATTTTGCTCACCACAGCCGTATTGTGTGGAAGATTTCATTGATCTTTCACTCACAATCCCATCACAGTGTCTTTTGAGACTTACCTGGTTGCCACTGGCTTCCCATTCTTAACAAACATCACAGTGGACATGGTTTGGCCAAAGTAGGTTATCATAACTCCGAACGTGTCACCTGTAATATCCTCAGGTGTTAGTTTCATTTTCAATTATAGACCAATTGACATTCAACAAGCTCAATATCAATTCAATTTTTTATGAAATCATTTTTTCATATTTAATTAAAAAAAAGACAGCAGCCATAGTCATCTCTTCCTTTGCTCTTATCATAACATTGTGCCATCCATCGCAAAAACATGTAATGATAGAGTAATTGTAAAATCATTGTTCTCTGCTTAAGGCAGGAAAAAATAAATTTTTCTATGAAAAATCATGATATATAAAAATTTGATGTCACAAAAGTCACAAAATGTTCCTCTTGTTTCATCAAGTACATTACTTGTATCTATTGAAAGAAAACAAGAGCAGAAAAAAAAGAATTTGAATTAAAATTGGAATATGATAACATACAGAAATTTTCAACTTCTAAAGTCACATACAATCCACAGATCAAATGTAAACTATCTACACCTGCTAATGCTAACCTACCAATTCTGAACTTCTCTCCATTGCTGTTTGCGATATCACTATGACATGTATAGCAGCTGCCATTGTTACTATGGTACCCCACAGTCCTGTTCCAATTCCCAGGGTGTGCATCTTCAGCAATGTTGGGTCCAGCTATCCCAATTGTAATTTTACTCTTTGATGCTAAAAAAAGATCAAATTATTATGTGCTCTTGAAATCTTTTGTATATTTTATTTTCTCTTTAAACATGATAAAGCAGTCATAAGCTAGTCTTTGGCCTTTTTGATATATCGTTTCTGAAGATATCTCTTTTCTACCACTATAGTAACCATTCTATGCAACATTAAAAGTAATACAAAATTATATAAGTTGATCCATTTTTAATGTAGTTAAATATCCTTGATATAATTTCAGAATTTTCACAAATTTTCTGTGGTTCATTTCTTAATGCAAATTCTATTTGGACCAAATTACATGTAGTTTACTGTTTTTGTATGGTTTTTGCCAATTCTGCTTTGTTTATTTTGTGGAAACCAAGTTTGTGCCAACTGGGTTTTTTTGTTAACTATGAAAACTGATCACTTCATTATCTAACTATACTCATGACGAGTACTATGATTATAATAACATAACATCCTTTTTTTGGTTTTTTTTTTTAAAAATCTTTTATATTTTGTTTTGTTTTAATGGATCAAATAAATATTTAACACCAAAATGTTGCGCTTTTGTGTAACAATAAAACAAACTGAAAACATGATATAACACAGTAGAAAATACATAAATGAACTTACACAATGCTCTAATCTGACCAAAGAAATATGGATAACGAGGAGTGAGAGGCTTTGTGCACTGTAAAAAATTACTGGTTTCAGAAAATTGTTTGAGCTGGACATCTGTGATCTGGCCAGGAAATGGAGGATGTCCATCAAACACTATATCACCAGCATAGCGGAACAAGTCTGCCATCCTCTTACCCTGTGTTCACCTCCCAACAAAATCTGAGAACAAACAAAAATAGAAATAAAAATACGGGGTCAGGTGAAATTTTTTAATGTCACATGACTGGGCTGTTGAAATGTTCTGTGGTCAGAGTAACGTAATTTCTCAACATTATGTTACCTGTATATTTAATGTACGGAGTATTTTGCACATATATGTGATGTCCAGTTTATATTTATCATTTCATTTCAAGTGAATTAAGATGATGATACAGTAGCAACAATTAAGTTTCCGAGTGTGATATCATACATTCAACTGAATATATATTGTAAGGTAATGTGGGATTATCCATGGGATTAGATCGGACTCATCATAAATATATACTGCTGCAAAGCCAAAACTATTTCTTTATACAGAAAAAAAACCATCACTGTAATTTACCATGATTCTATCATATAGCCTGAGACAAACGCTACCTCTGTCTGGAAATACATCGACGTCTACTTTTTTTTCTCTCTGACATTTGTAAATATCCATGTGATTAATCTTTAGCTATTTTACACTCAATTATAAAACGCATGTGTTCAGAAGTTGATATGTGAGTGAAAATGACGAGATCTCTATTTTATGAGTATTTCCCAATGATTAAAACAGTATTTTAGACAACAATTGTCATGGATTCAGTGAACGATCAGTGACGATAGCGACACTGACCAACCAACGTCGTACTCATGAAGTTTCTTTGATAACAAATACGCACGTTGGAATTACTAGTTTTCCCACGATTTTCTGATACTGCCGAGATCTACAGAGAATTTGTAATACAAACTTACACATCTTTTGTATCTGTAAACAAGTTTCATTCATAAACGATACATTTTTTCTTCATCCTGAATCATGTTTACATTGTTGCTAAACACCGAGTGCATGTGAGTAAAGCTAAAATCCAGAGATACTCCGAACAACGTTGTACTATTTCATGTCATAGACAAAAGGCCATCTGGGGAGTGTCCATTGAGCACAGTTTTGTAGCTCATCTGGTCCGCAGTAATTTCTTAAAAGTTCGGTAACAACCTGAAGCATTTTTCGTGATTTGTATAAGCAGTTGGTCTCGGGCCCGTGGGGTGGAAGGACCGGGGGCCCAATAAAGGGAAATAGAACACATTCTTTAAAATCCTTATTTTACTGAAAGAATGCGATGTTTAATCAAACAATACACTTCAGGTTGAAAAGGAAATCGTATTTGATAAACGGTGAGACTTGATCCCATGAGGCTGGATGGGATGGAGCCCTATAGTTGAATAGAGCATCGTCTTCTGTAGAAATGCGGCATGGATTCAGTTAGGCATGAAGCATTCTTGGATGATGGAAAATCAATTTAGTATAAGCAGTGAGTTTCGACCCCTTGTTGCGGACGGATGGGTCCCGATAGCGGAAACAGAGCAAATTCTTTAAAACTCCTATTCTTCTGTAGGAATATCAAGATTTTGTCCAAGTTTGGTCTGAACTTCGCGGCATCCTTGGTAAATGTGACTGAATATCAACATGTATGAATAGTGGTCTCGATCCGCTGGGGCAGATAGGGGAAACTAAGGAATCACCTAACATCCTTCTTTAGTTCTTCAGTTGGGATGAAGGTATTTTATCAAAATCTGGTTTTATTCTTCTGAAACATTCGAGGGAAACTGAGAACCAGTTTTGTATCTAACTCTAAATTTGCATCAAAAGGGTGCTTTTAACCCGCATGTCTTAAGTACAGTCTTCAAGATTTAAGCCTTGTATACAGCACTGGTGGACTTTTCGTCCCCGAGGTTTGCGATAACCTGCATGCCACGTTTAACTTAATTTGAATAGTGACAGAGTTCAGAATGTATACATGAATCTGACATTGTTATGAAATTCTCACAAAATTAAAAATAAAAGTTTAGACTCTTTCTACGCATGGACGATGTACAGATATATATATGATGCAGTTTAGTTCATTTTTGGCTCTAAATTTGTACTAAAGGGTGTTATTTACTTGTGTGTCTTTTGTACAATATGCGGACCCTTTTGTACAACATGCGGAACCTGAATAGCAACAAAGCACCCGAATACACACGTGAAATAACACCATCGTCACGTCTTTAAGTCACATGATATCTATCCTCGAAATTACAGGAGTTACGACCACAAACGATCTCTTCGCAGTGAGCGAAAGTGATCGTGTGGTATGTATACTCATATATGTAGCTGTATGTAAACCATCCACAGATGGTCAAAGGGGAGATAACTTCGATAACTGTGTTACATGATTGCCTCCCTTGTTTACTGTAACTCTCGTGTGTTAGGAGGCGACTAAAGGACGATAGTTGGGTAGCAGGAAACAGTTAATTTGCATTTTGGTAGCAGTACAGTTTCTCGGTGGCCATTAATTACCCCATTATAAAGGTTTTAATTAAAAATGAAAAAAAAATCCTTGCTAAAATTGGTCCTGTCATGTTAAAGTGGACAATGTAGGGTTTCACTTTTTTTTTCAGGATAATATTTTATGAAAATTTCACTTCCTGTAAAGCTAGTTTTTGGTGCATAGATACAGATTCGAGACTGCCCAAAAAGTAATCTCCAACATAAAGCTATAATATTATTCTGAAAAAAATGAAACCCCACATTGTCCACTTTAACAAGACAGGACCAATTTTAGCAAGGATTTATTTTTTTCAATTTTGTTCAAAACCTTTATAATGGGGTAATCTAAAGAACAAAAAAAAAATCCCCCATGGCCACACCGAGAAACTGTGTACTGCTACCTATGTATAGGCATATTCCCTCTCATTACCAAGAGCCTAATTCCCGACACGTGATCCCTGGAATATCGAGGATAATAATTAATAAAAATAATAATAGTGAAAATCGTACCACCAGGGACAAAATAATTACATATATCTTACAGTGAGACTAGTTTGAGTTTTCGCTTATTTGGCAGAAACAAGAGTTATATGATATAGCTATCAAACGTGCATATGTCTATTTTATCTAATATAGGTGTGTATTACTTCTCGAAATTATAGATGTCTTACTTGTCCAATGCACATGTGTCTTACTTGTCCAACGCCCAAGTACTTCTACCTCGTCAAAATCGACTTTGTCTCTTATTAACACTTACGTTATAGAATCACCAAACAGATGACTTAATCAAGAAGATTAACTTACTCATCGAGTGGGTATGAAAATGTCAATATCGGGGTTAGCCACTAAACGCTGTGTCACATAATCTTTTCCTTTGAGACCATGATGGAGATGCTATAAGGTGATATTACCCCCGAGGTATTTATCAAGGTTGGACTTCATGTGTTCAAACACCACAATACACAGGTAAGTGATTGGTCTTTAATTACCGGTCCTGTATTTACCACCTTTTATAGGGTGGCGTTGGACGGTGCTTGTTGTTGATCAGGTCGATGGTAACTTGTCTTATGTTGTAAACAGTATCTGAAAAATTGGAGCCAAATCACTGCGGGGTTCTTTCAAGACCACTGGTTTAATGTTATCTGGGCAGACTGCTTTGATGGTATTTCGGTTCCACATATTGTACAAAAGATACACAAGTGAATAGCACCCTTTCATACAAATTTAGAGTTAGATACCGTAGATCCAAACAGAGAATTAAACTGCATCATACAGCTATTTCGTCTTTTTAGGACTCGTCTGTGATATTAAGGACCGAAGAGGGGACCAAGGAATTACAAATGACCAACAGAGAAGTCAAAATCTAGACGGGGAATGCACAAACCCCATAATTCAATAAATATCCAAAAATCATATATAAGATATTTTTAGAACAACGTCAAGTACATGTGTATATTACGAACCGTGCAACTATTCGAAAGAATAAATTTTGTTTTTCAAGGTACAGAGAAGTCTATCTCTGACATAGAATGATAGAATGATGTAGTCAGAGGGGATACTATTCTAGCACATTTAATCTTAATCTAGAAATTCTTAATTTGTAGTTGAAAGAGCTGACCTGATCCAATAGGAATTGATCATTTAGTATATTGGCCATTTCAAAATTATCAGTGTTGAGAAGCCCATCTTTCTTTAATACATCGATGCCACGTGAGTCTTGCTTACCTGACTTGAAATAACTAGATATGTAGTAGACAAGCACCTGGTGCTATCCTCGTTGGCTTTGTTGTTTGTGTTTGTGACCAGAACTATACTTTATATGGGCATATCTGCCAAGTTTCTAGGTACGGTGTTTATACCCTAGACAATCGTTACGGTATTTTACTTTTGTGATCTTTGGAATTCAGGTATAGACTGTCTCTTTTCCTGAGGTGTCGTGTGAGGTTCGGTGTGAACCAGGGTAGACTTTGTCTTGTATAGTGGTGAACTTAGATCGAATAAATTCAGGCAAACCTAGATCCAATTCAGATATTAGTTTTATTCATAATTGCTCCTTCGTAGTTGTTTAGAAAGGTCTACTAAATTGAAAAATTCAAAGACTCGACGAAATTTGCTTTCAATCGTAATTGTGTACTGAGTGGGTTAGTGGTAACATTTTTACATCCTATTAATACATATCCAGTCTTGAGGTTCGTTAAGAAATGATACTTAGATGATTGGGACCAATTTTGGAGCCACTTTGCAGAGAAATTGTATAATATATAGTTATACTGATTTCCCTAACTGTCACCCTTTCTTTTTTAGTATCACATTAAAAGTTGAGTTCAACAGGGAGATTATACATCTAAAGTTTAGTCTCCCTTTGCAATCATGTATTGAAAATTCAATTTTACATAAATCAAAACACAAATTAGTACAAGAAACTGTTTATAAACATGGTATATATATGAAAATGATGTTCGAACATTTAATTTCTAAAACAGCTTGTGGATATGCTTCAGATCATCGATAACAACTTTCAATGGCTCCACATTGTTAAAAAAAGATATGTAATTGTTTAAATTTTCTCTGAAATATTGAAAATACATGTACATCTGATCTATTTTAAAAAGTCAACTTGTCAGATAGTTTAAAACCAGCTCCGCTCGAGTGGGTCAGGTGCTATAAGTAATGCTAAATGCCGTTTTTATATTTGATTTTACACGCAATCTCTCCATATGATTCCGTATCGTTTAGTATCATCTCAAAATCAAAATGAATATTAAAAATTGAACAACAATCAGCATCAAAGCGGCAAGCTGTCTCTATTCTGGGTATTTATAGCTTTCGGAAACCTCAGTCCCGGGGTCATCATTTTCGGAACAGGTTACATTTTTGTCTGCCAGGATGTCAACACTGCTTGTATCAGGTTTTATTTTATAGGCAGGTCTGAAAGTGTGAATCAAAATTAAAATATGAATAAAAGAGACACAACTGTAAGTAAGGTATAAAGTCGTTTTACAAAATTTCACGACCTATCAATTACGTGCCTATTTATGATGTTCAATTTACCACAGTGAACTTTGAAAACAAAACGGGTTATACAAGATATTGCATGATGTACGTACGTTCCAAACCGGATCCCGTCTCCAATAGTCTCTGGTAAATCTTGGTCCATCGTTTCCGGAAGAAACAAAGCTAATAATGCAGCTACTACTGACACCACTCCAAAAACAACCATCGGAAAAACTCGGCCAAATCGTCCATCAATGAAATTACCCTGAAAAAAGATATATGCATACATATAAATTAATTGATAGGGATGTTTGACGATCGCATTGAGAGATATTGTTTTTTCTTGGTGCTATTTGAAGCTAGACGTATCTGATGCTCGTGAATATGAATGATAGTTCCGATGTTGTTTGCTTTGTTCTCATTTGGCAACGTAACATTACCACGATTTATATGGGTGGGTGTCGTCAATGAAGCTGAAGACGCTCACTCTTCCGGAACACGTGAATTAATTTTCGTTGTACTTGTTCAAGAGTCTCCATTTAAATCTTCTTTCGTTCATGTGTTGCCATAGTTTCATCGAATTTTCATTTCAATTAAGATTCAGTTGACGTGTTTATATTGGAAAAGGGAGGTACTCAATAACAACACAGAATATTCTTTTCCTTTTCACTTTCCAGTTTCTGTTTTTATCCTTGTGTATCGGCATTGATCTCCCATGTTTTATTAAGTTTTTGACTTTAACATTTTAGATTTTGCCACTGCTACTTATTAGGAATCTATCTTCTTGATTTTAGATATTTTGTGTTTGATTGTTGTTTTATGTCCTTATTTTGGTACTGTTGTTTTGTTGGTTATTGAAAGAAATCGTATCAACACGTGTTCCAAAGAAAGAACCACAGACGAGAACGTTTACACAGAGCAAATAATTCAAATAAGTCGGATGTTGTTATAAAACCAACTAGAAACCAGACCGTAAAGTTTTAGTGCTTTTGTCTCTTCATGGTGGCATATTATTGTTTTAAGACAAAACTAATCCAAATGCATGCTATACTTTAGGATACAGAAGCTATTAGGACTTCAGATGTTATTCTCCACTTACCGACTTAACAATGTAGGCTGCCACTACAGTACCCATCCACTTGAAGATGGAACAAGTACTGATCGCCGCGCTGCGTACTACAGTAGGGAACAACTCTGCCGAGTAGACGATAATGATGGAGAAGGCGGCTGTTATTCCTAGTTTTCCTAGCATTGCCAATGCTACTGTCACTTGTTGGTAACCTGCAAATGACAGACGTAATGTAATCAAATTGTATTCGACATTTTCAAATATTTATTTGTTGTTAAGGATTTTATCATCCTTTGTTTAATCTATGGGAGTAATGATGATATAAGTTAAGGATGTATATGATGCTTTACTGTGTTATACCTTGTGTGCTAGTCTTTACTAAGCTGTTTGCCAACAATATGGTAGATTCAAACTAAGTGGAGTGTGAAGAATTTCAAATACAAATGACCATACATGAATCATTAAAGTGAAGGGACATTCTTATTTTGTTTCTCGCTTGAGCAAAAATATTATGTTTCGAGTGTTTCTTTTTCCAAATCAGTTGTCAGGGAAAGATGCATAGATTTGTCCTTTGTTGACCACTCATGGATTGGTACACTCGCCCGTTTGTATGTATATACACCGGTATACATTTTTGTTGCATCATCCTTATACGTGCGCTTTCTACTGATACAAGAAGACGGTCATGGCCATAGATTTGTATGACCTCGCAAAACTTTGGCAAGAGTACAAGTGACACCACAATGTTATATTAACTTAGAAGTCTGGTCACGAAACCCTGATAATGTATATTTATATTGTATCAACAGATTTAAACAACTAAATAATACCCTTTGAAAAAAACGACGAGAAAGAACAAACATGTCAATGTGAACATAACCCAAACTGAAATTCAATAAAACGGGGACAAGTATGATAAAAAAACAAAAACAAAAACAAAAAACAAAACAAAACAATTAAACGGAAATTCCAGAAAAAATACAATGAGAATAAGACCAAGTCCAAGTAAGTAATGTCACAATGATAAATAAGTATACAACAACGGAATTAACAGGCAACTAACCAGGATCAAACACGTCCAGCTTCATATCACACAAAGAAATAATTTTTTCTCGATGAGATTACTATGACGGCAGTGAAACTTCCCACCGATTCGTATCAACCATCATCTTTTGGTAAGAGTTTGTCAGTCATTTGACGACTTTTTTGCAAGAAATCGGGTGAATGGGATTATCCTCTTGAATACCGAATCAACTGCGACAACTGTAAACACTATAGGCTGGGGATGCCAGCCTGTTGCTATCCAGAAATTGAAAATTCACACTAGGAAAATCGGAATCATTACACTTATCATACAGAATGTTGGAACTCTCTCCATGTTGGTTTCGTTGTAAGAAATTATCGAGATAAGTGACTGATGTAGAAGAGTATGTCGTGCCCTATAGACAGCGAAATATTGCCGTGTGAACGGCAATTTATGTGATACTAAGGTATATATATTTCGCATCATCAAAGATTATATATTACATACTGATTCAAACGATACACTGACGTTAAAAAATGACATGAAAACAGAAATCATATCAACAAGGCGTTACTTCTTACTTTGATCCAAATGGAGAATGGTAAACATTGTTGAAAAGCAGGCAGTGCCTCCTACAATCATACAGACAAAATGTAGCCATTTCCTGCCGATCCTGTCCATCAGAAGTAATGGGATTGTGTATGCGGGAAACTCCACCAATGCAGATAAAAAGAAGTTGAGATAGTAATCGCCATCTAAATATCCAGTGTTTAGCGTCAATCCATAATACGTCATATTAATGACACACCTGTAAGATACACAGTAACATATTCTATCGTAAACGGAAAAAAATTGATTTTGTAGAAATTCTTCAACCATGAATCAATATATTACCACGAATAGATAAACTGTTATACATGACACTTTTAGCATCAGGAGATTTCATGAGTACTGTCTATCAACAAAATCAGGTGTGAACAAAAGAATACATTTCCGAAAAAACCCACTAATTTGAGCTCAACGAAAGTACATTCTTTCACAGTTACATGTACAGAACATAATCATTTTGTTAAAAGGTCACAAAACGAAGAAATACTGTAAAACAATATTATCCCATTCCTGTAGTTTTATTAAATAAGTAAATCAAATGATAAATGCAATTCACGAAAGCTACCATCTGTAGTGAGCTTGTCACAAGCTTACAATTTACATGTATTACAATAAGGCAAACCTTAATTCTGATAATCATTACAGTAAACAAAATATTACAATAGGTGATGCAGAGGTAACTCTAACCCTAACTTTATTACAATTAAAGTTGTTACATTTAGCGTTTCTTACTGAAATAAATATTAAAGGTAAGAATTCTGAAATGGGAAGTTGTGTAGACTTAGCTATTGTCGATAGTGACGACACACTGAAAGCAAATGCTTTTCATTATAAATTTTGTATGCAATTCAACTAATGAAACTGACACTGAATTACCTACTATTTTAAATGTCACCGATTATGCTTTGAATAATATTCAATCACGAAACAGCTATATGATGCCCTTTAATTCATTGTTTGACTCTACTGTAACTTATCCTAAATTACTCAAAATTGCTATTCTTTGGGTGTCTTTGGTAAGACTTTGTAGGAAGTTAGTTGATGTATTAGTTGATGTATTTTTAATAATAAATGTAACAATTACTTGTTTTAAAAAATTCATCGAACCATCGAAAGCATATTTCTACAAGAAAATGCATATAGAACAAGACGACAGAAGACTGTCTTTATATAAAAAGTTTTTATTTTCAAAGTGTTGACGAAACACAATCAATATTTTGGCCTTGAAACGTTTTGTTAAAGTGAAATTGACAGTTTCGGTCTTTTGAAGTGAACTTTGACCTTGCAAGTTTGGAATTGAATTTTTGCATTGTTCCGAAAATCTTTAAAATTCACACGATTAATATAATGATTGTTATGGATAAAATTTCATTTTGAAGGCATTCAAAATTGTCAATATTGATTGACTGGGGATCTTTGATACTTTGCTTTAAGGAATACTAACTAATCAGGTCGCATTGGGGGTGTCAATAAACTTTCATTTTTTAAACCTTAATGATTCATACAAACCTCAACACCATTCCCTTAAACATGCAGGCGTACTATATATGCTTGTCTTAAAAAGTTGAATTAGCGTTACTGTAATAAATGTTGTTTTTGTTACAACAGATATCACTTCATGAAATTATTTTCAAATTATTTCGATAAGGTTTATTCCAATGTAATGCACACTTAAAATAGTCAATTAATTACAATAACGAATACCTCAAAGATGAAAGATTTATTTACTTTGCGTAATAAATTATGTATATGATTTTTGTTAAAAAATAATGCGAAATAAACAGAAGAAAATAGAAGGTTACAGAAGATAGCCAGGTTCACATGAGATTAAGCAGTGTAATGAACTTACATATTCAGCCATATTATCAACATCCTGATCAGTAGAACCCTGGACTTAAACAACTGAAAGAACTTCCTTTTGTTTGTTTTTTCCGTTTTGATGTCAATCCAATTTTTATGGTCAAATACCTCTTCCCGTAGGGATACTCGATTAACTTTTGCAGCCTTTCTCAGAATTTGTTCAGCTTCCAAATATCTTTGATTCGTGATAAGCCATCTTGGGGATTCAGGCAAAAGCCTAGAAAGGAAATAGCCATACAAACATTATATCAAACAGAGATAAATTCTATTTGAGTTGCTTTTTCAGTATGTCTGTCTAATATCAATACATGACTTCTGTTTATTAATACGATGTCCTGTTTATGAAATAAAAAGATATTTAAGAGATTGAATATTTTCTATGAAGAAATTTCTTCAATTAGAACCCTTTATGGGTATGATACAAAGGCAGGGCTCTGTATACACTCTTCTCCGCCTTGTTGCATACTGCACTGATTAAGGTAAACCCGGTTATTGTTATCATTAGAAATATTCATTAACATAAGGTATCGTCATATTTACCACCAATAAAGTAGAAAGAGGCTTGTCGGTACTGCGCATGCTATTTCAACGTATTTCCAGTGACGTATGAAGTAGGCTAATCCTGTGAGTATTACCATACCAACAGCAAAGAAGTAGTTAGTCACTGTACCAGTGACTGTTCTCTTTGAAGGCCCAACCAACTCCAAACCTGTATAACGGGTCAAAACAGTCAAAACCACATTTTAATTGAAACAATTAAACACATTGAAATTTAAATATAAAAAGGATAGGAAGAAATGTCACTAATGACATGTCTGTCCGGTAGCGCACAAGCACAGACAAAATAATTATCATGCTGATCCGAAATTAAACATTCCACTCGATGATATAAAGAAGGCTAACAAGATTGAGAAATTGCTATAAAGATTTATACTTTTGTCGGTGAACCAAGGCTACAATATTTAAAAAAGACTGATTTATTGGGAACCCCTGAAACCTTACAAAGAGAATAGGACGAGGTGTTGCGGAATGGTAAGCATATCCTTTTTCATAGACGATAATCACCATGTAAATCCTAGTAAACATCGTCACATTTCCAAATTAGAGCAAGTTTAGCAACCAAGTAACACTAAAGTGTCTTACAAATCCAACTTCAAATTACTCAGGGAAACATGTATAGCATTCCCATGATCTTAGAAAAACTGGAAGAACAATACACGTATGTTTCAGTTCCTAATTAAATAATTATCAACATTTTCACAAGTCTCTTTAACATCTAATGGGCTGTTCATTAATATGCTACTTTTTAATAAAGCTTTTGCAACGACTGGTCACTGGACGATATTTATACGCATAGTTAAGGAAGTAATACTTTTATTTGGAACTCAATGCAGTCACTGGATTTTAAAAGAGTTTCAATAACAGAGGAATGATATAAATTCTCCACTGTTCTTCTTCACAACTGCAGGAAATAGTATCCTCTATTACTTGTGACATGGTGTATTTTAAGTGAGTATTTCTATGAATTCAATCTGCAATATGGAATAACACAGACAAACTGGCATACCTATGACTAATCCTGGAGTGTACATGCCCTCAGAAGCTCCTCCTGTAAGGACCATACAGACACAGAAGAATGTATAGCTAGGTGACAAGCCCAAACTCAACGTGGACACAATAAGCAGTATCACTCCAACGATAAAGCTGATTTTACGACCGAATCTAGAATAGACAATTATTTAAAGATTAAAAATTTAATACTGTTATCTTTTCATTTTCGTTAATGGACTATTTCCACGGTAAAATATTCCGGAGATCTAGATAGTCAAAGAAAAGCAGCGTCATAAACAATCACACACACGCGTAATAAAATAAATAATGATAATAATAATAATAAAACCAAGAGCCCCCTCTCGTCTCACGGGGCCGATATCCATAGCGTTTTACAAAATTCAGTCTTCATCCCAAAAGGAATCATCTGATGTCATTTGTTTGAAGTTAGAGTAAATGTCCTCATATTTTCGCTCTACCAAAAAATTAACAAAAAGATGAAATAAGAAATCCCCCAGCAAGATAAATAAAGATAACAAAAAAGCAAGACCGCTTGTATCTATTATATCTATTCACTTGCGTCCTGAGTTAACTTGAAACACTTGTATAAGGTATACAATTGGGACATAGATGATGTTGTCGTCTTCCTTACGACCACAACTTTTATCTAGCCGACTGGATTTTAGAAGATACGCCACAGTAACTAACAGAATAGCGGGATATTCATAACGGTGGTGTGAACTAAATTATATGCACAGAATGTTTACTACGGACATTTTGATAAAGAATTTTGTTCGTTATCGAGTGTTACTGATCAAACATTGTATTTACTGTATTTAAATCTTCCACAATATTTAAGCATCAATTTATAATGATAACATACGCATCCGAGAGATGTCCCAATACATTGGCTCCGACCAAAACGCCAGTGAAATAAAGAGACGTCGCCATAGCTGTTTTGTAGGAACTGTCGCAAACCAAATCGTGCTGAAAATATCCAAAATACCCTTTAACAAGTCATATCAAAAGCATTTTGGTGACTTCTATTAAACTTTTAAAATATATGCAGCCTATTTAATTGATTTTTGATTCAATATATACAGATATTTAACAAGTATAGCATACTATCTTTATTTTTTCGTTTTTCACTAGTGCGAAGTAAGAGCTAAAACAGATAAAATCTGTCATACGAGTGAAATGATATCTTAAGACAGCTCCATTACAAAGAATCCTTCTTATCCTTGAAATCACAGATATTTTTTATGAGAGATTGATTTTCTTCAATTTTAGTTATTTGGCTATTTAAGATAAATGATCATCTTCAAAGTGATTGCCAACAAACAATTTTTGTTGATACAATAATTAATACAAAAGAGCATTCCCAAAAGAGCATTCTCATATTGACCACTCTTGTAGGTCCAGCTGGAATGGAGCGGGTTTATCTGAGAGGAAATTTGAGTATTAGAGGCAACAATTATCCCAAATGCAATCTGCGTCAGCGATCATTTTGACAATCGAATCAATAATGCTCTCTTCATAGCATGTGATATTTAATCTAAAGTCCAATGTAGAGTTTGCAAAACAACAAAGTCAGTACATGAAGAGATAAAATTATAGGTAAGGTTCAGTATGGAGTGAGCATGTTTAGCAGTGTTCAGTATGGAAGTAACAGGTTTAGTAGAGTTCAGTATATAAGTAACAAGTTCAGCAGTGTGCATATAGATCAATAGGTTAGACATTGTACGATATGAATGTGACAGGTTTTGTCGGTAAGGTCCTGTAGTAACCTGAATACCAGGTTGGATAATGTTCCAGCTACAGCAGGGTTCAGTATAGAACATGTTAGGTAGGACTTCCTTGAACTCGTTGTCTAATGATTACATCTCAGTGTTCTTGTTTTGTATAATGGCATGTGAAAAGTGATCAAAACATAGGTATGTGTAGGAAAAACTTACAACCTTTTTATTTATAACAAACCTTGGAAGTAAACGTTTCTTTAAATACGTTTTGGTCGTATACCCATGAACTGCAACGTATTTTCGTAACGTTTTCGGGATGACTGATATTGTCCCAATCATCGTGTGCATATATGTGACATCGATCGTAAGGCTGTGTGTCATCAGTAGAGGTTGGGATGTATCTCTTAATATACTCCTGGTGCCGTTCATTTTGTACTTCATAGGTGTCGTTATCATAACCAGGAATCTTACATCTGAAACAATATACAATTCCGACGATAACAATTTTCTGGAAAAGGCATATATTATGGTTTTACATTTAGTTGTAATATCGCTCAGTGAGCAATCGACAAAAAGTGACTGAAAATCTACCCCAAATCCACGACATCAGTAATCCGCTATGCAAAGACATTAAGAAAGGATTAGAATTAGACTAAAAATGCATTGTTTTCAATGCGGAATTTTCAGGCGAACGCGTATCAAATTTCATTTTTTTCCAATCACTCCACCTGTCTCTTACCTGTGCTCCGGAACTGCAAGTATTATAGCAGAAATGACAGTAAATATTCCACTGAAAACAGAGGCTATACAGATAAGACAGTACATAAATTTCTGGTACCGTCCAAAAGCACCTAGATGAGTAGTAATTTGATCAAAATCCATTACGGGTCTTTGATAAATACGTTACAATTGATCAACAGAGGAAGAGGGAACATCAATGTTGAATCTAACTGGTAATAAACCATAATACCAAGCAAACAAAAAAACAGAAAAAAAGAAAAAAAGATAATCAAAAAGAAAAAAATGATAAAACACGCTTAAACATTAGCATATTTGGGTTGTAGACGGCGTTAACATTCAGCATAATTATCATTTATATTAGATACATAAAATGAATAGCTAATGCGTTTTCATGACGCAAGTGTAAATTTCTGCGTGACTTAGCACTAAATAAGCTGCTGTTGATCTTGAGGTATCTTACATATCATATTATAATTTATTCGATTGCTGGCATGGTTCAGAATTTACGAAAGCCTGAAAAGGTCAAATTTCGAAGGGAAAAAAATATAAAATCGCGTTATTATGCAATAAACGCGTAATAACGCCTTTTCAAATGTCGTAATAACACCTTTCAAAAGTCATAATAACGCCATCCAAAGTCTTTTGTTAAGGACTGAATAGATGCAATGACAATGGTATTCTTACCTGTAAAAGTCATTATAACGATTTTTTTCGCGTTATTACGACTTAATTCGCGTTATTACGACCTTTGAAAGGCGTTATTACGACTTTTTTGCGTTATTAAGACTTTTTTTCTTTTTAAATTATCAGATATCTGAAAATTATTAAATTGATTGAATAATGGGGTTAGTGCAAATTTCTATCTAGATTTTGAAATTTCTTTCGATGTTTCCTCTCAGCTCTTAGGCTTCGAAATGCAGGTCCTTAGCATCACTGAGTGGTCATAGAAGGTCGAGACAACTGTATGATACAGTTAACTTTATTATTTGGCACTAATATTTCATCGATGAAGAAGTTATCTATTCCAATGTAAGAGTTATGAATGATCCTGTACAGTGATAGATGAATTGTCTTAATAAATCGAGTGTTAAAAATAAGTGAGTTTAGGATACTTTCGAATCAAACCTCTAGCATGGACATGGTGACATGCTGTTTCGTAAAGGGATGCGAATTTTGCGTAACCAACAACATCCGCCATTAAATCAAACACTGCACGTGGCTGAATTAATAGTATAACAGTTATATGCAATCTTTCGAACATCGAACGTATCAATTTATACATTGGAAGAGGAAATAAAATATATTTAAAGGATTTGATAGTGGTGAACACGAGACGTTTACAGAGCTGCATGTAATTTTGATTTCCAATAATCTGTAACTTTTCCCGTCAGGAACCTATATTTGTTACAAGGGGAAGTGATAGTTTAGCAGAGCTATTATAATTGAATTGAATTAATGAAGTTCAATCATGAATATCGTCAACATGGAGATATCATTACCCGAATGAATGGAACTCTTTTCCTTTACTGTTCACCACCTAACCTCATCAGATCTGCTGTATGACTTATATATCATTTGCCGCTGATTTAAATATATATTTCAAGTACCTGAACGTACTATAAAGAGCAAGGCTTTCCACCACTGGGTCCAGCTTTTCATCCTTTTCTCCCCGTATACTTTAAAGCTCAACATGATTAATTAATACATAAGAAATATAAATCCGAAAGTGTCGTCATCATGACCAGTTATGGTTATGGTCGAATTCATAGCGTAGATTTTTACTCCTTTTCATTATGATCTCTACTTTATAACATCGAAAGCGTAAATGGTAGATTTCTATTACTGGATAGCAACATCTCGGAATTCTTAAGCTATGGTGTTAACATGTGTGTCGCAGTTGATTTGATTCCATATTCACGATATTCGTACCACAAGTTTTCAAAAGATGTAGGTTGATGAAATTACGGTCGTCATAGTGATCTCATTGATAAATTCAATTTTGTTGAGCGATATGAAGCTGGACGTTAGTTTGCCTGTTGGTTCTATTGTTGTATACCCTTTTCTCTTTTGAGAATGTGACATTGCTTTCTTGGATTGACCAAGATTTATTTGGTGGATTTCGTCGATGAAGCAGAAGACGCGTACTCCTCTGGAACACCTTGTCTTATTCTTTTTGTACTTTTTCAGGAGTGGCCATGTAAGTCTTCCTTTTGTTCATATTTTGCCTTAGTTTTATTGACTTTGAGTTTTTATAATGATTATATAAACATGTTGGTATTTTCTTGTTTTGTTTTTGAAGAATTCAGAATACCTTAACGATGCCTGGCATATAATCCTCGCCCCAGTTCAGACAAAACCAGAAACGAAAATTTTTACATTGTAAACGATTCTGATTAAATATCTATAAACTGTTCTTTATAGTGATGAGAGGTGCTTTTACAGATTTTGTATGCAGTCCATTTCCAGTTTTCTAAGATCGAATGAATTATTTGGTTTCAACTGCTTATAGCTTAAGTGAATATTTCTTTTATTTGTTCTATATGATATTGGCTCACAGGGACAATTTCTGATATATGCACATTGAATACGCAAGCTTGAATATCCATTTTGTTTCGATTTTTTTCTTATGCGTTATTCCTGCACATCTGTTCCCCCAGGTCTTACGTTTTTAATATTCTATTCAACTCAATAGGAATTTCAAGATTTTGCCTAAATGTTTCATATTTGAACGTAGATAATTATGGTAAAACCTCCCCATATTAAGAAGGTTACCGATATATTTTCATCAGATTGCTAATATTTATTATGTAATATTAAATCACATTGGTCATTTATCTCATGACGGTAGTACGTGCAGAACGTCATAGATAATTTGTTTGTGATATAAGAACTTTTATTTAAGTAAATTCCTGCCGGAAACTTCCTGAGAATTATCGTGAGTGTTGTCACCGTCATATAATTTTTCAAAGATTCAAATCAAGTCATTTGTCAGTTAATAAGTTGATGGCTCAAAATATTTTATATTGACCCGATGTCGTGACATTTTGATTAATTAACATTCCCCACTGTTTCCTCTAAGGTTTCATACTTCAGGTCCTCGTGATCATTGACAGAGTCGTTGAAACTGTATATTACAGTTTAATTCGTTTTTGGTTATGCTATATACAAGTCTTCGTTCACTTGTGTTTGTTTTGTACAATCGTTGTAATACACATAAGAGGCGGACATGACCCGATACTTAGAAGAACTAATAGAGGATATTTAATTGTGTCCTTATTAATGATAAATATCTTCCACAAGTGTGGTTAATATTTTAGTATTCTTCAGATGTCTGGATTTGTTTTCTTGTACCGGGCTTAATGATTTGTCAACTTTCTAAGTTGATTTGTGTTATCTTTCTTTTCATTTGTGTAAGTCTGCAAAGATGTTATTTTTCACTTGTGAAAAGTAACAAAAAATTGTTATTTTAACACTTATCAATGTGATATTTCTCTATATTTCACTGGCAAAAATTGTAATAAAATTCGTAATATGTATCTTTTTATCTTTAATTTGCTACATGCCACTCACAATGGTATCAACGTTTGAATTTTGAGCGAAAATCCTTTCTGATTTCTTCTGTTAAAGTATAAAACATTCGCATTCTTCAATCTGAGTTTCAATCTACAATTATAACACCTTGTTTTGATCGATATGAAAATTTACGGACAGATTATCGACCCAGACCCATATTGTTGATAAAAAGTGTCATAACTGTTACAATCCTGTATCAAAAACGAGAGCAAATAAGGATCAAGGCATGGTCCTATCCCATTTCAATCTTCTTCCATAATATACATACTAGTGTCATGAATATCGCATTCTCATAAAACATCGTATTATACTCTCGTGCAACGTACCGGAAATGTGTCCGACAAAACTAACTGGCTGAAATAACGTGACACAAAATTTGCACGCGAGTGATATATAATGTTTTATACGATTTTTTATTTGCAATTTGATGTTGAACAGAATAACATCTGATGGGATTTTGATCAATTATTATCTGACTGTAAATGAAATAAGCGTCTTTATTTTATCTGTATACATAATACATTATACACTAGTCACATTTTATCATTCAAGTTAAGATTGGCTCTCTACTTGCGAGAGGACCTGCTTGTTTCGTTTGTTTTATTTTGCTAGTCCCACTCTTCTAGCGCATGCGAACGAGGATCTTTGAGTTTGTTTCGCCTGAAAAAACAATATAAATATTTTAAATGAAATATCTATATGCTTTGACCTGGACTTACACACAGAAAATATATGAAGGGAGTGTGTTATAAAAGACATTACACGATGAATTACGAAACACGCAATCTGAAGAAGGCTAGATATTCTCCTTCAGGGTGGAATATGAGGAAACAAACTTGACATTATGAACGACGTGATAATAAGACACGGCTATTTAGGAAATGGCATGCGGGATTTGGAATCAGATTTAATAATCTGGATGGGCGAATATAGCCAAACATTTCCAGTTGTATTGGAATTATTTGGCTCCATGGTGGTGCAATTTGATCCCCATCTTTGTAGTGCTGGGTATATTGTTAAAACAAAAAGTTGATGGCTGTACTGTAAGTGAACAAAAAATTGTCATTTTTCTCTGTTTAGAAGCTTATAGAACCCAGACCACGATCACAGCACATCCTTTATTCGATGTAGCACTAAAAGAATCTACTATATCCATTGCAGTTTCGTATAATAAACGCATTTTATTGCTTCCTGACGTCCATTCTAGGCCCTTAATCTAAGCGCCAAAGTGAGAAACGCTGTGGGTTCAGTTCCATAAGATGATAAACCAGAGACATTGAATTTAGAATATCAAGCCTGAAATCGGCAATTTGAGGATAACGATGGCGAAGCCCCTCTGTCAGAATAATGGGATTAGATGGATTGCTAACGTAGATAGAGGCTGAAGTTTAACAGCAGTTTGAAAATGTGGGCCGATTAGCTTCAGTCATTCAGGGTCGGCGTCCTCATATGATCTTTGTTGTTATGAGGACGCGACACATAGAAAAAATCTCTCTAAATCAGATACATTTTAGTAAAGACGTTACCTTACGTGCAACGTGCAAAATTCAATCATCCCTAGGGCAAAGCTATTCGTTTCAGATGCCAAAGTCAGAATATTAATAATATTAACTATTAAATAAGTATCTAGATAATATTTTTCATGCTGATACTATGCAACTGATCTTGCCTAAATGAAATGATCCGAACCTACGAGAATATTGTATGATGCTTACTTGCCAAAATATGATATGATGTTTCTTATCCAAACCGATATTACCAAATTTTTTTTTATTTATCGTTCTGAATTGATATTGCCACACTATTTCATGTGCGTTTTAAGATGTGTTTGGTTGTTGAATAAGATGGCGTAGGTAAAAATACTGGCACACTCAGTTCTGAGAAAGTCGTTCTTCTGGACTGATTCACCTGGACTTTGTAACCGGCAAGGTAGGGAACATATTTTCACACGATTAATTTAAAAAGGGGCTGATATTTTTCGAATAAAACATAGGCTATAATGCAGATAACAGGTTATTAACTCTGTATGTTTTATCTAGATATTTAATGAACTCCAGGGATAGACATAGACAGAGTGGATGGAGGTAGTGTCTTAATACAGTAATAATACACAACTTATTATTATCGGTTAGCTTGTAATAAATAACATTTGCTCACGAGAAGATGATTCCTATAAATGGATGCCATTTCATTTCCTAAAAATAAACGAGGTTTTCTTTCTGCATCTAGCTGCATCTTCATCAATTTCGATCAAGCATAGGATTACGTAATGAATTACTAACGATGTTGGAATCTCATATCAAGACAAAAATAGTTCTGATCTAGGAATGTATTCAACTTTTCTTTATCAGTACACTTGTCTCTTAACCAAGTTACAATGTGTATATTGTGGTTTCGTATATTTATCCTAATAGAACAGTAAGATAATAAATTAATGGGTGTTGTAAATCAATGTCCAATTACTGGTCAATGGATTGATTGTTGAAACATACATTTATATATACATAACAAGACGATAGCATGTAAACCTGTTACAAGACACGGGAACGTATATTTTATACACTTGAGGACATGGACTTGGTTAGACATACCTTCCAAATGTCTTTCCATCTTCCATTGTTTCTGGTAAGGCTCTGTTCAGAGTTTCCGGTAAGTACAAGGAGGTCAATCCAGCGAGTATAGCCAGAGCTCCAAATACACCCAATGGAAAAACTTTACCGACCATGCCACCTATCAACGCTGCCTGAAATTGTCGATTAAAAAAGCGGAACGCCCGTTACGTCATGGCTTAAAACCAGGTCTGCGTAATCATTATGAAAACAAACAGCTAGAAAGAATAATTAGCATTGAATTAATATTTTTCCTTTAGATTTAATAAAGAGGTACAGCGCAAATGCTTATCATTTTATTAAGAATAATTATATTTCTTCTACGAGGAACTTTTTAACTTTGTATTTATTACTGGTAGTTATCTCCTATTCAGAGTGTTTAATTTCTTATAGGTGTACAATTACACAACACATGATAGGTAAATCTCTCTCTCTCTCTCTCTCTCTCTCTCTCTCTCTCTCTCTCTCTCTCTCTCTCTCTCTCTCTCTCTCTCTCTCTCTCTCTCTCTCTCTCTCTCTCTCTCTCTATATATATATATATATATATATATATATATATATATATATACCCCAGGGATCACTTACCGAATCTGCTATGTATGGGGCTGCGATTCCGCCGAATCTTGATGCACAAGAACTCGCACCTAGTCCCGCGTTCCTTACAACTGTGGGGTACAGCTCCGTGGAAAAAAAGTAGATCGTATTGAATGCGGCACTGGCACCAAACTTACCTAGCATTGCAAGGACTACGATGATAATTTGATTTTCTGAAAGAATCATAAGGTTCTTGATTAAATGATATCTTCAAGAGTTTTATTCACTTTGTTTTCTGTGTAACTATTTCTTTTGTTGACGTTTCTTAGATATTGAGTTTATATTCTCTTTTCATTTTTACCACTTACATTTACCACTATACAGAATAAGATTTATTTTTGCCACTTACATTTCTCACCATATAGAATAGGAAGTAATGTTTACCACTTACATTTCTCACTATACAAAATAGGTATTTTTTTCCACCGAATTTTCTCACCACACGGAATAAGAAGAATTTTTACCACTCACCTTTCTCACCATACATAATAAAAAGTATTGGTTACCACTTACATTTCTAACCATACATAGTAGGAATTATTTTTACCACTTACCTTTTTCACCATACAGAATAGGAAGTATTTTACCCCTTACATTTCTCACCATACAGAATGAGAAATAATGTTTACCACTTACCTTTTTCACCATACAGAATAGGAAGTATTGTTGATGCACATGCACATCCTCCAAACATCAAACTGAAAAAGTAAGTTTTCTTTCTGCCGATACGATCCAGTAAAAGTAAAGCCGTTGTATTAGCTGGGATTTCAACCAACCCAGATAAAAACATATTAAAGAAGAAATTCCCTCCGAGATTACCAGCATTCAGAGACAGGCCATAGTAGATCATAGCCACTATACACCTATACAAAGAAACAAACACAAGTCATAGTCAATAATAGCCACTTCACACCTGTCTATAAAAACCAAACTTAGATCATATTTAATCATAGCCACTATACACCTGTCTATAAAAACCAAACTTAGATCATACTTAATCATAGCCACTACACACCTGTCTATAAAAACCAAACTTAGATCATACTTAATCATAGCCACTACACACCTGTCTATAAAAACCAAACTTAGATCATACTTAATCATAGCCACTACACACCTGTCTATAAAAACCAAACTTAGATCATACTTAATCATAGCCATTATACACCTGTCTATAAAAACCAAACTTAGATCATACTTAATCATAGCCACTATACACCTGTCTATAAAAACCAAACTTAGATCATACTTAATCATAGCCACTATACACCTGTCTATAAAAACCAAACTTAGATCATACTTAATCATAGCCACTATACACCTGTCTATAAAAACCAAACTTAGATCATACTTAATCATAGCCACTATACACCTGTCTATAAAAACCAAACTTAGATCATACTTAATCATAGCCACTATACACCTGTCTATAAAAGCCAAACTTGGATCATAGTTAATCATAGCCACTACACACCTATCTATAAAAGCCAAACTTGGATCATAGTTAATAATAGCCACTACACACCTATCTATAAAAGCCAAACTCAGATTATAGTGAACCACAGTCACTATACACCTATCGATAAAAATCAGACTCAGGTCATAGTTAATGATAGTCACTAAACACATGTAAAACTCAAGCACATGCTGTAGTAGATCAATACCACTTTATACCTGTAAAAAACAAATAAAATTCGCTCTTGTAGGTTTGGAAAATGTTGCAATATCCTCATAGAAAAATTCTGCAATAGTAAAATTATTGCACCAATCGTACTATTTTACTGACCGAGGAGCATTGCAATTCGAAATATTCGTTTGTCGATAGTAACCGTGAGAGGTACGCATGAACATATGATGAAAGGAAATAACAGATGATAATGAAACAAGTAATAACTTTATTGAGTCATTGATTCACTCCCCTTAAACATGTCTTAGATATCAGAGACAGCAAGGTCGACCACAAAGGTATATCATATAATGCTAATAAAGGATGAGATAACAGAAGTACTTGCCAGTTAAAGAGAATGACGATTGTTCGCAGTAACATAACCCGTGACGAGAACAACTGCCACATCTTCCCTGTCGGTTCAGGCGGCACATTACCCTCATTCTCGAACAGATTCTTTTCCACTGTGACCTTATTGACCTTGGCTGCTTTCTGGAGAATTGCATTGGCCTCTTCATACTTACCCTTACTTATCAACCAACGGAGAGATTCAGGGAGCAGCCTTAAAATGATAAACCATATGGAATCAATGTATAAAACTATTGGCACAATAAGTAATACTTACGACTTATACAATTTCAGTTCAAGTTAACAAAGTGTGATGAATTCATTAATGTTTTATGTATAGGTTACTTTGTTATCAATGCCGAAATCACTTACACACGAAATCGTTTGTTTGTTTCACTATGAAAGTATACGTAACATCAGTACTGAAAAATAACCAAAATATCCTTTATAACTTATACATACCACCAGTAGAGAACAAACAGAACAGGTGGCGTCGAGCAAATAATGCTGATGTAGTACCAGTGTCTGACTAGATAACTGACACCGGCAAGTATCATTAAACCAATCGAAAAGAAATACTCGATAACTGTGCCAGCATATTTCCGTTTGGAGGGGCCAACTAACTCAACACCTGAAATCCAATATAAAATCTCTGAGCACTAGATCGAGAGATATTGACGTCTTTATATTCACATAAGTGATGTTTATCGTGTCAGTTCAATGTACTTTATTATATATGGAGAATCCGATAAATGTTATGAAACTCATTTTTATGAAGTTTTACCGAGTCTCTGCCGAGGTAAAATGAATAATTCATGACAAGTTTCATAAATCTCATATGAAATGGAAAAACAAATGTAAACTTTTGCAATCATTTGTGAAAATAGAAGTATATTAATCTAATTCAAAATCTCAATTAGCGATATTTTCACAATATATCTTATTCGTTAGTGACGTCACAATACATTATAATGCAATAAAAGTTTGATGTCTTAATAGCAATTATGAAAGTCTAAGCTAATGACAGATCCGCTTATTCATATAACACGGGTTGCATTACAAACATTATGTACCAAATAAGATATGTTACAACACTGATAATAAGAAAGTATGTTATAAACCATTGTATGGCATTTTCACTATCAGAATATGTCACAAAAACCAATGTATGCTCAATTTTTTGGCATGTGCCACTTTACCGAGGACAAAGCCGACTGGGAAGATTCCCTGAGTAGCTGCACCAATGAGAGTCATGATGATGGCGTATAAAACGAAGGAGGCGGAAGACCAGGTCATTCCGAATGACAGTCCAAACATCATCATCAGGGAAATACAAAGTGTTATTTTACGTCCAACACTGAAATTTATCATGTGATAGTTCATAACCAATACCGTATTTTTGTTTATATTGTACATAACCATTAATTGAATGTATTTTCCTTTTGTTAGTGATGGCAATGAGGCAAATCATCAATTTTTAGTGGTTTGGAGCAGAACAGATTGAAGGCGTTAGGTATGTATTTAAAAAAAAGGTTTGATCCTTTACAATATCACTCCGGGAACCCAACCATTTGACAAAGTTCATAACTTGAATGCTCAACATTAGGCGAAATTTCTTTTTCATCTATAGGTGCATGTTTCATTTATAGGTGTATGTTACATCTATAGGCGTATGTTCCATCTATAGGTGTATGTTTTATCTATAGGTGTATGCTTCATCTATAGTCGTATGTTTCATCTATAGTCGTATTTTCCATCTATAGGTGTATGTTTCATCTATAGTCGTATGTTTCATCTATAGTCGTATGTTCCATCTATAAGTGCATGTTTCATATATAGGTGTATGTTCTATCTGTAGGTGTATGTTTCATCTATAGGTGTTTGTTCCATCTATAGGTGTATGTTTCATCTATAGGTGTTTGTTCCATCTATAGGTGTATGTTCCATCTATAGGTGTATGTTTCATCTATAGGTGTATGTTCCATCTATAGGTGTATGTAAATAATTTTTCAAAACATTACTCACACATCTGACAGATTTCCAAATACTAAGGCTCCGACGAATTTCCCGACAAAGAAGAGGGACTTGATGAGAGACGTGAGGTGTTTTCTATCGCACACGATATTGAGCTAGATGTAGCACCAAATTAAACAAATCAATAAAACCATGTATAATAACAAGAAAATGATAAATAAAAACATATAACATTAAAATATATCGAAAGTACATAGGTATTTTGAAGACGAAAATAATTGTCCCGAGAAAAGAGTTAAAGACCTATTGTGTTAACGTTTACCTGCTATGTACAAATTGGACTATTAAATATTCATTAGGTCGATTGAATTGAATATATTTTTCCTATTGATATCACAACTTTCCTATATATGTGAATAAAGTTATCTACGTTTGATACATACCTTAGACGTGTATGTTTCTGCGAACATGGCATCGCTGTATATCCACTCATTGCATTTAACGAGTGAAGCATTTATTGGTCGACTGAAGTTGTCGAACTTGACACTGTTGTAATCGAACGAGTACAGATGACACTGATCATAGTCGTGGGAGGCATCATCCGATGGGGGTATGTAGTTGTTAACAAGTCTCTCTTGATAGGGACTTTGTATATTGTACGTGTCATTATCAAGATCGGGAATCTTACATCTGAAACAGGGAACGCTGACGTATTAATTATCAGTATGTATATGTGAAATCTGACCAGATTATCAGCTATAATGGTTAATTGGGGGATAAATTATTTGTAGAAGAAAATAATGATGACGTAAACATTATTCATAAATCAGTTTTTGTCTGCGTCATTAATGCAAAATCTGGTGCTTATAAGAAAAGGTTATTTAATTTGCGAACGACAACCTTTTCTAATGTGCGGGGTTTCGTCGAAACATGTTCAATTGTTTTTCGCAAAACGTATTTGAATTTCCAGTTGATAATATCTTATTTGTGTTTGATGGAAAAAGTATATTAAGTCTCTCACGGGAACAAGCTATTCTACAATCGAAGAACTTATCGGATCAGGTCATAAATGTAATGCAAACTCCATCGATTTCAGTTTCAGATACACCGCTGACTTGATTAAATGTTTAAAGAACTTTAATGACCACGTCCCTTTGAACCTTCAAGAATTTCAGTGTTCACTTAAATTTGGCAGTGACGGTGTCACAAGACATATGGTAACTAACGACATTAACATATCTCAGATAACTCTTTTAATATTCTAAGACTTTTCATAATGTTATAGTTTCTGTTATGTATGTAAACAGCCGAAATAAAATTATGCACAAAGGTTTGATTAATCCTAATTGATGAAGATTTAAAAAAAAAAAAAAAATTCGTCATATTTTCTCTTATGTGAGTTGTGATGCATTCCTTGCTCTTAAGTAAAACGATTGCTTTAAGTGTATGAGTTGGTTCTCAATTCTAGAACGTGACAGTACTAGATGAACTTGGATTACAAGACGATTTGCACAGCGAAGAAATCGTATATTCCTTGGGAACCTCTTATAGTCTCTTTTAAACTCCTTCAGTGATATCCGAGTAAATCATTATTGGTTATTTATTACAATTTCTTTATCTATTTCGAGCTAGAAATACAAACAGTTCTGTGATCATAAGGGAGTTGCACTTGAATTGTAAAATACCTCATAACTGACGATATGTCTATGATCCAGAAAACAGTTCTATTACCTGAGTTATCTACTGTGTTGTTATCGTCCGAATAAAAGCAAAAACCTAGAAACAGTCATGACATGGCTTCGTTTGAAAACCTGTCAACTTTTTATTTACTTTGCGATTGCAGTTAAATAAGTACAGTTACTTACCTGTGTTCAGGCGTATTGAGAAATATAACAGACATCATCGCATATACTCCCATATAAAGGGAGGTAAAACACACCAAGGCGTAGACATACTTCTGGTACAGTCCGAACTCTCCAATTGTAATCAATATATTATCTAATTTCATTTCAAATTAAGAACTACTTTACCTGCTTTCCTGTAATATGAAAAACTAGAAAAATATTGATACGTTGTTAATATAACTCTGACCTCTCCAAAATGCTATCAGCACACGTTAAATACAGTTCAGAAATATACGATATATCATCTATGACGGCGCATAATGACCAGATACGATTCAAGATTAATGTCATCTGCCAGAACTAAACACCAACAACTATTATCAAAAAGGAAATAGCTCAGTGTCATTGGTCTTTTATTTTGGCCGATCGTGATTTTACTCGCTTTCAACGATTTACACATTATGCGCCTAGCTTCACTGACGAATCCGAGAACGAAACAGTCGTATGATGTAGCTTAATTCATTATTTTGGCACAAACTCCATTTATCCATTGCATTACCTAAAAGTGCTATACGCCTGTGTGTCCTTGCTCAGTCACTAAAATAAAAGTCGAAAAAGAAAATTTAAAAAGATTTTTTTATTGATCAAAGTTTTTCGTCGATTACATAACCTCAACGTCATTATTATTTCTTTTAGTATTTTCAAACAAGCTGTCTTCAAAAGTTGCAAGCCATTTGTTATCCTGAATAAATAATACGTACCTTTATTGATAACTAATTAGCGAATTTATCAAAGTAGTATGCATACGCAATTATATTGATTCACTTGATAAATATTCTTTCAGTATAAGAAATTCTGGATTGTACAGATGATATGCAATGGTTTCGCGGTTAACATATACATATATTCATGAGTATAGGAGAAAAATTGCATTTTACAAGAGTGCGAAGCACGTTTGAACAACAGATATGTATTCTGTTATACGAGTGAAAGAAATATTTTAAACAGTAAACAACTGAATTATCTTTTTACTAAATTTTACATGAAGAAAACAAGTAGTTAGGGAAACGTTAGAACGTTCTTTGACGTTAGATATTGTATATTCACATCAGGTCCCATCACATTTATTGTAGTGACATTCCTAAAATCTTTATTCCGGAAAACTTGACTTTGATTTTGTTCGTAGATGCAAAGATTATAGACCACATCCATCGTGTATACCAACTAGAATTGGGAATCACCACACGACAGACTCTTCTACACCCGCTGCTTATCTCAAACTTTTCCTACAACGAAACCAACAAGTTTTATGATTGACGTGATGATTTCAATTTCCCTATTGTTAATTTTCCATTTCTGGAAAGCGACATGCTTACATGCTTGTTCATGCAAACTGTCAATTAACGGAAAACTCATAATGAATATTATGAGGAAGTTTTACGGTCGTCATAGCGACCTTATTGAGAAATATTTTATTCCATACGATATAAAACTGGACGTGTGTAATGCTGAAGACGCGACCTCTTCCGGGGTCTTATTATCCATGTACCTTTTTATGAGTCCCTGTGTAAGTCTTTCTTCTGTTCATATTTTACTTTTGTTTCATTGAATTTTGAGTTTGCATTATGATCATGTTCACGTATTGATATTTTCTTGTTGTTTTTGTCTTTATCTGTCTTAGAAAAACAAAACAATATAAAACAAATTGATGGGAAATAATTAAGTGAAAACGAAAACAAAATATCAATATAATTTTACACTAGCTTTGAATTAAATACAACGTTTATTTCGTGAAATTCATAACGAATCTATATATTCATGTTTGTTTAAATATGTTTATATAGATGTGGTTTAAGGGCAGCAATGGTCCATGTAGCGACGAAAAAAAAAACCAAAAACAAAATAAAAAACACAAGGCGTATTTGGTTTCAGGAACAACAATTCAGTTCGTGCATTATGTCAGTGATATATCGGGTAAGTTTTACCTAAGTGTTCAACAAATGTGATATTTTGTAAAACACATACTGAGTGGTTGAGATAAAAGAGTTTACAAACAAACTTGATTTATGTTTCATTAATATTAAAATGTTTCTACGTTGTATTATGCTGTTGTAAGTTGTCTGTACCACAATCAATTCAATGAAGGAGAAGGAAAAAGTAAAAAAAAAAAATAAATGATTCAAAGACAAATTGCTTATCAGAAAAGAACAAAACTTATTCATAAATACAGATTACAAGGTGCTTTAAAAATAAAATTATGTTCAAATAATTCGTTAGTAAAGTAACAAAATATTGCATAATGGCTGTAATGAGAGGATAGGTACAATTATAGACAAGTAATGAATTGAGTAATTAAAACTGAAAGTTCACAATTGTGATAGCTATAAAAATTAGACACAAAGACAGATAAAATATATGAGTACTTACATTTGAAAGGAAGTATATAAAAAGTGCATTTTCTCTCGTGAAGTAAATATGAATTATAAAACCTAAACATTTCTCGGCCGTAACTTTATCTCCTGGTTCTACTCAATCTAAAATTCCATAAGAATACAGTAGTCAGATACCTTGCCATCTGATTAAATTACAATATCGATGAAATAACGCCTGAAGGTGTGCTTACTGAAAATTTCAAAGTGGTATGGTGTTAACAAACGTGAATATAACAAATTAGGATTCACAATGCAGAAAGTTTGGTAGACAAATATTTCAGTACAATCTAAAATCATTTTTAAGATTTGTGAAGGATCTGAAAGCTTGAGGTGTTGCCTGGTTTACTAAATCACGAGAAGGATCTATATTGATTTTAATTATTCACAGTTTAGCCTAAACGGACATAAACTATAACTGCTGGTCGTTCATATTGACTCGTGATTTATGATATATCATGTTCTAATGAGTGTGTGTGCATGAATTATCAAACTGTCTGAGCAGTAGCGTTAAACGGATTGCTTGACCACGATTGTTGTATAGAAATATATAAGGCTATTTGCGACTTTTCATACCGCAAGAGAAGGGATATAGCACAGTGTTATACAATTTCCTGCTTCTGTCTCTACAAAATGCTATGCTACCTTCATGTTTAGAATATGGAAAGTTCTGTCTAGTTTAATATTATTTATAAGTATTACCATTAAAATTAACAACTGAAATCAATTACTTTAATCCATTTCAAACTAATGGTGGTTTGCTAGGTTTTCATTGATTTGGACAGAGCCCTCGCAAAGAGCTCAATCTTTTCTGTTGAGGTCTTAATAATCGTGAGATACATGAAACTGACGCTTGCTCCTCTGGAACATCTGGTCTTATTTTCCTTGTTCTTTTTCAATGCTCTCAGTTCAAATCACGCTTATCCATACCTATGTTGAGGTATATGAATATACATAAAAACATAGATAAAAAACAAAACCATGAGATACCGCAAACTGTAAATATTGCTTATTCATACCTTGCTCCTGGTCCATCAAATTTTTGTTTAATTTGGTTGTAAATCTGAATAGTTTCCATGTGACGTAAATATATTCTGGATCATGAGACAATAATATGACGCGTCAACACTCTGCATGTCTTTCTCAGATTAAATACATTCTAAAAATTATCGATCTTTAAGAAGATAATGATTATCAAGAATTTCTGCCAATAAAATATTTTAAAGTCAGATCTGTAATGTAAATATAACTATTGAATAGTTGTCAGATTATTTTCATCCTCATTATGAATGCATTATTGGTACCAGATATATAATGGTGTTAATGTTAATTCTTTTTCTTTCTTTTCACATAAATTGCATTCATATTCACATTAAATACAGCCCGAGTGGTTGATTACTCAGATTGTTGATGAAGTATGCAGTATATATATTTTTGGTTGTCTAAACCTCAAAACATAATCCACCATGTTCACGTGATAAAACATAATCGTTCCCTTTCCGTTCACTTTGGAATGACATTGGTATGCTTTGAGTTATGTGACAGTGTGCATATTATCTATAGAAAAGATGTCATGTTCGAGTTGTTCTTACACGAAATGCTTAAAAGTTACATAGACAAGTATGTATCAATATATATAGATATATAAGAGCAGAGCCAGAATACAAAAGTAAATAAACTTACGTTGAGAAGCTGCATATTATTCTTAATTTCACATTGGGTGAAGTTGCCATGAGCAGTGAAAACCATCATCTTTATATATTTATCTAAAGATAGAAGTTATTTTACGTTTTACAAAATATCTATCCTGCCCGTCTCAAGTGAACGAGATCACAATATTGCATTGACAAAAACCAAAATGGCCGTCTATCGGCCAGTTTGATATCCTAATCAGTCCCAAAATAAAAAGGACACATCAAGGGAAAAAGGACACGTGCATAAGAAATGTGAGACATATACGTTTAGTGCATCTCAAGAACCAACAATAACAAATTTTCATGGTAAAAATCTAAGATGACCGCCTGTCGATATTAGTATATTTCTCCAAATTATGGAATAAAAGAACCTTCATATTCAGCTTGCAAAATATCCTTTAAATACTTCTCAAGAATTAGCAATGATAATATCCAACTGTCAAAAGTCAAAGGTGTCCGCCTGATGGCGATTTTTCTAGTCTTTGTATTCCCAAAATGAAAATTACAAAACAAAAATAAAGGGTAACTTACATCTCGAGTTTACAAATATCTTTCCATTTCTTAAAAATAGCAATTACAGTCTTCATCAGGTGCTAGACTAAATAGAGATACAAACCAACATTCTGTTTCGGATTTGGCAACTATGGAACTATATTTTTACATCTATAGTTGTGATAACGCACCGAAAAACATGTGCGCACATAGTGTGCATACATGTATTTTGCAGTATATAACGCACAAATGTACGAAAGGATCACACGTTTATGTGGCTTGGTAAAAATGGTTGGCTAATATTACGGATTGAATATTAAATGGAAAACATGTATTTATGAATGAATAGCGATCACAAGCTTATTAAAATTGATCATTGATTATGAAATTCAGAGATGGCGAGTGGCATGCCTTGGGCAACAAAATGCCTGTATACGGGTATATACCTAATAGGTCTACTCGCACTAGCTATGTCTTAATACTTGAGACTTACCTGAGTATACATTTTTGTTAACAATATGAAAAGAAATGAAAATAAAGATAGATAAAAAAAGTTATACAGAAGTAATGGAAATAGATTACTTTTATGACGGTAGTAGATTTTAGATGATTAATTGCCGAGATTTTTATTCTTTAGATATATATCAACCATGATAGAATCGCACATTTGTGCGGTACTACCGCATAACGTGCGCACAGATTTGCGATAACTTATTCGTCCACCTTTGCTATCGGTCGCACATCTTGCTTACATCTTGCTTACATCGTGCGCACATTGTGCTTACATCGTACAGACATCGTGTAACGTTATGCTATATGTTATTGATACTTTACTTTATTAATTTACGTACCAGTTGCAACAAAGAAAAGCTTATACTGGTTCTACATATATTAGGGAATTATTTGAACTCATTCAACCTTCCCTTCCATTGCGTCCAAAACCAGGAAAATCATCATGTCTGTTTAAAGTCAAAACTACGAGGGTTATATCAACAATGTCATAACCACAGTGATGATATCAATTATGGCCAATTAATAATTTCATCTAGGTCACAGACAAAAAATGCAATATTTTGTTATACATGTTACATCTGTCCTCCATTATTGGTTTCAAGGTAATAATTTTGCCGCCTCTTGTTCGATAAAGTCGATCGCTGTAGCCTCTTTGATACTGTTGCCGTTGTCAGATATATTCCAGTGAAGTCATTGTGTGATTCAATAGAAAACGGGAAAATCTATCATACACAAAGGACAAGTACGGTATCATAATACTAACATTTCAAAGATTTGTATTTCCTTTTTCTGAACGGTATCCCTTGTTATAATAGAAATGATTTTTGTCTTCCTTGCTGTCGTTGTCCCCAAGCGACATATAGGCAGACCTGAAGAATATAAAATAATACATAATGTGATAAATATCCCACCTTTTGATACATTCTGAACATTAATTGTACTTTGAAGGTGACATTTAGAACATCGTTTTATTGTGTTTTATTATGTTTTACATGTTTTATTACTTATGAAGATTAAGCCCATCGCAATATAAACCTTTATCTCGACATAGTACTTCAAACATGACGAAGAACAATTACTACCCTGTTATGTTGCATCGACTAAATAATGTAAACTATTTGCTTGGACGTGCAAGCCATCATGAATAATGAATCATAATACTTTTTATTTTTCAAAAACCACATCTGCCTTCTTTTCACCGATCACAGAATATTTTGCCTTACTTTTATTGAATTTGAGTAAGGATTATCATTATGTTCACATGCTAGTATTTTCTTGTTTGTGTGTGTGTATTTTTTATAGATACGTCCTTGTGGCTTCTTAAATATTGTGTCATTGTCGTCACATTTCATCCGGAGATGGTCATTGCGTGATGTATCTGATTGTGCATAGGGAGACAATACATTATTCTTTAAACCCTTATGTAATGAATGTGCTTGTTGTTGTAAGGTTATATACAAATAAACATGCAGTATCATAAATTATCATAAATAATTTTGTAACATAATCTACTTCTTATCCAGTAAATACGTCCTTGTATTTTTTGTATTAGCCGCAGTACTCTGGAGTGCTTTCATTGTCATGTCATTATATAGACTATAATGTTATGTCATGAACTAAAAATGGTGTGACAAAAGGGCAGTCTGGCTCATGAAATGAAAATAATTAATCATTTATGATCCTAGAAACATCGCTTTTGATTAATCAGCACATGATGTCACACACCTGTAACATTATAATGGTCATAGAAAAATGTCCAAGTCACAACTACACTAAAATCAGAACAGCACAAGAAAACGTGTGCTCACACAAAAGCATTTTTGACATATATTTCCCGTAAATAAACCGATATGAAAAACAAAAGCAGAGTGCCAAATACATCGTGATTGTTCAAATTAAACCGGCACAAAGCGAAAATCAAACTCGATTCAAACTCGCAAAAAAAAAATTCTACTTGATAAAAATGAAAACATACTTTCCGAGTAGTTTGCTGTCTTCCATAGTTTCTGGCAATGTTTTGTTAAGAGTTTCCGGTAAGTACAAAGATGACAATCCGGCGATTATGGAGAGTAATCCAAACATTCCTAAAGGAAATATTTTACCGACCAATCCACTTATCAATGCAGCCTATAATAACATTAAAATAAAAGCATCAATGTGACAAATAATATTTTTTAGGTAACAAAGTCAGGTAAACCAATTAAATAAAAAGATTATATAATATGGAGATACAAAGAGAAATACGGAAAAATGCAGACAAACTCGGATACATATAAACTTTTGTTGAAAGATTGCTTTAGTGATTTTTGGAATATATATATTTCATGGAAACACCCATCGATATCATAAACGTATGCATGTCATAACTGGTTTGCTCAAAAGGTTTACTGCTTATTTGCTAAACATAGGTAGGTTCTGTTGTGACACTAACAAAACGCATTTGCTATAGATATTTCCCCCTGTGATTACTTGTAACAATGACTGATATTTACTTGAAAGCGTTCGAGTTTACCGACAAATATAAAGATTTTATTCTAGTGAAATATCTATACAACAAGTGAAACAAGCGGTGAATCCTTTGTTCTTGAGCACCTCCCAACCAAGATGTTGTTATTTCTTAAAATCGTTTTTGGTTTCCCTCAGTCTTCTCTCCTATGTTTTACAATTTCGACCCCTATCATCACTGACGAGTCCTAGAAGGACGGAACGGACAATTGATTCAATTTATGAGACTCGACTGTATCTTTTTCCAAATTTGTATTCACAGGTGCTTTTTTTTTGGTAAATCACTGTATCACTCACCGAATCTGCGATATACGGTGCCACTATTCCTCCAATCCTCCCAGCACAAATACTTGCACCCAAACCTGCGTTTCTCACAACGGTAGGAAACAACTCCACAGAATAAAGATACATTGTCCCGTATGCGGCTGACGTACCAAACTTTCCAATCATGGCAAGTGTCGTGATAATGACCTCGTTCTCTGAAAAAAATGATGAGCACTTTATAATTGTCTTAATACATGAAACGGTTAAAGGAAATGAACCACGCTTTATATATTCACAAATTCCTACTAACCGGTTTCATTATAAACAATCGGAAGTATTGTAGCCGCACAAGCACATCCACCAAATATCATACAGATACAGTAAATCTTTTTCCTGCCAACTCGATCGACTAATAGTAAGACCATAGCATTCGCCGGAATTTCCACTAGTCCAGATAAAGACATGTTAAGGTAAAAATCTCCACCTAGGTTACCAGCATTTAGAGACAAGCCATAGTAAATCATGCTCACTATGCACCTACAAAAACAAAAAAAAAAAAAAAAGCAAAACAAACATTTTACTGACAGATGGCAGATATGAAATAAATATACATGTAAAATGTGTAAAAAGATCAAGGCGGTGTTTGAGACTACCCATATTAATGCGTCAAGAAGGAAAATGTCTAAAATTGTTTGATAACTGTTGGAAAAAATCATTAGTATAAGTATGGTTCCACTTTCCTAAGTTTTCTTGATCACTGTAAAACATTTTCTTTCATAAGAGATGATATATGTTTATAGCGATAACACTACTATATTTCGTACTCTCTCTTGGCGATTTATCTCAGTTTAGTGTCTTTTCAAGATTTCGTCTGGATGGATTCACATTCTTTCGCTTTGGAGGGTTTCGTTCTTTCTGCAGATTTGGTTGGTTACTGCCAATCATATTTGCCTTTTTTGCTGACGACAATGTGAAACAGAAAAAATATTAATCAGTCGTGCGTACGTAGTGAAAACGGTGAATCTTACCAATTGAACAAAATGATGAGAGTACGCGCTAGCATGCTTTTTGAAAACAATTGCCACACCCGCCCTACAGGTTCAGATGCTTCGGTCGTCATTTCTTCCTCTAAGATCTTATGGTCTATTGTCACTTTATTCGACCTTGCTATTTTCTGTAGAACTGTATAGGCGTCTTGATAGCGTTTTTTACTGATCAGCCAACGAGGTGACTCTGGAATCAGCCTAATAATAGAGTAATATTCGATTGTTCAGATAATTGTTTGTAAGTTAATAAGGCAACCGGATGTACTGACATTCAGACTATTACATTATCGATTATAGATATTCACAGGTACGTGTTATTATTCTTGCATAATTATTCAATTCCGGAATAAACTTTAAAGATACCAACCACCAGTAAAATATGAATAGAGCAGCGTGTGCTGAGCAGATGATGTTGATGATGAACCAATCTCGAACGAGAAAACTGACACCGGCGAGAATAACCAGTCCGATTGAAAAGAAATACTCGGCAACCAAGCCGGTGTATTTTCGTTTTGATGGACCAACCAACTCTACACCTGTAAGTAAGACGTAGGTAGACACTGTAAATCGATTTCTATAATAATTTTTCAAATAACGATACATTTGATAAAGCAGTATGTTCCAAGGCCTAAATACTCTTCCTCTGTTCTTTAATCATGCTTTATCATGAATTTCAAACTAGAACCTTGGTATTTAACTTTTCTTTACAATGAGAGAAATAAAACAGTAACTTAGCAACGTGTATCATCAACTGTTTTTGCCACCTTTGGGTGTTACTGCTTAAATCGTAGAATTCGAAGTTTGAGATCTTAACCTTTGAATAGATCACCTTCCATCAGGATTCAATCTTCAGGTTTATCTGAGGACAAATACTTTCTCCAATGAAACGTTATGTCTTTTGCGTCAAACGGATTTTGTTTTACCAAAAAACCAATCACTTCATATCGGGGTGCAATGATTAAAATTGTGTATATTGCAGCAAGGACTGGAAAGATGTCGTCACATTAAACAGAAAGTGATATCTAAAGTAGTTTATATTATATTTATTTTAGACGCCCTACCGAGGACAAACCCTATCGGAAAGACTCCCTGGGTTGTGACTCCAATGGCCGTTATGATGACAGCGAACACGATATAGGAGGAAGACCAAGACATTCCGAAGGTCAATCCAAACATCGCCATCAGGGCAACGCATAGTGTGGTTTTACGGCCAATTCTGAAGTAAAAATATATCACTGATAAAAAAATACTCGGAATGAGGACAGAAAATGACTATGATTTGGCGCCACTAGGTGGCAGGAGTGTTCTAGTTAGTACTACGGTAAACAAATATGATGTATACAGAAGAGGACGAATACAGAAGAAACTGACGAGTCCTGGTGCAGTGATTCGCAAACAGAAACCGTATTTGTGTAGACCAGGCGTACATACCTTGTGTGCCTGTGAGTGTCATTAGGTGTGTGAGAATGTCGTGTACGTCGTGTTGTCGTGAGTGACTGACCAGTGATGGATTGTATTACAGCCTCGAAGTAGCTTATCATCTACATTGTACATAAACATCTTATAATGAACTAGGGAGGCTAGCAGTTGCAAAAGCCTTAGTCCACTTTGGAGTCCTTAAAAGTGTGTACATGTGTGAATAGATTGTACTTTCATTTCGTGGGTAGTCTGTTATAAGGTTGTTCTTTATTGTTATTTATTCGTTATAAGTTTGTGATCTCTATGTTATAGGTTTTTTCTCTCCATATGTCAAGAACAAAATTGCAGAATTCATGTATGATCTGCGATCCTAGATATTTTTATGAATCATCTTAGATATACTAAACTAAACATGATTCTATTTGCTATGTGGTGAGCAGCTATAAAAAGCTACACAGAAAAACGTCTATGTGAAGTATCAATACCTTACATTCCTTAAACTGTCCGTTACGGTCACATCCAATATATATTTAATGTAGAATACCTAACAACAAAGATCCGTCACAGCACGCAGAATCCATGATATTTCTATACATCCTCTTTTATGATAATCGATTTCCCGTACTTTTTCTTGCCTACTTGTAGTATGTCAGTCAGAAAGGGATTTCCTATGATTTAAGTAACGGTAATACACTGCTTATTGGTTATATTTTCATATATAGAGGTGTCAAAAGCGTAGAGTTGAATGGAGTCTGTTATCTAGGACATTATTGTAGAGTAGATGTTATCACGGTACCTGAATTGTCCGTCTTGTTCAAAATCCGCACGAATAGTTACAGAACTTCCACTGTATACTAGTAGATGTTCTCTGTATTTTAAATCGAGCTAGGAACCATTATCTGACAGTAGATCCAGACACAAATAAACTCGATCTTGAAAATTCATAAAAAACTAAGTTCATCGTATCTTTCTACTCTCATTCCTCCTCTGCATTCAGAGGGCTTTAAACTCGCACTAAGCTTGCCATTTGCTCATTTTAGGTGTATGTTTATAATAATGCGGGAGAACGCTTTATATAATTCAATAGCTTGCTCCCAATTCCTTTGTTTCAATAAATTATGTTAACAATGTGGAAAGTAGTCCTTACAGATACTATATTCATCTCGGTATGTAAGATACAGCGATGAATCTGATACAATAGGATGTATTAACATCTATTTGAAATATGATAAGGTATAAGATCTATACATGAACGATGAAGTGGGTCTATATATACACTGAAGCGATGACAACACTAAGTGATTCAAGTCAATTAACACCAGATTATACCAACTAGAGCACAAACGAAACCTTGCGGCAGCAAGTGCAGCCGGCGAAAGCCATTAATAATGGGTATTATGGTTAAGAGTATATGAACGTTCATAAGCGCAATTTCATACTAATAAATTTACAGTTTGAGTAGAGAATTTAGGCTGAGAAATTTGGTATAATTTTATTGATATAAAAGCGCATTCATTTTATAACTACAAACAAAACTTAGAAGTTGTTTAAATCCAAGTAGAAATGACGAGACAATCAATACAAAGATGAACAATATACCACATTTTGATATCTTCTATTAATAAAACATCTTACGCATCGGAGAGATTTCCGAACACAAAGGCGCCAATAAACTTCCCAACTATGTACAACGACTTCACCAACGGAATGAGGTATGTATCGTCACACACTATGTCTAGCTGTAATTGTAAAGTAATGAAACTTGTCTTTTATGCATAGAGATTACTTTAAGTTGTCGTTTGATTAATAATTTTATTACCGACGTTGTTAGGTATCATAAAAAGTCAAACTAATAAACAGGATATCTGATGTTTTAGCATCGATAATTGTAATAAAATGCAATAAAGCTATGTCATACCTTAGTGGAAAGACTTTCTTTCATAACAGAATCACTGTATACCCATTTATCGCATTTAACGAGTGTAGCGTTGATTGGTCTGCCGGAGTTGTCGAACTTGACATCGTTGTAGTCAAATGCGTACAAATGGCAGCGATCATAATTTTGTGATTCATCAACCGATGGAGGTATGTAGTTGTTGACAAGGTTCTGTTGATAGGTACTGTGTATATCGTACGTGTCATTTTCGAGGCCAGGGACCTTGCACCTTCAAAATATCACTTATAAGGTAAAGAAAACTTTTGAAACATTTGCACAAAAATACTCACTTCATATCTCCATAACGATCGAATTAAAACACTACTACACAGTTGACAATTACTACGTGTTCCTTTCTGTATTAGAAATAACTGTTGCATAACATGTGCCCGATATTATCATAGGCCGCCAATCCATGTTGGTGATGCTATATTTTTCAAAAGAGAACCAGGTTAATAAGTACAACATATTCAATTTCAAAACACAGATTACTCTTTTTACGATGACGTCACCAGTTTCGCCATAAATAACAGATTTTACTTATTTATTCCGATCAAATATTGGATGTGTCAGGGTGACCCTCTGTCGCAATATTAGTTTATCATGTTAATAGAAATATCAAGTGCTTCATTAAAAGTTTGTCAGTATGTAGATGATTCTACTACATATCCTGAAGAAGATGGAATTAATTTAAATCAGCTTTAAATATTTCAGATTAATATGGCCAATGGCCCGGTCTAAGGGAAAAAAGTAGTAAAACCGAGGACGTAAGACTCGATAGAGAAAATTGTGGTTACATAAAATTTTGTGCTGAAAAAGGATTAAAATGAATCTGTGTTAGAAAATTTAGATTCTTTGGTATTAAATATGACCTTAATAAAACTGATTCAAGGTTCGTAAACTTCGATGATGAAATAGCAGACGTTACTCAGATACTGAAGATCTTGTTACTTACCACAGCCTTGAAAATGACTTGGAAAATAGTTACGAAAATCGTAGAATGGAAATACTAATTCTTAGGATAAAATACTTATTCGAGGAAATACATTTCCCCGGAAAACATTTCTATGATTAAGATGACTTGGAAACATACGGAAACAGAAAACGTCAACGGCTTTTAGAGAGATGTGCTTTTTATATTGGAGATAATGGAATTTCGAAGTATGAATAAGGTAGCACATCTATTTGAAAACGGCGACAGCATAGTGTCCTTTCGTAAATTCCAAGAAAACTTTAATTCTCTAGAGATGTGATGTATAGAACCCGTTTATATGGTATTCTCGCAGCTATCCCACGTACATTGAAAAGGTCAATTCGTAATCTAGGGAGAAATAATACTGGAGATAAATAAAAACGCTTATAAGAACGTTGATAAAACACACTAGGACATTTTATTCAAAATTGGTCTCTACTCTTCTTACTACAAACTAAGCTGCAATGAGATAATGATCACTTGGCATTCAAACTTTAGAGATTATCTGGAAATTTATAAAGTCGGTACCAAGAAGTCGCTCTCATGATGCCATTCAAAACATCGGTATAAAGTCTATCACAGAATACTAGGCACAAATACTCTTTTGTTTAAATTTGGCATTACAGATGATGAACTTCTTGTTACTATGAAGATGAAAAAATGCATCATCTTATTTGCCCTTGTATCCATGTGAACTGCATGAACTCTATCAGAATTGCTGCATAAACTTAAATGTTGTTCTGAATGGCAGGTTCATTTTTACTAAATATACTAAGCATGTTAGCTTATTCTTGATGATAATGTGGTACATAAATTCTTGTCCTTATGTTCATATATTGGTAAAATGATAATAATTCATGATGACAATGCTATATTGTACTAAAACAACTCACCTGTGCTCTGGGGTATTAAGTAATACTACAGACATCATTTCGTACAGTCCGGAAAACAAAGTGCTCCAACAAATCAGGAAATATACAAATTTCTGGTACCAGCCAAATTCCCCAATCTGTATCAAAATTTTGTCCATTTTTATTCTTCCCCTGAAAGTTGTATTTCTTGCGAAACTGCTGATGCCTGTCCTTTGTTTCCTGACGACTGCGCACTACAGCTTGGTATGTACATCCATTATCAAACATATACATTAGGTATGATGGTGCATAAACACATCAATCAAAATGTTTTTTAATCCATATTAGTTTTCATTGGTAAAGATGACGCATCCATTATAGCGTCATTAAATTAAACGATGTATTTCAGCGTTTCTTCAATTATGAATAAATGAGATAAAATTATTAAAATCTATGGCAATTAGAAAATAAATCTTGTAAACAAAAACACCAATGTCAGTAGGTCGTCTTCATTTTTAAAATAAAGGAGGTTACCTGTGATCACCACGAACTTCCTGGTCACCTTCACCGACATACCCAGTAGGGCTGATCAATGTCAGTGGAATTGAACAGACATATCCTGCTTACTACCACAAACGGCCTGGTCAGCTCTTAACTCACCGACTACCCAGTAGGGCCGATCACTGTAAGTGGAATTGAAAAAAACATATCCTGCTTACTTATTTCTGGTGTTTCGTTTTTATTATGTTTGTTTCGTCCCAGTATTTATCATTGTCCTGCTTTATATAATGAAATTCAACGCATGAAATAGGCATTCAATTGTATTTAAATTGATGCTCAAGCCATATTTGATCACCATTGCTGAATATAACAATGACGAAACCTTTCATTGAATGACGTAAGTAGTCAGTATAACAGTGATTTTGGTGAAATAAAACTATATTATTTTAAAATAGATGACGTGTTATATACTAACTGTAACAACGATTTAACATGTATAATACCTATCGCTACCTGACGCTGTTATTCATATCATAATTTTTGTGTGTGATTAATTCAGAATATTCAGGCCAGTCGTGATACTGGGAACAGGTCCCTGAATATCGAATCAACAGCTACACGTGAACACCATACGTTGGAGATGTAAGGATATTGATACCCAATAGAAAATTCCCACTGGAGAAATTGAAACTATTTAGCTTATTATACAGCTTGGTGGAAAGCTGTTCATGTTGGTTTCGTTAGAGGAAGATATCTTGATAAGCGGCTGATGTAAAAGAGTCTATCGTGTTCCGGAATTCTAATTAAAAAACGATGGACGTAGTAAATAAGTATGTGGTTATTTCAGGACAAGACGTCACCAAAATATCTGAAAGTGTGACTGAATAATTTCAGAAGGTCTATGTGAGTTGTTTCGATAGCCTATGCGATAAATGCAGCCTCGTATTGAAAAACAATCTGGCCAACAAAGGAGCATATTTAGTTCCTATACGTATGTCCGTAGTCTGATGGAAGGTTTTATCCTCAAACTCAACGAAGAATGGAGATATCGGGGATTTAAAAAAAAAGTGTCAAAACGTCATGATCAGTAAGATACTTCATCGTTATCCATTGCTACTGTTACCATAAAACATATCCTTGCGAGTAAGTGTGATATTTACCTGTCAAACTATCATCAAATGCTAGCATGTAGCCATTTAATGGCATGGTGTCTGTACCAGATAGTACAAAGAGAGTGACATGATGTCTGTACCGGATAGTACAAAGAGAATCACATGATGTCTGTACCGGATAGTACAAAGAGAATCACATGGTGACTGTACCGGATAGTACAAAGAGAACGACATGGTGACTGTACCAGATAGTACAAAGAGAATGACATGGTGACTGTACCGGATAGTACAAAGAGAGTGACATGGTGACTGTACCGGATAGTACAAAGAGAATGACATGCTGGCTGTACCAGATAGTACAAAGAGAATCACATGGTGTCTGTATTGGATAGTACAAAGAGAGTGACATGCTGGCTGTACCGGATAGTATAAAGAGAATGACATGGTGTCTGTACCGGATCGTACAAAGAGAATCACATGGTGACTGTACCGGATGGTACAAAGAGAGTGACATGATGTCTGTACCGGATAGTACAAAGAGAGTGACATGATGTCTGTACCGGATGGTACAAAGAGAATGACATGGTGTCTGTATTGGATAGTACAAAGAGAGTGACATGCTGGCTGTACCGGATAGTATAAAGAGAATGACATGCTGGCTGTACCGGATAGTACAGTGAGAATGGCATGCTGGCTGTACCGGATAGTACAAAGAGAATGACATGTTGACTGTACCAGATAGTACAAAGAGAATGACACGGTGACTGTACAGGATAGTACAAAGAGAATGACACAGTGACTGTAACGGATAGTACAAAGAGAGTGACATGATGTCTGTACCGGATAGTACAAAGAGAATGACATGCTGGCAGTACCGGATAGTAAAAAGAGAACGACATGGTGACTGTACCGGATAGTACAAAGAGAACGACATGCTGGCTGTACCGGATAGTACAAAGAGAATGACAGAGTGTATGTACCAGATAGTACAAAGAGAATGACAGGGTGTATGTACCAGATAGTACAAAGAGAATGACAGGGTGTCTGTACCAGATAGTACAAAGAGAACGACATGCCGGCTGTACCAGATAGTACAAAGAGAATGACATGGTGTCTGTACCAGATAGTACAAAGAGAATGACGTGGTGTCTGTACCGGATAGTACAAAGAGAATGACATGGTGTCTGTACCAGATAGTACAAAGAGAACGACATGCCGGCTGTACCAGATAGTACAAAGAGAATGACATGGTGTCTGTACCAGATAGTACAAAGAGAATGACGTGGTGTCTGTACCGGATAGTACAAAGAGAATGACATGGTGTCTGTACCGGATAGTACAAAGAGAACGACACGGTGTCTGTACCGGATAGTACAAAGAGAATGACATGGTGTCTGTACCAGATAGTACAAAGAGAATGACGTGGTGTCTGTACCGGATAGTACAAAGAGAACGACATGCTGGCTGTACCAGATAGTACAAAGAGAATGACATGGTGTCTGTTCCAGATAGTACAAAGAGAATGACGTGGTGTCTGTACCGGATAGTACAAAGAGAGTGACATGATGTCTGTACCGGATGGTACAAAGAGAATGACATGGTGTCTGTATTGGATAGTACAAAGAGAGTGACATGCTGGCTGTACCGGATAGTATAAAGAGAGTGACATGCTGGCTGTACCGGATAGTACAAAGAGAGTGACATGCTGGCAGTACCGGATAGTAAAAAGAGAACGACGTGGTGACTGTACCGGATAGTACAAAGAGAACGACATGCTAGCTGTACCGGATAGTACAAAGAGAATGACAGAGTGTATGTACCGGATAGTACAAAGAGAATGACATGGTGTCTGTACCAGATAGTACAAAGAGAGTGACATGCTGGCTGTACCGGATAGTACAAAGAGAACGACACGGTGTCTGTACCGGATAGTACAAAGAGAATGACAGGGTGTCTGTACCAGATAGTACAAAGAGAACGACATGCCGGCTGTACCAGATAGTACAAAGAGAATGACATGGTGTCTGTACCAGATAGTACAAAGAGAATGACGTGGTGTCTGTACCGGATAGTACAAAGAGAATGACATGGTGTCTGTACCAGATAGTACAAAGAGAATGACATACTGGCTGTACCGGATAGTACAAAGAGAACGACACGGTGTCTGTACCGGATAGTACAAAGAGAGTGACATGGTGTCTGTACCAGATAGTACAAAGAGAATGACAGGGTGTATGTACCAGATAGTACAAAGAGAATGACATGGTGTCTGTACCGGATAGTACAAAAAGAACGACATGCTGGCTGTACCAGATAGTACAAAGAGAATGACGTGGTGTCTGTACCGGATAGTACAAAGAGAATGACATGGTGTCTGTACCAGATAGTACAAAGAGAATGACATGCTGGCTGTACCGGATAGTACAAAGAGAACGACACGGTGTCTGTACCGGATAGTACAAACAGAGTGACATGGTGTCTGTACCAGATAGTACAAAGAGAATGACATGATGTCTGTACCGGATAGTACAAAAAGAGTGACATGCTGGCTGTACCGGATAGTACAAAGAGAGTGACTTGCTGGCTGTACCAGATAGTACAAAGGGAGTGACATGCTGGCTGTACCAGATAGTACAAAGAGAGTGACATGTTGTCTGTACCAGATAGTACAAAGAGAATGACATGGTGACTGTACCGGATAGTACAAAGAGAGTGACATGGTGACTGTACCGGATAGTACAAAGAGAATGACATGCTGGCTGTACCAGATAGTACAAAGAGAATGACATGCTGGCTGTGCCAGATAGTACAAAGAGAATGACATGTTGACTGTACCGGATAGTACAAAGAGAATGACATGCTGGCTGTACCAGATAGTACAAAGAGAATGACATGGTGACTGTACCAGATAGTACAAAGAGAATGACATGGTGACTGTACCGGATAGTACAAAGAGAGTGACATGGTGACTGTACCAGATAGTACAAAGAGAATGACACGGTGATAGCATTCAAATAAGTCGATCTATCTGTTTTTTTTCAAAACGCATGACGATTTTTTCCTATGACGTTCTAAATATAGATAACTTTACCATCCAGATGTATGATGAAATGGTGTTTCATATATGTCTGCATACAAATATATTTAACGTAAGGTGACATACTTCTATCCGACTTACCATAAACAGACATTTCGAAATTGTCCACCAGTTAATTATACACACTAGACAAAAGAGACAAACACTTTGGATATTTACATTATATGATCAATTTATTGTAACATAGACTACTAACACGTTTCCATCATTTTGTATACTACATTACCACCAGTTGAAATGTAGACTGTGATTTATATAGTTATGTAGGTAAATATTTACCAATTAAAACGATCTTATCAGCTTGCTAGTATTGTTAAGTTATTTTTTCTCGTGTAGTTACTATCATGATTAATATGTTATATAGGTAAAAAGCTCCCAATCTAAATTGTAGCATAAACTGGACAAATACAGATTGTTAAATCATTGTTGATAATTCTAAATAATGAACCATTGTTTGCATGGTAAAGATACGCAAATTATAAAAGACAAGTTTTTTTACGCTGCGTTTTACATACATGAGAGGGTCATAAACTCTACACATGGTTGCATAATTCTTAACTGCTACTATTGCTACTAATTCCGTTGATACTGCTACATCTGCTGAAGCTAATGTTGCTACTACTTCCGTTGATACTGCTACATCTGGTGATGCTACTGTTGCTACTACTTCCGTTGATACTGCTACACCTGGTGATGCTACTATTGCTACTACTTCCGTTGATATTGCTACATCTGGCGATGCTACTGTTGCTACTACTTCCGTTGATACTGCTACATCTGCTGAAGCTATTGCTACTACTTCCGTTGATACTGCTACATCTGGTGATGCTACTGTTGCTACTACTTCCGTTGATACTGATACACCTGGTGATGCTAATGTTGCTACTACTTTCGTTGATACTGATACATCTGGTGATGCTACTGTTGCTACTACTTTCGTTGTTACTGCTATATCTGGTGATGCTAATGTTGCTACTACTTCCGTTGATACTGTTACATCTGGTGATGCTACTGTTGCTACTTCCGTTGATACTGCTACATCTGGTGATGCTACTGTTGCTACTTCCGTTGATACTGCTACATCTGGTGCTGCTACTGTGATTGCTACTTGCGTGTGGCGATGCTACTGTAGCTGCTTTATTTATAAAATGCATAATACAATATAAAATAAAATGATATTTTTTTAAATGTCATGTTGCTAGAAGCTGGTTAGTATTTCCAAACATTGGTATCTATAGGTATGAAAAAAGGATTGAAATTCTGCTGAATAAAGCTTAACTATGTATGAAATAATATTAATTTGATGAAGTAAATATCTATTACTGATTACCACATAACGATATCTATATATATCACGAACTGGTACTCAATAAGCGTAACTAGATGTAACAATGTCTCATAGTTTGGTCATTTCCTTCTGTGGTACGTATCCGTTGTTATCATAACAAGGCGGTAGGTTCTCGGTGTTTTCTTTGGTTTCGTATTTCTCTTTAGACAGGGAAGCAGACCTGTGAGAATTAAATTAGAAATCACATACTATGAATAACTTAAATATTTATTCAGAAGGAAATCATTGATTGTTCAAAATCGCAAAATCGATTATTCGAACTACGAGAATATAGATCAATATTTTTTCAGATATATCCAATTAAAGAATATCGTGATTTTATTACGGTATACATGAAAACTCAAAGAAATAAATCGCAGAAAAAAAAATTCATGCATACCTTCCAAACTGTTTCCCGTCTTCAATGGTTTCCGGTAAGGCTCTGTTCAGTGTTTCTGGTAAATACAATGACGACAATCCCGCTGAAATCGCCAGTATTCCGAACACTCCCAGTGGAAACACTTTACCGACCATACCGCCTATCAAAATTGCCTGTGGTAATAAAAACATATGATATTCACTGTAGCAACAAATCCACAATACCATTTAACATTTCCTAATGATATTTGATTGGTTACATTTGTTAGTATTGGTCATGACGACTTGTTTCGCTCTCATTCATCTTATTCCTGCTATGAGCATCTTATTTGTATTTCTGCTCTTGCAGAAAGCACCAAACAATTTGTATTGTGAATCAATTGATTCATTGACGACATTGTACTTACTGAGTCGGCTATATATGGTGACACAATTCCTCCGATTCTCGCGGCGCAGGAACTAGCACCCATCCCAGCATTCCTTACTACAGTTGGAAATAACTCCGCCGAGTAAAAGTAGATCGTATTGAAAGCGGCAGTAGCACCAAACTTACCAATCATGGCAAGTATTGTGATAATAACCTGGTTTTCTGGAAGATATAAGGAGTTGAATAAGGGTGGGCTCTGAGCTGATACAAAATTATCTAGCCAACAGCAGAAAGGTTCACCAATAAGCATTTTATGCAAACATGTTATATACTTTCCATAAATCAATTCCAGGTACCCTGGGAGCGAAATACAATGACATATAACAACCTTTGACTAGAACACTTACCCTTTTCACCTATCAGAATGGGGATAATTGTCGATGCACATGCACATCCCCCAAGTATCATACTGAGACAGTAGACTTTTTTCCGACCAGCTCGATCCAGTAATACTAGAACCATGGTATTAGCCGGAATTTCCACTAGTCCAGATAAAAACAAGTTCAGGTAGAAATCTCCACCGAGGTTGCCAGCATTTAGAGAGAGCCCATAATAAATCATGCTCACTATGCACCTAGAAAAAACGAAAGCGACAAAAATATGATTCGCGTATTTCGTCATATAGCAAAAACGATCGTAATCATAAAAAGCTTCTAAGTTTATGATATATATATGCATATATTTACTAACATTTTCAATAAGACAAGATTTTCAAGTTTTATTTCAGCCAAGTTTTATTTGGGAATACCTGTTTACTTGATAACTGTACATAAATTTTATCGTGACTTGCCAGTTGTAAAGGATGACGAGTGTCCTAAATAACATGACCTTCGTTGAAAACAGATGCCACATCCTCCCGGGTGGTGCTGTCGTTTCCGTTTCTGTTCCCTTTTTGAATAAGTTCTTTTCTATTTTCACCTTGTTAACCTTAGCTGCCTTCTGAATAATGGTGTTCACCTCTGCGTATCTTTGTTTATTAATCAACCACCGAGGAGATTCAGGAATCAGCCTGTTGAGATGTAAGGTATACTATTTCTGTTCTTTGTGTGATGACAAATATCATTTGGGGAAGATTATCAATGATATGATTGTACATATAATTAGACTAGTAAACACTATTGTATATAAAAATATTAAAGAACAGAGAAATATCACTTAAAAACCACCTCAAAATTCATTTTAATCTTAAAATTCCAAAAGACCAATTTTGCATTGAATTTCACTAATCTAATTCGATCACTGACTCAGTAATAGAAACCGACATCCGCCGGGTGTTACATAAATTAACTATGTAAGTGACAAACTGGCTTCCCAGATACAATTATTGTGTGTTCAACATTATGTTACATACTAACTTAATGACAGTAGAAATATGGACAAATTAGTGTCCGTAAGAAAAATCTGTGTCTACACAATATTATTCGCTATGCAGACCGGCCCGTATTTAAGACCACCTCCGGTTCCCAAAGTGATCTTAATAGTGATGTTTTACTGTACAGTTAGCATCAGGTGAGACGTAAGCATTTTCTTTTGCCGCCATATATACTAGATCGACCTCGTGGACCCATAGAAAAGACACATGTATATATAAAAATGTTACAGTGTGGTTTATGACAGTCTGTTATTGTCTTATAATAGTATACCCTATAATTGCTTGTGTTTATCATCTATACCATCAAAAGACACTCATATTTTTAAAACAAACACTCATTTACATAACTTCGTTGATATCTACCACATACAGAGAAAAAAATTCAAGTATGATTTTATGATATTTTCCATCCATCGGCGTGATTTTATGATACTTACCACCCACAGAAAAAATAAACGCGAGCGTGATTTTATGATACTTACCACCCACAGAAAAAATAAACGCGAGCGTGATTTTATGATACTTACCACCCACAGAAAAAATAAACGCGAGCGTGATTTTATGATACTTACCACCCACAGAAAAAATAAACGCGAGCGTGATTTTATGATATCTACCACCTACAGTGAAAATAAACACTAGCGTGATTTTATAATATCTACCACCCACACAGTAGACATACATTTGCTGAAGTGATCTTATATCTACCACTCCAGTGTATTTGTATCATACGACTTGATACTGTATATTATATGTATTACGTCAGAGCATTTAAAAACTAGACATTCCAAAGGTGAAGCTACAAAATAATGTTTAGATTTCTGACACTTACCACCAATAGCAAATGAATACAGCAGCCGGTACTGAACATATTATGTTGATGTAGAACCAATGTCTAGCGAAGTAGCCAACTCCAGCCACAAACATCAAGCCAAGTGAAAAGAAAAAGCTGATTACCATACCAGCATATTTCCGCTTTGATGGTCCAACTAACTCCACACCTACATAAGGATAGAATATAACTCACTTGATTACGCTGAACCTTCTTAAGAAAAAACGAGATACCACCATTTATCAAACCAACCAATATACTTGGGATGCATGGTTCTTAAACACTGCAAACCGCTGCCATTCTCTACATTTTCAGAGAATAGATACCAGCAGAAAGATTAATGTTTTGTACCATCTGCTGTGGTCCCCGTGTAAATATTTTAGGTGGGACGACGAATATTCACAAAGAAATACAGTTACAGTGGAATTTAGGTCTTTTGCGAACTCGGAATACCATTTACTATGAAAATGGACAACCAATATCTCACATCTTCAAGTCTATTCTTACTTCCTACCGAGAACAAATCCGACTGGGTAGACTCCCTGTGTAGCGGCACCAATAGCCGCTAAAATGATACCAAGCACAATGTAGGATGGTGACCAAGACATTCCGAACGTCAATCCGAACATCGCCACCAGTCCAATATAGAAAGCAACCTTTCGTCCAAATCTATAAAAAAGATATGACATAAGGGGGAATAATGTTTGATACTCTTGAGTTTGGCGGAATTTTTATGAAGATGCAGTGTTTTCTGTAAATTGAGTTTGATTATCACCTTTACACAGCATTGTATGAATTAATAGTTATCTAGTCACTTACCCATCTGAAAGATTGCCAAAAATTATTGCACCAACGAGCTTCCCGACGAAGAAGAGGGACTTGATAAATGACGTCATATATTTGTCACCACACACTATGTTGAACTGTGATATTTGCAGGCATCCATTGAAAAAGAAGATATTAAAACATGTTTTCTCAAGTAAAGCTTATATTGTACGAATTAGTTGTTGCAACCCATCATTAATGCACATACAATATTTGTTTGAACATGAGGAGTTCAGCATTTTATTAATATTTGAATATCTGTTAGATAAAAAATATCTTAATGTTTATTTTAAACGATCGGTTGAAGACATTATCAATCATGCATCTAAACAAATCAAGTAGATAATAGAAATACCTTGTCGTTTCCATCAAATTAAATACTCAATTTTATCATCATCCATTTAGTCATAACCTTATTGTTCAAAATGACATACCTTCGATGTGAATGTTTCCTTAAACACTGACTCACTGTAGACCCATTCCTTACATTCAGTGCGTGAGGCGTTAATTGGTCTGTTAGAGTTGTAGAACGTGACATTGTTGTAATCAATCGAGTAGAGGTGGCACTGGTCATAGTCATGTGTGTCACCATCCAATGGGGGAGGTATGTAGTTGTTGACAAGGTTCTGTTGATAAGTACTGTGTATATCGTACGTGTCATTATCAAGACCAGGGATCTTACATCTGTCGATTAAAAATATTGAGCATAATAAAACATAAACTATGATACTCCACAAAAATTATACTCATTCACATCGTTAGATAAGAATATAATACATTTGTTTGATACTGAAATTTCTGAATATTCTCATATTCTCATGATCGGATAAATGCTTGCAATACAAATCTGTACTGACCAGATTATGACATTTTAGTATGATAGCAATGTAATAATTCCCAAACTTCACCTGACTATTCATCGTCTTCAAATGACCACCGAATCAGTTGTTGTTACATTAAATTAAATTGAACAATTTTCGAGTGTGTTAGTAACATACCTTTAAGATTTATATGAATGACACTGCTAGTGAATCTTAGCCCCCAAGGATTGCCATAATGGCTTAATATGCAGGTATCACAGCTGATATCCAGATTTTAACATACTTTCCTCCGTCGGCTCATAAGTTTCAACAATTTAGGCCTTTAACATCACTAACGATTCCTAGAAGGACGAAGCAGCTGTGCCAATAAGTTTAATTCATTTTTGACATTTTTAAAATTCTGTGATAAAAAGCAATATTCATATGTGCTTCTTTAATTCAGTCTTAGAGATGGCAGTTGGTAGACACTGCTGGTGGACTTTTAGTCCCCGACATTTGCCGTAATCTGCATGCCACGTTTTAATTCAGATACTCGTATGGTTCATAAAATAGAAATGCACTTGAAGATCAAGCGAAGTTACGAAAATTGCAACAATTTTTGAATGGTGGGGCTTTTGAGCCTCATCAATCGATTTTTACTGTAATTTTCAAACTTATATTCTAAGGGGCTAGTTTTGTAACGTGACTTTCGTACAGTCTTTGAGATTGCGGGTGGTAGACACTGCTAATGGACTATTACATACAATGCGGGTGGTAGACACTGCTAATGGACTATTAGATACAATGCGGGTGGTAGACACTGCTAATGGACTATTAGATACAAATATTTGCTGTAACATGCCTGCAAGTTTAAAAATAATTCGTGGCACGGTTCAGAAGATAATTAATTCATTATTTGGCTCTGCTGTATCTACTTCAAAGTGCTATCACGTCTTTTGGGTGTTAAGTACATTTGTTTAAGAGCAAAGAAAGTAAATGTATGATAATCTATTTGAAAAAAAAATATATATATATATATTCAACAGAAGTATTCCATCCAGCAATTTTGATTGCACTTGTATTTTCCCTATGAGCCGGAATATGGAGAACGAAAATAAAATCATTGAAAAAATAACCAGTTTTGTACTCTAGATCGTTAGTCATACAAATCGCAAAATAAAGCCGGATAATTACCTTTTAGGCAAGGAATCGTCTCATTTTAGTTCAGTTGAGGCCGTTTTTCGTAATATAGTGCGATTTTACACAAGTTATTCCTACTTCATGTAGAGTCAAAAGACAATGAATAAAATAAGTTTCTCCACAGGTGGCGTTCATCCGGTAAAAGAACCCTATAGTATGAAAACTATAGTGACTGTTAAGATTGCGGTGTGATGTATGTCAAAATGTACTTCAGCTCAATAGGCTGATAGCTTAGAATAGATTAAACCATACACCATCAGTCCTTCTTTTTGAACTCAAAGCCAACAGCCCTTTAAATTGGTTTTTGTTTTCCAGTCTATGAGAAGGGTGAGAGGTGACAATATTCTTTCATGTACCTCTTTACTTAATACAAAGGTTTTAGAATAACAGATCTCAAGGTCAATGTGTAAGATGTACACTTGTATCTATCATCTTCCATGCGAAAAAGATACGCTTTTCTTTATGTTTATGATCCATTATACATTATAGATATAAAACTTGTTACAGCAGCCATTCCTTGTCGTCACAGCGCCAATGAGATCACTGACCACGACATTACATGTTGCAGCAGCCATTCCTTATCAACAACACAGCTTCAATGAGATTACTGACCACGAAATTACATGTTACAGCAGTCATTTCTTATCAACAACACAGCGCCAATGAGATCACTGACCACGACATTACATGTTACAGCAGCCATTCATGATCAACAACACAGCGCCAATGAGATCACTGACCACGACATTACTTGTTACAGCAGCCATTCCTGATCAACTACACAGCGCCAATGAGATCACTGACCACGACATTACTTGTTAAAGCAGCCATTCCTTGTCGTCACAGCGCCAATATGATCACTGACCACGACATTACATGATACAGCAGTCATTCCTTATCAACAACACAGCGCCATTAAGATCACAGACCAGGACATTACTAGTTACAGCAACCATTCTTTGTCGTCACAGCGTCAATATGATTACTGACCATGACATTACTTGTTACAGCAGCCATTCCTTGTCGTCACAGCGCCAATAAGATCACAGACCAGGACATTACTTGTTACAGCAGCTTCTCCTTAGCCTAGCGACGACATGGCACCATGACATTACTTGTTACAGCAGCTTCTCCTTAGCCTAGCGACGACATGGCACCATGACATTACTTGTTACAGCAGCCATTCCTTATCAACAACACAGCGCCATTAAGATCACAGACGAGGACATTACTTGTTACAGCAGCTTCTCCTTAGCCTAGCGACGACATGGCACCATGACATTACTTGTTACAGCAGCTTCTCCTTAGCCTAGACATGGCACCATGACATTATGGCACCATGACATTACTTGTTACAGCAGCTTCTCCTTAGCCTAGCGACGACATGTCACCTTGACATTACTTGTTACAGCAGCTTCTCCTTAGCCTAGCGACGACATGTCACCATGACATTACTTGTTACAGACATTACTTGTTACAGCAGCTTCTCCTTAGCCTAGCGACGACATGGCACCATGACATTACTTGTTACAGCAGCCATTCCTTATCAAGAACACAGCGCCATTAAGATCACAGACCATGACATTATTTGTTACAGCAGCCATTCCTTATCAACAACACAGCGCCATGTCACCATGACATTACTTGTTACAGCAGCTTCTCCTTAGCCTAGCGACGACATGGCACCATGACATTACTTGTTACAGCAGCTTCTCCTTAGCCTAGCGACGACATGTCACCATGACATTACTTGTTACGACATGGCACCATGACATTAGTTGTTGCAGTAGAATACATTTATAAAAATACAATTAGATTGTTCAAAGAAATATACATAAATAGCTACTCCTGAAAAAAGGAAAATAAATAAATAGAACCAATGATAAAAATGAAAAGAATAGTTAAAAAATTAAAAGAAATACAAAAATAATTATATAGAATACATTAAAAGGTAAACGAAAGAAATAAATTTGACATTTCGGTTAAAAGTATTACAAAGAGCAAATGACAGAACTAAAGAAAGCACAAATGTTAAGAGAAAAGAATATGTATTGGACAGGGAGAGATAAAACAATGACAGAATACTATAAAAACGGGTTATTAGTTTCAAAAGTATTTATGCTTAAAAAATAACCATCCTATAACATAACAATGTTGACGAGATGGAAGACGTGTCGAGTATAATGTACGTGACATCAGAAAAAAGGTTAGTGGTTCATTACCGTAGATTAGACTGACTGTGTGACGTACCTGTGATCAGGTGCAGTGAGAAATATCACAGACATCAAGGCATATATTCCGGGGTATATAGCGGTAAAACATATCATTAAATATAGATACTTCTGGTACAATCCGAATTCTCCTAGTTTAATCAAAACGTCGTCCAACTTCATTTTGTTTTTCTCGTTTCAGTATATCAGGTCAAGAAGTATATACCTGTTCAGATTGTCATATGAACAAGGTTCTAGGATGTGTATCTGAGCTCTGTATATCTTGTCCTTAAATGCTAGTTATAAATGAATACCATTTATATTCTAGCCACTCACATCATAGTAAACATTAAGGCGTCCCACAAATTAAATGTACACCTTACACAAAAAACCTACTTAAACGCTAATTTGATATTCACTTGAAAATGTATGTAATCATAAAAAGCGAGCGTCATCATTTGGTTCAATTGACTTATAATTTGAAGGGGTTTCTGAGATGATTTGATGCATGATTTTGCATAACATGTCTTCGTTAAGATAAATTAGATCATGTCAAGTGAAAATGTGACTCTGTAATAAGGTGACAACTTTCCCCGCCTAGTCTTGTTAATTTTACTACTTACAGCACAGCTATCACAAGACGAAAGAGTCTGTAATAAATTGAGTAGACTCAACACACAGAGGTGACTGAAGGTGAAGTTGGTCGTTTTTCACGAGGGTAACTATGTATAAAGGGAACATCACAAACATTCTGGTTATAAAACATGATCCGTAATAATGCATGTTATTTTTATATATTGTATATATCTTTTCTCATGATATCAGCAATGATATAAGCAAAAGTATTCTTTCTTTCTCGATGTTTTTAACAACTTGTACTAAATAGGATTTAGATTTTGATCATATATATAATCCACAACTGTATAATTGCGTAAGAAAAATCTTCGTTCTGAAAAAAAAAAAAAAACAAAAAAACCAATTTACATATATATTTCAGTGGTCTTCATATTTCAACATAAATAACTATCATTAATTCTCTTCTGGCATAAAAATGCCATTACTATTCCAGAAACATCCATCGTCACCTGATATTCAAACTTCACCGTTAATATAGTAATTATCATTTTCACTCTCGACCTAATACTAAACGATCATACAGTTATAATAATGATAACTCCAATGTCATTACATCAGTCTTTGTCTCTCACCTGGTATGTTAATTCCATGGCTAATACATCACTAAATATCTTTATATTTCATCTGATATGTTATATCCAAGGTTATTACATCAATAATTATCTTTGATTCTCAGCAGACATTATAACATTTTCGCTAAATTTCTTCTTCCTACTATTATTTCAGTTAAGCGGTAATAAGTATTTATAAGAGAGAGAGAGAGAGAGAGAGAGAGAGAGAGAGAGAGAGAGAGAGAGAGAGAGAGAGAGAGAGAGAGAGAGAGAGAGAGAGAGAGAGAGAGAGAGAGAGAGAGAGAGAGAGAGAGAGAGAGAGAGAGAGAGAGAGAGAGAGAGAGAGAGAGAGAGAGAGAGAGAGAGAGAGAGAATAATAATAATAAATACATTGTTACAAAATGCATCTTAAATAAACCATACACTATATTACACAGTTAACCATACCAACCGAATCATGCTATAACACAACACAAGCATGCTCGCAAGCCACGAAAATTCGGACACAAAATTAAACAAATTGGAAAGAAATAATTATGCGTTCTCATAGAGAGACACAAGAATGTGGAACGTGACCTTTTTAAAACCGGCAAGTACTCAATCTGTACTGTTGGACATATATAAATAAATCCTTATTATCGTCACCTGAGTAGTCTTCCTGACAAAAATGATAATCCATCTTAACTTAACGGCAAATATCTATGAAGGTTTCAGAACATGGCCAGACGTTGGTCGTTATATCCACCAGATGCAAAGAAGACCTGATGTAAAATTCCATAAGGATATCCACATGCACAAGAATGAGAGTCGATTATATTAATGTTGAAGAGATCTTCATTTAAAGGGCTGCATTTATGGCAGAGTTTGGTAAATAAGATATTTAGCTTACGATCTCCAATTAGGTAGTCATCAGGTACATTAAATATTTCATTTTGCTGAGAAAGATTTTCTTTGATCTTAAAAGAAGGTGCAGTTTTAATATTAGTGTCTAGATCATTCCACAACCTTAACGTAGAAGGTATAAAAGAATTGAGTGTAGATTGTTAACGAAAATTAGGAATGGAATAATTTTCACAGTTTCTCAAGTTGTATTGTGTTAATAAAGATACTAATGAGGGAAGAAGGGCTGTTAGATATGAGGGAGTCATATATCTATATATATAAAAAAGTTGAAGTTTGCGGCGAGTGCGTCGTTTAGATAAAACTTTCCAAGCAGTTTTGAAATAAAGAGATGCTCTGTTAGCAAATGAAGGCAGACTAGTAACAATACGCGCCGTTTCAAGCTGTAGTGTTTTTTATAGTTAATCGGCATTCGCAATCGTACATCCGTCCCAAACTTCACAACAAAGTGAGCAGAGGCAATAATAATAGTAGGATAAATTGTATTTAAAGTCTTGTGATTCAAAGTATATTTTAACTTAGGACGTATCCCAATATGCTTCGTGACATTTTTTTCAAATCTTACCAATATGATGAGTCTATTAACAACCGGCATCTAGAAAAATGCCTAAATGTTTATGATGCTCAATTAAAATCGATGTTAACATTATTAAAAACTAAATTTCTGTCAAGTTCCGTACTGATATTTAAGATAAATAGGAAATGCTTCCATTTTATTGGGATTAAACTCCAAGACCATTGCATCTAAGCTTTCTAACTATAAACAAACGCTGCAGCAAATGAAAGAAGATGACCAAAGTACATCGGTTTGTTTGTGTTCTACTTCAACTTAAAACTACAGTTCAACTTGGCACATAGTAACTGGTAATTTAAATATCATTCAAAATATTTAACTACGAGAGCTTTGTATAAATGGTCCTAAATATCGTGAACCCAATCCATTTATCGAAATATGGATTCCAAGATATTTATGGATTCCATTGAAAGCTGCTTCGTGGGATTCAATTTCATAGTAGGTGTAATCATTTCGTCCATCATTCTTAAAACAACAAGCAGTTTGAAATAAAATTTAAAAGGAAAACAATACACAAGTCAGTTTTCCCGATTGTGATGTGAAATCCACACTTCAAGATTTAAATGACAAGTAAATTATTGTACACTCAGATTAGGCGTCCGGTATTACAAAGAAAAAGAATCAGACTTGCTTGTTGACGAAGGAAGTACCTATCAATATATCAGCAAAAAAGAAATAATGGCTTATCATGCTTCAATATTACAACCAGTTCGTTCGTCTATCAATAACAAAGATACGGATCTTCCCAGTTTATGATGGATTCTAATCAGAATAGTTAAAGGACATTTTCTATGAAAAACATTCAGGCACACAATTTTTTTCTCTCTTAGTTACCTTTACCTTTCATCATAGCTGCATTACGAAACAATATTTCGTACATGTAGGATTACTTAAAAGCTGGTCAAATACTAGGACTTTCACTTGAGATTGAATGACTTGTTTAAAAAATCTAAATGTTCTTCAAGTGACAGAAACTGAATGTCATTATCAACTAATCAAAATTGCATTCACGAAATTGCTACTTTTGATTATATTAACATTGCGATTTGATAGTTACTATATTCAACTAGACGTTGATTGTAGCCGTTGTGATATCCTCGCAATGCTGTGACATGCACAAGTCTTATTTCGAAAATATCAAATGAAACTTTTTAATGACGACACATGATATCTACCCTCATACCAATGACCATCACCATGTTGTATAGGAAGATTTTAGAATGTATTCGAGGTGATACGAAAAATTTACTTAACTCAGCAGGTGCGCCAGGTGAAACAGAATCCTTCGACCGATGTTTTCCATATCGTTTCGGTTCCTATACATTTATTTGCGCATTTGCTTCTGTAGATTAGAGTAGTATTCCTCATTAATTGTGTTCATGGGCAGGAAGCCGATGGGAACTATTCCTTTACTAATTGGTCGCCATAACCTTTTGGATTGAACAGGTGGCGTGGAATTTCTTGCCTTTGGAGATGAGGTGCGTTTCCATCTATTTCTGTTTTTATCACAGGTTACTACCCAAAAATGAAAATCATCCTGGTTGATATTGTACCTAGTAAGCAAAGCTCCACTGCTGGTGATCTTCGATTTCTTCATGTCATCCGATAAGCATTCTTGGAACATGTCTTGCACATCACCTAGACATATCTTATTTGTTTTGAAGTAAGCCGTGTATGGAACCAAGGCCTGGTTGTTTTATTAACTCATAAAGAGTAATACGGCGGCATCACTAGTTTGTGTATAGTTTTAATGCTTGCCTGGCTAGTACTAATCGTCCTGACCCAGGGTATTCTTATGAGCTATCTCTTTTATGTTCGAATACATTATCGAACGTTTTGTTAGTTGCATAAGTCTCTCGCAGATTGATCGTCCAGATCAGGACTAGAAACTTATTCCAATATACTCAGCCTTGTCAACGAGTCAGGCGTTGGGCAGTGTACCACTCCACAGGCAAAGATTTGTAAGGCTCAAAACGTATTCATATCCCGTCGCATTCACAGAATATGCTCCATACCTTTGCTCAATAAACAGTTCACAGTTGAGTAAATATGACAGTCAATTAACTCCTTTCATCAAATCCTAAAGTCAATCGTGGTAAAAAGAAAAATAAATAAATGTTTCACATGCTTAATTTTCCAGACAGGATAAGCAGATAAAATCTTTTCAAAATGGCTTCACAAATTATAATTTCTGAGTAACAATACCACAATTTTTTATTTGTCTCTGATTAATCAACATGGATTTAGCATACGCATTGATTGTAAAAATCAAGTTTAAAGGGCAATTTATTGTATCTTTCGTTAAAAATTACTGAACAAAAAGAACTTACGTTGATCAGAAAAGAAACGACAACATATCAAAGGCAAGATAAGGTCATTATATTTTTATGAATTCAAGTTAATTTTTTTGCTGTCCTTCATTATGCTAATACATGTACTTCTACTTAAATTTCATAATTCACCTAACACTACTGAAATAAATTTAGCTTATTCAATCATATGTCAACACAGATGGCGCTTAAAGGAAAACACAAATGTGAAATTAAACGTCTGGACTGGCAAGGTGCTCGTTATATATGTAAATTTATTCAAATCGATTATGTAGGAAACAGATTCTTTTTGAATGTCAATAATTGAACTAACGTAATACCAATATTATGATAACAAGTGCTTTAGTTACAAATAGATATAAGGCATTAAAACAGCAGTTTGACGTTAGATAATACTTGATAATTGATGTTTTGATAAAAATTGAAATAGATACGGTCTAGACTTGGTAATAGGACAGACAGACAGACAGACAGACGGACGGACGGACGGCGGGACAGACAGACAGACTTTACTTACTCTTTACAGATAATAACATACATCATGCCTTTTTCAATTTATCATGACCGATTGGTTGCAGACCGTAACACGCTCATCAGTTATATGGTAGTACCTAGTTCAGTATGTGTAAATGTAACACTTATCAGTTGTAAAGAAGTACTTAAATGATAATGTGTTGGCTGCAATAGGTAGATCAACCTTAATGGGGTGGTACTAAGTGTTGACTATCACACGCTTATATGATAGTACGTATCTATCTGTCGAAGGCTCATACAAAATGGTTCATTGTGTAATCTTTACCTTACTTTTTATCAATAGATTTTAAATGATGTCTGAAACATGTGAATCTCGTTCTTATGAGAGCGCACACGCTAATATTTTTCATAAAAATCATTCTCTTTATTTCATGAATTATCTATGAATATCCTCACGCGAAAAACTTTACTGTATACCGGTAATTTTTGTTGCCCGAGGCACACCACTCATCACTTTCTGTGGTGTAAAACTATATACAATAAAGACTGATTAATGCAGGTTCCAGTATTATTTCGAAAACTGCCGATTTTTATAATCACTGATCAATTTTGATATTCCTGTGATCACTATTTAGTCATAACTGCACCAGTTTTCCGTTTAATTATCAATGCATAATATCACCCAACCATTTTACCAAACTGCACCTTTGGGATTCACGCAACAAAAACATATCATTATGTTGTTTGTATTTCAGATCATTATATTCATCTAGTACCTTGCAATATGTGTGTTACTATCTTGTACAAGTATGAAATTTTGGGAACAAGCACTTCAATGTCTTCTGCGACAACTGCGACTTGTAAACACTATAAGTTGTCGCCACATGAATATTACTTTTCACAAATAGACAATTCAGGATAGAAAATCGTCATCATAAAGCGATCTAAAGGCGAAATGACTTTGCATCCTTTGCTGCATCTGCTATGAAAGACTATTTGGTGAATTCTGCAACATATTAAAACGTCAGCAATGTGACAAACACAATGAGTATGCCAATAGTCATGGAATATACCAATAGTCAGAGGACAGTTTTATGACTAAACAAAACGAAACTGTTGTCAACTAGAGATATAATCATACTCATGAGTTTACCCTTACTATCGTCAAGAATATATGGCAAAATTTCATCCTTTTAACTTTTTTGTCAGAACTGCACCCAGAAGACATTCTTAAGATTGCACTTTGACTATTCCTTCACCGCGAGTGATAACAGCATCCACTATAATTTTTGTTATTTGTCATAAACAGATAAACTGTCACTGCTCCCGTTATCCATCACTTATATCCTATGTAAAACTCAATGCAAAAAAGAACATTCGTGTTTATATGAAATTCACTGTTAAATCAGTTAAACTTACTTGTTTAATACTAAGGATCATAATAGTAAAATTGGACAAAAAAGGCATATACAGATTAGAAAAAACTACAGACATTAAAAGTTAATTTTCTTTTTACCATATTTATTTGTACCAAGAGGCGGGTCTTAGTTTTTGCTCTTACTATGGTGTAAATCCGACGATTCACGAAGTAAGGCTAACCTTAATCGTTATTCATTTTAAGCCATAATGCAAACACTGTAAAAGTATAAAAGTCATGTGCACAACGTTGTAAGGGTGTACATGGAAATTTAGCGAGAACAGTACATTATCTATTGTGTTGGATAGAAACAAAATTAAAATGAAGCTGGACGACATTTTGATAAAACTTGGAGAATTCGGATTATATCAGAAATACTTGTATTTAATGATATGCTGGACCTCTCTTTTTTCCGGAATATATGCTTTGATGTCTGTGATATTCCTCAACATTCCTGATCATAGGTACGTCACTAGATCACAGTATTTAATGTCCACGCTTATGAGCATTATGATTGAATGAACAATATCAAATGTCATTTACAGTAAAATTTGATTTAATATTTTCAAATAACTAACATCAAGCGCAATAATTCTAGACGTTATATTTCCTCTTTTTGTATGATTTCCTACTATATGAACAATATGTACAATATGTGTTTATGTACATATTGTTGATTTACTTATGTTGATCTCTTCGCAGCAAGAGGAGATTTCCTTTGTCACACTTGTCTCGTGTACTTTTAAGAATTTGTTTCTTTTTAAAAGTTCTAACATTGTTTTTGTCCCTTATGGTATACATAGTTCCTAAAATGGACATCACTTAATCAATAAAGTTAATTGAAATTGCAGTATAATCCATGAACGGTCAGGTATGTAGTACACGCTGACTTACCCTATGCCTCACTAAGGAACATGTGGTATATGATTGTCACGTTAAGTTCCTCTATTAGTTCACTAGTCCTCGCATACCAAAGTTCCTCATCACCTCAATAATTCTGTGAGAGGCTTCAGCAACATATCTTGTCTGTGAAGACATCATTTGTACGTCGTATATATGTCGTGTAATGTACATAATCTTAAATGATAACTTCTTGTCAAAACAATAACATCCAATTATCGAAAACAACCTAGATATAAAAGGTTAGGGACACAGCAATGATCTGATACTGGTTTTATCTCCTGTTTAAACATCCTTTAGATAGATAGTGTTCTCGTGTTTGTATTAACTACTTTGTATATACAGGACCTACATTTCATTCACAATGAATCTGGATAAGATTCTCGTCAAACTTGGAGAATTTGGATTTTACCAAAAATACCTATATGGATTAATATGTTTAAGTATATATTTTAACGGATTGTATGCGGTGATGTCAGTGATATTTCTTGAAACTCTCGACCACAGGTGAGTATAAACGTAGAGATCGGTATCTGAATATCTATTCCTCTTTCCTCGTTTTTTAAAGGAATTTTGTCATCAAATGATAATTTCCGTGTTACAATATGTCAGCCACTTAACTGTAATATTTCGTATAAATACAGAGATATTGGATTTATCTGAAATTAACCATGCCCCATGTGTAAACATACCGGGGAGGAAAAAACAATTGATTGAAGAATTGTGCAATTGAACCTTTTAAATACATATACAGTCAGAATTTGCATTCAATAGATATTTGATATGAAGCATATCAACATGAAAATGAATAACGTTTGTTTCAACTTTTGAGTGTAGATTAAATAAAACAATGCAGTTCGGTAGACGAATATTTAAATTTGTTTCAGTGTAAATAAAAAATCTAATAATTTCTTTGTGATTCAGGAATAAAAATATACAACAGTTTTCAGTGATCGCATACCGCGAGATTGAAAGTAGGTGTTATTCTATAAGACAATGATGAAAGGCTTTTAATGCGATGGGATTGCCGCCAAAAAACATACATGTATTTTAATTGAAAGCAATCGACAATAAACGACAGTATATTTTTAAGAAAACAAAAGACCGAATTTTATTAATGTAGTACAAATACTTCAATGAAACAGATAAGATAAACTTCGTCTGTACTTTACTGACAGCTTATATTATGATGTTATATAGCCGTAATCAAGTATTTGACCTCTTTTCTGAATTTGTTATAAAGTTGATTTTTCAATGAAGCTATAAATGTTCAGTATATTTTGCATTGATGATGTAGTTTTATTTGTGGCCGATGTTTGTCCTAATCTTGTATGCCATATTTACTATCTTGCGAATAGCTGCATAAATTCGAAATAAGCATTTATTATCTTTTTAAATTGTTTCATATTCAACAGTAAATATATAAGTTTATGCCATTTTTATCATAGAATAAGTCGCAACCCAATTTCATTGTTTGTGAGAGGCGAAAATGGTTAAAAAACATCATTACAAACAAACAATTAATTTCGTCAATATCTAAATAAATAAAATCAACAAACTAAGAAAGAACGGTCAAAACGAAGCGATCAAAACAAACTTATTACAAAACTTCTTATTATTTTGTAACAGTTTTGGGGCCGTGGCCGTAGACTCGAGCGCCATCTAGCGTTTATTCGGATAACGGATCTTCATTTTCTTTCGTTCATTTTGCATTGCTGACTTTTCCTTCTGTATTGATCGCTTGGTGGGTTGGTAATTCAGTGTTAATTTTGCAATACATACTGTTCTTCTCTATAATGATCTCTGGTTGTTCCATATCTTAAGATGTTAGCGAAATTTATTGTTCGTTATACCTATATAAAATTGTTTTTTTTTACCATTTTCGCTGGTCATACCCCTTGTTTAAATGGCCAATGTATAACGGGTTATTTCATGACCCATTAAGGTCACTGATTGACAAATATAATACATTTACAGTATGAATGCTGATATTTCATGTTAATTTGCAACTGTTTATTTCGATTTCATTTTAACTTTGGTATTTGTTAAGTGACATACATTAGTCTGAAAGTGTTCCTGTATATAACATAATACATAACTTGATATTGAAATACCTTGTTTCAATCTTCGCCGGGCAAAATGTTCTAAGCATTTTATATCATTACACGAGTCACAATATAATATGTTGAGATATGTTTAAGCTTTTATAATTATCTCTGTGTTTGTTCCGTAACTTTTACGACATACGTACTTCATTAAAACTAATCTTCTACATGCAGCCACTGGATCATTTATACGTTTTAAAAACATAAAGATGCACTGAACATAGAGATAACACTTTTACATACCTCCAATACTACTACTACAACTCCTCTACACTAGTGCTATCGTTTAAACTGATCAATGGCTGCATTCATTATCGTCCGAGATAAAAAAAATCAGTAATCGCTAGAATTAAATTAATGGCCACTCACTACTTGAAAAGTATCAAAACGATGTATTGACAGAGAAGTATCATAGTGTTTATAACGTGCGATACATTTGAAATACGACTTATGTATATATTATATACACTGATGAAAAAAGCATCGATGTCTAAATTATACAAGCTAATTTAAGATAGAAGGCACAAGTTCGTAATATATTTGATCTAAATTGCTTTTTCATTTTTTCGGTATCTGCTCGCGTTTGTACCAATATTTGAGGAAAGGATTGATGTTTTAACCCGACCTCCCCTAACACGAGACTTGGGAATAGTGTCAAGTGTAAACGAAATCAATTTATTTCACGTGATTTCACGAGCCATTAAGGTCACTGATAGACAAATACAAACAGCTGTATTCTGGTTTTGTCTATTCCGTTTCATCAACTTAGCTGTTGATATATCTGACAAATGCTGATATTTTCATTAGAATTTGATCCTATTAACTTCGATATCATTTGAACTTTGATAATTTTGCTGTGGCATATATTAGTCTGAATGTTTAACTTTAGCTGTCAAAATACATGACTTGATATTAAAATACAGATATTTTCCTGTCAAGCTTGAGACACTAAAAATCTGCTTTAGACAAAAAATTAGCTTTAGGCTTTATATATCATTGCCTGGGTCAGAAACGAGGAGATATCAACATGTGATGAGATATGTTTCAGCTTTATTAGTCTTCCAATGTTTGCACAGTGATTTAAACACTATATATACTTAAGGGATAAAGAAACGCATGGTGCACTTTGAAGATGATTCTTGGCAAGACGTCGAGTATAATATTCAATATTACTAAGTAAGACTGAAGATAAAACCATACAGAACAAACTGCAAAATTTGTGTCTGGTAAGTGATTTAGAAGTTATTTAAAGGAATTAAAAGATAACTTTGAAATCGAAATGGACTGATTGTGGGATTTGGCTGGTCAATCCTGAGTATGTCCCAATTCGTTCTCCCTACAGCCCTGTTTCTTCTAAGCATGGAGTTCATGAGTGAGTTTATCCTCGTCAATGGGATGTTGGCCCATTCTTCCAAGAGGGCATCTCGCAGTTCGGCCAGAGATACAGGAGGAGGCCGGCGTCGTCGAACCTGTCTATCTAGCTGGTCCCTCAAGTGCTCAATAGGGGAAAGGTCGGGGCTGTATAGTGGCCAGTCCAGTGGGTGGATATTGTTGTTAGTGAGAAATTCGCGACAAATCCTCGCAACATGAGGCCGTGCATTATCCTGCTGGAATGTGGGTGTGTTTTGTTGCAATGATGGGACATCAGGTGTCGGACGATCTCATCTCTATACCTAGTGGCAGTGGTGATTTAACACCATGTGAGATGCCTCCCCCACACATAACCGATCCATCCCCAAACCTTTCCTACGCAGATATCGGCAAATGTTCCCCACGACGTCGGTATACACAACCTCGACCGTCTGCTCGAAACGGGATGAACCGGGACTCATCTGTAAGCATTATCCGCCTCCACTGCCTCAATATGAATATTCTGGGGACATATGCCGCCACCCAAGCCATACGACGCTGGCAACGAGCAGTGATAAGGAGCAGACCTACAAACGGGTGACGTGCCCGCAGACCATCTTCCCGCAATCGTTTCCTTACAGTTTTTGCATGGATACGACGGTTATGAGAGTCTATGGTATGAAGGACAGATTCAGTGGCAGTAAGGTGCCGATTACGCAAACTCGAGAGACGGATAAACCTGCCCTGACGTTGTGACGTCACGCGCGGACGCCTGTGAGCAGCCCGCCCAGTTTCCCTTAGACGTCTAAAACGACGTTCTATAAACAAGTACCATGCAACAGCTACAGTTCAATAACATCAGTGAAACTAGAAAGAGAAAGAATAACACCACGATTTTCTGCAAGAAGTTGACAACCGACAGGCGACCTTTTAACAAAGAGTTTCGAGTGATCCAAGTTGAAGAAGATTTACGATCACCATCATTATTTCTTGTGTTGAAGTTCATTGTCCTTGAGTGATATAAGGTGCTCGATGCTCAATAACGTGAACTTATCCCGTTCGAGTTAGATTAACATTCTGTTGACATTTCTTTGTTGTTCGTTATGCATTTTGCTGCAAACTAACCATTTTAACTTGCATTTTAACTTGAGGTTCTGTAAAAAAAACGCGTGTTTTGTGTTGTTGGATTAAGTGTGAAAGTTTGAAACGTCAGCATTCATAAAAAATGAATCTCTTAATAAAACGTAACAGTGATAGTGTGTACTATGACAATATAAAAGAAGTGAAAAGCCATTGTAATGTTAAAATTTTATATTCATGTCTTATGGCATTGATTTGTATTTGTTTCAGATTTTAACAATTCTAAAACTCATCTTTATTTCTCATTATGTATACAAACAATGTCTAACGACAACGGTATTTATATAAAGGAAATTACGTTATTAGGTTGTGTGTGTTAAGGAAAAATATCAAGTTAGTTACAGTTAAAATTTCCGTTTATGTGATATTATCGTTATACAGGTGTAAGATTCCAGGCCTTGAGAATGACACGTACGATATACACAGTACCTTTCAACAGAGCCTTGTCAACAACTACATACCTCCCCCATCGGATGATGACACCAAAGATTATGATCAGTGCCATCTGTACTCGTTTGATTACAACAATGTCAAGTTCGACAACTCCAGTAGACCAATCAACGCTTCGCTTATTGAATGTAGTGAGTGGGTATACAGCGACTCCGTGTTTAAGGAAACGTTTGCTTCGAAGGTAGGACAATATATAGTGTATTTCCCATTAATATATTTCAATAATTATCTATATGTAAAACTCGAAATCAGCATAATTATTTCTGTATTCTGTATGACGAGGAGACAGTATATTCCTTTTACATTTTCTCTATTGAATGACAAATACGTTTGTTTCGTTGTGAAATAGATGATATGAAAGTTTACCATAGATACTATGGATATAAAAAAAGTTATAAATCCCATTTGTCGGGAATCATTGACTGGCAATCTAGATGGTCAAGTGTGTACAGTTGAAAGGAGACTATATTAAATAATAAAGCCGTAAAAATAAAAATATCTTGTTCTTTCTGTGTACGACTAAAACCTTTTGGATAACCACTCGTGCACATACTGAAGAACTAATACCAGGTCGTTCGGTCCATACATACATCTAATCGTACATGATATTAAAAAAATTGGAAATATAAATATTGTTCAAGCAATTAGCAGATTTACACGAGTGAGTATAATTAGCAATACATACTATCAATTAGTGTATTTTATGCATTGAATACTTATAGTTCAACATTGTGTGTGGTGATAAACATCTAACTTCATTGATTAAGTCTCTCTTCTTCGCCGGGAAGCTCATTGGTGCCATCATATTTGGCAATCTCTCAGATGCGTAAGTTGTATTTTGTAACACAGATTTTTTCATAACTTTTTATGCCTGTATCCGGCGGTGTTTTAAATGAGACAACACAACCATTTTAATGAGTTCATGAACCAAGCTTTATTGACTCGACCATAACAATCAATACTTGTACTTCAACTCGCATACTTAAATACAAACAAGGGACATAACTCTCACTTATCTAACATTACCCGTCAAGTGTTGTTAAACAAGTGAAACAGTCGTAAATCACAATGAATGTGACCAATAAATATCTTTATAACACTAAACCGTATTTTAAATAAATACGGTTTAAACACATTTCAGCAATACCGTACCTGCGTGTGGTGAAGAACCCATCATAAGAAGTGATCGTAAGACTCGGACATACACGTAAACATCTCACATCTAGGTATAAATAATACATTCATACCCCATGTTTAACATCAGATATTTCGACAATCACCAAAATGTTACTTTAAAATCGCAGATTTATAATTCATGAATCATTTGAATTCACATTAGTTTTCCTTACATAAAAAGGTGTGATTTGATTAACATTTCGTGATGTCTAAATGTAAAATACAAACAATTATGACAAACACTACTATTCTGATAGAAAAGGAAAAATAGTGAATTTAGCAAATATACTTTTTAAATCTACTTACATTCACGTCCAGTCTCAAAATGTGTGAATGCCAATCAGAACACAAGACAACTACAGTGACCAATATGACGTAACGAGACACTAACACTACTTAGCAAGACCACACTAAGAAATACGGTTGCGCATATCAAATACACGCGAGCGCAACGGCAAAACAAACGCGTGGCGGAATATAATGATAATCAAATAACATACAAAATAAATCATAAAACCCATCCCTTTTATAATGCCTTGATGATATCGATCACAAGTTCGATATTTCATTGTGATTCTACGCTGTTAAGGTTACATGAACATGCGGAACCACAGAGGGGCGCTGTTTTAAGATGTGGCGACGGTTGTAACACAAGTAAACCAATGGCGAATTCTTCCGTGAAATATTCTGGTCGTTTGGCCATTTTTGAATGTCATCAGCTATACCTATTTTCCAAGTTAAAATGTTTACTCTCTGTCGTTATTTTACTCACTTTGGGTACATGCACTTTCCTCTGTGGTGATCAAATCACAGTATCTACACTTTTACGTCAACCTTACTTCAACTTACACTCATTTAAATCTGTCTGATCCACACTTTTGTATACATAACCAACAAATAATCAATCATGAGTCAAAAACAATATTTTACTGCTGGGTAGGCCTAATGAAACGTTAATACCAAGTGTTCACAAATCCGACTTCCCTGCCTCATCCCTTCGTCAAGGGATCGATCTTCTTGATGACAAATCAAAATGAATAATTGGATACACGTGGAATCTATATGCCTGAAAAAGCCGGAAATCCTGACAAACATCGATATTTCAGCATAGTAAACGAATCACAGCATTCAAACAAAAAGAGTTCCATACTTTATAACCGATAGTGCAGTGGCGCCCGCTGTCTACAAAAATGTCGTGGGTGAGCCCCATTGTCCGATATAGTTCGACCATATGATTTTTAATTGAACCAAATTCGACAACCTTGATTAGATATAATATATTCAATTGAAAATCAATGACATTATGGGACATTAAATATTTTTCCAATAGTTTTATGGGTAACTAAAAAATCTTAATTTTCGGCTTGTGTTAGCAGAATCTATTCCAATGTGTTGGTTCTATTAATTCCATCAGGTTTGAAAATATCAATATACAACTAACTTAAAATTCAAGCAATGTTTTATGGCCGATTTATCTCTAGAAGTCCATTTTTCTGAACATTTTGTACTATATATTACTGATCTTTGATATCTCCTTCCAAACTCTATGCATATGGTTTACCTTTTGATACTGGGACGAGATTTTATTTGCTTCAGATTTCCTTTTGTTCAATTTGTTCACAGATTTGGGCGGCGAATGACGTTTAATGTTTCCCTTATGATGATGGTTGGATTGACGTTCGGAATGTCTTGGTCCCCTTCCTATGTTGTATATGCTATCATCATGACGGCTATTGGTGCCACTACCCAAGGAGTCTTTCCGGTTGGATTTGTTCTCGGTAGGCGACTCCGTGAAATGAAAAAAATCTATTGCCAATCTTATTATACTCAGCTTCTTAACAATCAATTCCTCCAGTGTAATCATCCTTATCCAACAACGTGTTATGCTGAATAATTGAAAGCCAACACAAATATATGTGATATTGTAACGAAGTTGTCCTCATTTTTAAGTAAGATTTCACAAGGGCCGAGACCTAAAATAATAAACGATAGCACTTTTTCGGAATTCATCATAAAACTCTATGTAAAATGATGATTTCGTAATATTTCAACAGTATGAACACCTGGGAGACTTAATCTTTATGGTGACTACTATAATTTGGTAGTGTTGTATTTCATATTCTGCTTTCAGGTGTTGAGTTAGTTGGCCCCTCAAAGCGAAAGTATGCTGGAATAGTTATCGAGTATTTTTTTTCGTTGGGTTTAATGATTCTGGCCGGTATCAGCTATTTTGCCCGACATTGGTATTACATCAACATCATTTGTTCCGCTCCAGCATTCATTTTCATTTTCTATTGGTGGTAAGTATTTTTTAGAAATTAAACAGATAAGCATGTATTTTTTCGCTCCCCCACAGAAGAATGCATCATAAGATCGTTTTCTTGAAAATATTTTTTTCGTCGTTCTGAAAACGATAAATGGTAGATATCGAATGTTATCGAAAATACGTCATTTTTGGAAGATTTCTGATTATGCAAATCGTGTTTTTCCGTTTCAGGTTGATTCCCGAATCACCACGTTGGTTGATCAGTAAACAGCGATATGAAGATGCTAACAAAGTACTTCAAAAGGCTGCTAAGGTCAACAAAGTGGTAATAGAAAAGAATCTATTC